CTCGTCGTTACCGTGTGCTATATAACTATCGTTCATCCCTAGGGAAACGCACGGGTACGGGTAACACCGCGGTTCTATGCTGACGGGTTTGGAGGGTACGGGTACGGAGTAGGATAGTCGTACCCTTGAGCATACCGTGGCCATTCACCGCGGGTTGACGGTGTTTGGGCGGGTATAATATACCAAATCGGGAACCAGGCGCGCGACAGCCATTGAACACCGTGTTTGATTCTCTGTTTTTCCTTCCTCTGAGAGCTTGAGGATCACAAGTGAATGCTATACTGATTTCTGTCATGTCTTTTGTACCCCCGTGAATCATTCTAGCAATTTATTGAGCTGACACTTCGTTGCAGAGAAGCTCGAGTCACTACCATAAAGCCAAGGCAAAAACTCGAGACCAGTAAGTCCACTGAGTCGTCTCCCCATGAAAACTAAGCTCACAAAGAAGGCATCTGATGCTTCGTCTACCCAGTCACACTCATCATCTAAGTCTATCTCGTCGTCCATCTCCGAGAAGGCCAGGTCACTCAAAAAGGCTGTTGCAAAGGGTGCTAAGGCTCTGGCCCGCCCCTTGAAGAAGGTCAAGCAGTCATTTGTGTCTCGGTCTTCTCGATCGAGCCCCACAGACACCGTTGATCTTACGCGATCAAGTACTGATTCACTTGCCACTGACGATAACAAAGGATGACTTTGGTGACTACTCACTTGGTTCCATGTCTCGTACTACTGAAACTCATCGATTACCAACTGTGAAAACCAAGGACCCACTCGCATGGTGGCAAAACAACTGCCGTGCTTATCCAATGCTGCATCGGATGGCACTCGACTATCTCTCTGTCCCAGGTATGTCTCCTTCGAATCCTCTTTCAATCAATCAATACTTATTATCTTGCTCAGCAACATCAACTGCGGTTGAACGTGTCTTCTCGCAGGGCCGGCAGCTCCTTCATTTTACTCGCAACCGACTCGCACCATCAACAATTCGTGCCTTTCTCTGCCTCCAGAGATGCCTCTTCTCCCGAGTCCGTGGGTGATAACCGGCCATCGTCTTCATCCGATAAAACCACCATGACGCAGCGTCCTCGCTCAGGGACAATGCAAACTACTGTCATGGAATCTTCGAGCAGGCCTCGATCTCGCACGTCATCAAATAGTGTAGTGGGTGCTCCGCCACCTCCGCCAGCTCCAGCTCCAGCTCCAACGCCTCCTTCACCCCCGTGCAGGAGGAGGCCAGTTTAATTATCAGGCGACAGTTAATGAGTTGACGATACAGTTTTTGAGCCAGCATGAGCAGATTAGGGTTGCTGCACTGAAGTGGCGCATAATGCTGCACCAGAAAGCACTGAAGCAGGTGTGCTGGAATCCGTCTGGAGTATGCGCAAACTGATGAGATTGTCAGATTCTTGCGATGGATGATGGTACTTTCCCGGCGTTGCGTCAGATTCGTCCGAAGAGGTACTCAGATGTGCATTGACCTTGCATCATGCGACTCATATTTTCGTTGCAGCTCCCCGCGCAAACATTGTCCTCCTCAGAAGAGAGCTACTTCAAGGATTTCATGATGGACCTTTTCGAACTCTTCAGCACAGATAGGAAGCTTCTTGAGGCCTGCGGCAGTCCTATCATCCACCAGTCGTGTCTCAGTCTCAATACGGAGAGGATATATGAGACATTTGCAGAAATTTTGGAGAAAGAAGAGGTTGCTCGTCTTTTGTGGTCCCTAATGCAATGTTACCCTGACTGCTATTATACAGGATCTGGAGTTTGCAAGCGAACGTGCAGATGCTGAATATGATCCTGATCACTTTGCCTGAACAGTTCCGAAAACGGCTGAAGGGCCTTGAGACAGGGTTGGTTGAGCGCATTCTCGTTTGATTCTTGACTTGACTGATGACACGTGCAGCAAGATGGTCAGGCGCTGTTCACCACGCTTTACAGGTCATGGTGTCATAATGCGATTGCAGTGTTTTCGTTGTGCATGCTTGCGCAGGATTACGAGCATGCATCAAATTTACTATCTATCTGTAAGTTTGTCTCACATGGCGTGTTTGATCGTTGCTAACAATGTTACGCCGGCGCTGATTTGGAGATCACCGTTCCACTGCTGATCCAAGTCGACAAATTAGTGCAGCTGATCAAATCTCCCGTATTCACTTGTGAGTTATCTATTAATGAGATGAATCAGAGGTTGATGATATTCCGGAAGACCTACACCTTCAACTCCTCGAGCCTGAGCGTTTACCCCTACTTGTTCAAGTGTCTATATGGGTTGCTCATGCTACTCCCCCAATCCACCTCTTTCGTCTCACTCCATAGCCGTCTCAACGGAGTCAACTCTGCCGGCTTCCTCCACATTGCCCCAAAAGCGTGAGTTGACCCACTCTCATTTCAATCATGTGCTATTGTTAACCATACGAGGACACCCAACCCTATCGCCTCAACGCTCTGAGCTCGGCCGCGGTGAGACAAAATGGCAAGAACTTCTCGATCATTTCGCTCGCTACAAAGCAAGCACGAGAAAGCGCGACTTGGGATCTCGGGAATACTTTATCTCAGGATGATATCACCATCACACTGCTCTCGCTACTTGCGTCTGGTGACCTCCCAGTGCTGCCGATTATCCCGCCAAAGCCCACACTGAGTCCGCTCAATCCAAAGGCGAGGCAGAATGGGCTGATGGCAGGCATGTTGCAGGGTGTGATGACACCGGGGGGTAATGCAACAGAGGACGAGGCGGACTCTGGGCTTACCTGTGGTGGGACCCAGGAAGGGGGTGATTAGGTTTGGTTTCGATTGGTTCGGTTTGCAGCGGACTTACAGTGCATACTTGCATGCACATGATACTCTAATGATAGAAAACGATTTGACTCAGAGTTTCGCATACCGAGATGTCAGCATGTGCATTGCAGCTTCAGAGTTGGCAGTGAACAAAGGCTCTTTCAAGAGTTTTCCTTGGACCCTTGCGCGGTCTTACTCGCGTAAGGGAGTTATTAATCTGGGATAAAGTGATTGTCCATACCCGCTAGCTGGAAGGAATGAGGTTATGATGCTGAAAGTCGGACTAACGGCAGCGAATCTTTACCTTGAGAAGGATGGCAACGATGATTCCTGTCCGATTCTTTCCCAGCCGGCAAAAATCGAGTCGAAACTAGCGAGATGAAAAGAAGTATGAACGAACCCCCACGGGTGCAGTGAAAGATGAAGGGAGGGTTTGGTTTGTCCGGGACATGGCACATAATATTATGGTATCAATGCGGGCCCGCCGTGTTCTAGTATTAGAGGACCATGAAAGCCTGCCGGTCTCGAAAAATGGCTGCAGAAACCGTACAGTATCATGGAGTGAATATATATGTACGTCAGTGTCACGGTTGTCGAAGAAAAATAAACCTATCATGTGGTGATCAGCACCGCGCAGCTTCAAATTGACTTCAAATTGTTAGACTAGATCATATCATGAGCTGGACTTATAGCCGGACGCTACACAGGCCGCGCTTCTACTATAGCACCCTGCCAACCCAACGCCCGGCCAGTCTGTACGCCGCTCTACCGCAGCCCTCAAAGCTCCTTCTCAGTTCCCGATTCTGTTGCCCCAGTTGTCCCTCTTCGCCTTTCTATTGCCCTCAACTTTTCCACGAGTCTGTTTGCCCGTTCTGTTGCCATTCTCTGTTGCCGTTCTGTTGCCCCCAACATTTCACCGGCACGTTTGCCGCATCTGTAACCGTGGGAGTCGGGGATCCGATCAGAGTCCATCGTAGTCAGACCTGGATATAGAAGGAACCTGGAGGACAGTCGTTCCTTCTTGATTATGGATCCTAACTAAGTATCAATTATCATTCCTTGTTACACAGCTGAAAATACCGAAGATGAGTCTCGCACCGCGATATCGTTCGCATGCATCATTGAGTCATGCATCGTCACGGGCCATGATCGGTTCACTTTAGATTGAACAGGTGGTCGTAGGTATAAAGGTCAGCACCTTCGTCCCCCTTTCCCAGCGAATTACTACCGCAAACTCACTCTTTTATCATGGCCAACATCATCGATTCTCAGTGTGTCTTGGTCGTTGGATCCGCTGCAGAAATAGGTCGTACTCTTGCCCTGCTAACCGTCAATATTGTCTGCAGTCGCTGCAAGGAAAGGCTCGATGAACTGGTTGCCTTACACATTGCTACCGGACGACTCAAGAGCGTTACTCTTGACGTTCTTTCAGAGCGCAGCGTTCTCAAGTCTTCCATCGAAGATATCGTCAACACTTACCCAGATGTATGTGCCCCTAGCACTATCCCATGCAAATCGGCACTGACCGGCTGTCTAGGTTCTTGTTCTCGAATGGCATTCAACGGGCCTTCGACTTCACTAAGCCAGAAGCCGTTTATCCCGAATGTAGGTCTCCTGCTGTCACGGTGCATCTATGATTACTCATGGCGTTCTCATCTCGGTCAGCTCTCAAGTGTGAACTCGCCACCAACCACACCTCAATTGTCAGGATGATCACCTTCCTCCCTCATCTTATCGAGCTTGGGGTATGAGTATTTTAACCCTTGTGCAGAAGCAAGGCTGTCTGACGTTCTTTTACACAGTTTATTCAGGGCTGTCCGTCGTTCCTGCCGCTGAAATCACTGCTGTGCGACAAAATCTACCAACTTGAGCATCTCACTCGCTGGTCAGCTCAACGAGAAGAACGATCACGTGGTTGAGATTATTCCTCCGTGAGTAACACTACTTGTTTCGTTGTTGTTGAACTCATTGCCATGTGAAGACTCGGTCGAGTCGGATTTTCATGACTGTAAGTTCCCTTCCAATTTTCCGTATCTACTGTCTCTTGAATCGCTTTGGTATGCAATCCATGCCATTACTTCATTCATGCTCATGGGTACACAGGCCCTCTCTCGCTCGACCTGCCAATACTCTCTACCGACACAGCCTCACAGCAACGCTCAAGACAGTGATCCATACTTCAAGCGCTCAAAACGACCCATCAGATGTTCTCCCGCCACCTCAATGCTCGCATGCTAGAATACACACACAACGAGCTCGGGTGGGGTGTCTTTACGCTCAAGTACAGGGTCGACGGCTGCTCGATAACCTCCTTGACCCTGATTCTCTAGAGAAGTACAAGCGGTTCTTCGCACATCTGCGGGCGATGAAGCATGTAGGAGGCGCGTGGCCGGATGAGGATTGCAGATGCTGGAGGAGTCGGATGAGGGTTCGAAGGTGAGTTGATCATGCTGTCTTGTCCTAGTACGTGATGCGGTGCTGACGCGCAATGCAGGACTGGAGTATAATTAGCACCAGATCCGGATCACGACGTCAGAAATAATCTATTTTATTCACCAGATGCAGGCGTACACACAGCTCGAAGTCATCGAATGCTCGTGGAAGGCTCTTATGGAATTCTTTGCGAGACGGGACGGTGATCTCGACGCTATGATCAACATACATCGACCGTATCTTGATTGTACGGTCAAGAAGGTGTTGCTAATCAGCACCAAGGCAGGGAGAGAGGTAAGCTTGACTCGCAGGCAAGTTTGACGCGCGCTTATTCTTATTGTCATGCCAGGAGAACCTGTTGACCCAAGTTCGGGAGGTATTCCCGACCATCCTTCAGTTCCACAAGGCAATTGTTGGCGTTTCTTTATCCTCCCTCGTCCACACGTCGATACTACAATGGATAAACTGGGCGCATGATAGACCCTTTTTACCACTGATAGAATACCCCAGTTCGTCGCCTACTCAGATCTTCCGCACATCAAGAACAAGATTGTGGCATGCACTCAGACCCGCAGAGTCGCTACCACAGCTGTAGCAAAACGCGTCGCAGATGAGATGGACGGTCTGTTTGTTTTACTGCTCGTTCTGATCTCACTTCGAGCTCACTTCATCACCTAGTCCAACTCGGCCAACAAGTCAATCCGCGTCAAATTGACTATGAAGGTCTGGAGTGAGCTGGAGAACCTTCTGCTTGAAACTGGTCGTGGGCGGCCATGGTTAGAGACTTTGGATGAGGGTGCATGGCGCACACGGGGGACACTTCGTCGCAGACCGAGAGAGGGGAGGGCGACTGGTATACGTGTGTATTGGATGACATAATTGTTGCGGGGCGGATGCCGGATAACGCACTTATATCTTTCGTCTGAATCGGAAACGTCTTTGAGAACTCAATTGGATGGTACAAGTGACCGCGCCAACTTTCCCGCCGACCCTCGTCGATCTCAGCAGAAATGCCTCTGTCATATCATCATCCTCCGAAACTGACCTCCCGTCTGATTTACCAACATCTCCCCGTCCACGACCAGCACGCACTTTCTCTTCCCACGTTCGCAAAGCCCACAGTCCAGAACCGCTACTCCCTCCAGACCTCCAAATTATCTCACTCGTGAACTCGGAGTATCCAGCCACACACAACCAGATCCTGCACATGCCCAACAGCAGACTAAGGAGAGGAGCAAGAGTAGGAAGAGATCACGAGAGGCAAGTAGGGCGAGGAGTGCGAATGGCAGACTGGGGGCGCAAGAATTTTCCTTTGGAGAAACTCTTGGAGAAGGATCTTACTCGACAGTGTGTCCATCGCTTATAGCCCACAACCGCCTACTCATGCCACCTCAGGTAATGCGTGCACAATATATCCGAACAGGACAAGAGTACGCTATCAAGATCCTCGACAAGAGAACCATCTAATTTGAAAGGACAAGATGCTCGTCGCCCTCGCAGAGAAGAACGTCCTCGTCAAACTGGGTGCCGGTCACCCCGGTATCATGCACCTACACTGGATCTTTCAGGACGAGTGGAGCCTATGTCAGTACCACCTTCCTCTCTCTATGCTGTGTGTGTGCATCCGATCCCGGTTATTGCCCGGCTATTCTTCTTTGGCGGACAGTGCTTCACACTGCCACGCATCCTTTAGTGATCAAGTGCATGGACCATGCATATATCCGCTTTTCTCATGAACCCCTGTCGTTAATGTCCCACCAGTCTTCGTCCTTGACCTGGCGCCCAATGGGGAGATGCAATCTCGTATATCATGCCTTGGCTCCCTAAGCCTCGCCTCTTCCAGATATTACGCAGCACAGATCGTTGACGCACTAGAGTATATGCATGGGAAAGACGTCACACATAGGTGCGTTACTCCATCACCTTTCCCGGAGGCCAATCGCTGACGTCACTGCAGAGACCTCAAACCCGAAAACCTCCTTCTAGATAGCCAGTTTCGAATAAAGATTACTGATTTTGGTACCGGAAAGATATGAGAGAACGGAGGTAAGCTAATTCCTTCCGTGTATACGCCTTTCTCACAAGTCCCGAAGCGGAGCGAGGCAACACATTTGTGGGCACTGCGCAATATGTCGCGCCAGAGTTAGAGACAAGTAAGAGGTGCGTATGTCCTTAAAAAACACGCGCAAATATCTTGGCTCCTCGAGTGTCATTCCATCCCCTTTCTTCGTCCCTGGCATCAGGAACGCCTGAGCATAACTCATCAAGGTACTGATCCCACTTACAGCTCGGATCTCTGGGCACTCGGCTGTATAATCTACCAAATGATTTCCGGCCGATTTGCATTCCAAAGCCTCAGCGAATACCTCACCTGGCAAAAGATCAAGTCCCTCGACTACACCATCCCAGACGGATTTGACGAAGATGCCAAGGACCTCGTACGGTGTCTCTTCGTACGTGATCCGACACAACGGCTCGGCGCCGGCGGTCCAGACTCTGCTCACTCATACGCGGCACTCCGTGCACATCCGTTTTTCGCGTCTGTATCGTGGGAGACACTGTGGACTGACCCTGCACCTCCCTTGGAGGCAGGGCTGGTGAAGAAGGAGGTGCCTGTAGCGGATGAGGTGGAGGGGGGCAGTGGGATGATATGGGGGAGATGTGGGATCGGTTAGTGGGTTGGAATGCTGACGTGGGTAGTGGGAGTGGGGCGGGCGAGGTAGCTGGGGATGGTGTGAGATGGGCAGAGGACGGTGAGAGGACGATGTTGCATTCATTCAAGCCACGGCGTGCAGGTGGTAGGTATGCGGAAGAGGGTCCAATGGGAGAGACGCCAGATTATCTTGTGTGGCAATCAAGGACAACTTGTGAGGGGAGGGCGATGCCGGGCCTGGAAGAAGATCTAGAGGAGACACAGACGGTCGTTGGCGAGCAGTGCCAGGATTTATTGGAGAACAACGTAGTACCCAAGAGGCCGATCGAGGTGCTCGTGGGTAAGAAGAATCTCGAAGTGAGGCCCATTGCCGTGAACAAGGCCTGTAAACGCGGTCTTAGACATATGCGCAGCCTGACGATTCATACAAGGGTGAGATCGTTAAGCGTATATTATACCAGAATCCTGGAGTCGAGTTCATCTTTTGCGCTGGCGACGACAAGGTCTGTTCTCCCCCTACAACTCACTCGCTCACTCACTCACTCAGCTTTAGAATCAACCATGAAGTCATGTTGTCCCAATTTTTTGGTTCAGCATGCGCAAGAGTTTGTCATCACCTATCCTCGTGGATATCATGCTGGCTTCAACTTAGGTTTCAACTGCACTGAAAGTGTCAATTTTGCGCTGGAAAGCTGGATAGAGTTTGGACGCAGGGCCAAGGCATGCCAGTGCGTTTCTGATAGGTTAATGTCTCGCTGCTGTACGATAGGGAAACCGAGCGCTTGAACCCTCCAGTGCCTGAGCCCGAAAAACGACAGCCTTCATCGAAGCGCAAAGCTCTTGAAGGCCTGGAGTCTCAACCAAACGATGCACTATGCCCCATATTTCCGGCTTCATTGTCTCCTTTGCCTCAACTGCCGTTCTGCTCGTCTGTCAGGAATTTTCCGTTTGAAGTTTCCTCCCATTCACGCCCACTCTCCGTTTTCTCCTACTACTCGTTCATCATCGGTAATCTGCCTAAATGGAAGGACGAACGATTCCCTCCACCTAGAGTTTCACAGTCCCGGGTGGGTAATGACACATTTACCGGATTTCTCTTTCTTACATTCATCTTCAGTGTGACAAAGTCGGCTTGACCAGTAGGCTTCGCACTGGGTGCAGGGAAAGGGTTCGCAATCCATACCCTGTTATGGGCGGGCCGGAGAAGGGGCTTGAACGACAAGTTGAATTGTAATGCTTGTGGTCTACCATGCCCGCATCATATCTATGACTTGGCTATCCGCTTCGTCTTTCCATGCGATCTACGCCCAGCTGCCTCTCAACCCAGAAGTCTATGCACGGTTTGTGATTCAGGGATGAAGCGAGCATTCCCCAAATCACGGAACTCCCTTCCAACTTTCGGATTCTCGTTACCTATCGTCCGCTTGCCGATATTGAAAAGGAGTTCGGTGCTGATCTCTTGCAGACCTCGCTGCGAAATCCGACGGACTCTTCGTTACCACCCATCACATTCGCAGTATGTGGAAAACGGTACTTTCTACTCCTACATAGCTATAGCTATATCCGAGGATCCGGAAGAGGACAAGTCACCTTCGCCCGCACTGTTGAAGCATCGCGTCCGTGAGCCCGTTTTTTACTCTCCTCCCGCAGAGTATCCCCCAGTCCAACCGCGAGCTCGTCCATCAGTAGTGCAGCCACCTCTGCGGCGCCCATTAATCTCAGCTCCATCCGATACGTGATTTTTTTTATAGTACGTATCACTTGCCCATCAGATTCGCAGATCCACTCGTTTCTATTGACCACATCCACCAATCAGTCGCTGCATTGATATGCCATATCCACTTAGGCACAAGTTGATCGCTCGGAGCTCTCGTGTCGAATACATCCAATGTTTATACCTTGAAGAAAATCCTGGCTATCGAGTGCATTCAGCAGCTGGTCGTGTAAACATGATAGCGCACGTCAATGAGATCATCTAGTATGGCGAGCAGACTTGACAATTAGCGCTGGAGGAAATCGACACACGATCACGTGAACTTACGATTTCACTCTCGCTCAAGGCGGAAAATGGTCATGGCAAGGGGGACCGTTTTACCCTTTGCCATGGCGAAGCTGCCGGAGAGCTGGGTGAGCTTCAGTCAACCTCGCCTCTCCCAAACCTACCATAAACTTTACATCTCCAAGTCGTACATCGATTCCCTCGACGTTCGTACTCTCGATGACCTAAACCCGTGGTCAGGAAATGAATTTCGACCCTGCGTTCAATGCCATGAAGAGTACAAGGCTGACCTAGCACGCCGGGCTCAGCAATCGCAGAGGTTCGGACCACTTCGAGGGCTGGAACTTTTCACTGGTTTGACTTGATTTCTTTGCTCTGTAACTGAATTTAATGTGTACTTGAAGGTGCGGGTGGCCTTGGAACGGGATTGGATATGTCTGGCTTCGTGGAGACTAGATATGCAGTTGAGTTTTCTCCAAGGGCAGCGAGGACTTACAAGTCAGTGTGCGTTTCATTCACGGGTTCTTTATGTTGCACTCTCTTTTATCCACGTTGTAGGAATACTGAATCAACCTGTCATGTCTGTCACTGCCTCTTGTGCTATCTTGTTTTCGCGTTCGCAGTTTTGTTTTGTCTACTCTCAGAATCTTCAGCAAATTCATTTATTGCTATGTGTAGTTCGCAACGTTATCCCCCAATACCTTCATCCTCTCGCTCCAACCGCCATGTCCGAAGTGGTTCAGCGAGCGAGGCCGTGTCATTGGCAGTAGATTGATTAACCATAAAGATGGAATAGTCTGCATACCTCACTTCATACTGTCGAATCACCGAGTTGTAATCAGTAATAGTAATGTGTCTCCGAGACGGAAGAACATAAATATTAAATATTGAAGCAGCGAGAAATACTAGTAGGATCGAAGCAGCGGGTCACTGTTGCAGTCAACGACCCTCCGAAAAATAAGTATCGTAGTGAGTGGCGAATCCTTGTCATGTCCAACATATAACACCGCAGAGAAAATTCGGAGATAGCGCGGCTACCCGTGAACATACCCGTATACCGTGCAAACGGGTACGGTATGACCACGGGTAGCACATCTCTACACCGTACCCGTACCCGCCATACCCGTGACCCCCATACCCGTGCTATACCCCGTACCCGTACCCGCCATACCCGTGACCCCCATACCCGTGCTATACCCTAGTGGTGAATTCCCTCTGCGATGGATGCCTTCGCTGGTGCATATCACTTGTCAGGCTGCTTGACGCATCTTGTAGCGGTTGCGGGTGCAAAAGCTGGATTAAGGTGCTGATCTTTCGCCGGAGAAACTGTTAGAGGACTTGACGAAATGGGTTGCAGATTCAAAGTGAGTAATGCTATCTATATATAAATATGGGTCCCATTAAGGGTGCTCTAAGCTTGCAATATACGTTGGGAATTTGTTGAGATGATCTGGCTCTTCTTTCTCTCCTTCGCCGTCCTTGGGGTCTCGGAATTCTTTAAATGTTTCGAAGACGTCGCTGTCATCCACCTCACCTATACCAGGGGCTGGTGAGATGGTGTTCAGCATCATCCACACTGATGCGCTTATGCACACCAACAAGGGCCACGAGAGGTAATAGACATGTCTAAATTTTCCGGTGTTCAGCTATGGTCTTTGATTGAATACTATAGTACACCCAGGCATTGCTAACAATCATGCTCGCTGGTGTCACCGACGCGCAAAACCCAGGTAAGCTTGCCCAAACACCCTAAGATCTGATGTGAGATGAAGTGGTAGGTGGAGCTGTAAAGGTCATACCAGGACCCAAGCAATGGGAGCCCTCCAGTTCAAACCGTGCCAAAACCCAGCAATCGTAAAAGACTGCTCGTTAAGGCACTGCACACCAATAGTCGCTTCCAGTCTGTGGGAGGAAGAGATGCGAGAGTTTGATACGGCGATGCCTTGAGAGGTGATAGTCTGCCTTAATGTGATAATCGTCGTTAGAGCATAAGGCTCTGAGACAGAGAGACGCGAACTTACAAACATGATCCCCGTCAGAGGTCCCAGGGAGACTGCATATCCAGAGATGGCGGATATGAAAGAGTTGGCGGTCTGATCAATTCAAGCTGATTACATCGTCAACATTTACTAATGCAGAGTGAGTAGACCTACGTTCATAATTTTCCAAGGGTTAAAGATGCGCTCAAACGCGAAAAGTCGAGGTGCGAGAACTTCAACTCAGAAAAGACATCTTCTGCATCTTTGGCTACAGCCGGTCCCAGAATCTCCGTCAACGATTGAGCTGGATGCTCGGAAAGATAACGCAAGACAGAAAGGAACAACGAATATCAATGTTGAGGGATGCATCGTTTGCTGCAATGACTGCTTCTGTCGCTCGAAGGATGTGAGGTAGGAAAGACTTCATCAATGACCTGAAAGGTCAGGTTTTATTAGCTCCAGGCGTCGTGCTCGATCCTGGACAGAGATACTCTTGAGCAGAAGGACGTGGACGATGAAAACAGCAAGTAGCGACGGCTGAGTGTCGCTCTTGAATGCTGAAAGATATGACAATCCTACATCCTTCAAGGTCGCGCGGAGGTCGAAGAAAGACAAGGACGCCGATGATTTGCCAAGGATAAAGCTGCGGGCTTGAAACACCCATGGATACGCTATAAACTGTAACATCCACCACAAGAAACACGACCGCATATGCACAAGGTGTTGATGGGCCTGGTGAAGTTGCTTCAGCGATACCTCTAATGGGCGTATTACAAAAGCGTTCGTTGTGTGGTATGATGGAGCCATGGAAGGGTGTACGCCGTACGGGTAGGAGGTCTGAGTTTCATGTACATGGCTTGACTCAGTCGTGCGCTGGGATGTATGCTCGAGGGATAATAGGATCGAAGGATATACTAGGGAGGGCGGTAGGGAGGTAGGGAGAGTTATACGAGTCTTTGGGGAGAGATGAATTGAATTAGCTATGCAAGGACTGGTAGATATCACTCACTGTACTCTCATCCCAAATCAGCATCCTACACCCTCTCTGCCCATCGGGTTTAGGAGACAGGTGTAGAGCGCATTACACGCAAACGTGAGCACCTCTTCAAAGGCTAGTGCCGAATGTATGCAAGGGTGTGAGCAGAGTACGTGAAGAGAGAGTAGATGAATATCTGCGGAGAGACACAACTAGGAATGGAATGGGAAGATACGAGCTCAGGTTTTAGAACAAGGAAAACTCATGAACATAGCCAGTATAAAAAGAAGATAGATGGAAACCCATGGTAACAAAATCCAGCGCTGACATGCTCCACCTTTCAACTTCGATTGAGTCCTGAAGAGTGAAAGGATGTGATGAGAATTACACACCATGAGCGCAGAGAATAAAAAAACTTCGGTCACAAAAAGTGAACAAGAGCAGCAATTGCCATGCATGCAATCACAATCCACCACGGGATCACCTTGTCATCCAACGTAAAAGAGGGGTTAGGGATATTGCTGAGTCATCTCCACTCAATCATCCGACAACGCCCGCAGTCAAACATAGAGGCCTTGCAAATGGTAAAGACTATGCTACCAACAGGACAGCTAATGGAGCCGCTAATATTGTTTCCGCGGAACATTTCAATCACAACATGGTACTGCCATATCTATCACACAATGAGAACAAATGGCGAGCACCCCCTTCATCCTGTCATGCTAGAAATCTTCAGCAAAAGACTGTGTCCATGGGGAGAACTGTCCATCGTCAAAAACGGAGAAGATTTTGATCCACGGGCATCAAAGTGGGACGTAGAAGCTGAAGAATTGGGAAGAACATTATAGTGGTACATGAGGAGTGGAACTGACCCAACCAAAGAGGCGAGTGAAAGACGGTTGATGAGGTACATGGAAGTGCTGTAATTTGAATAAAACTAATGCATGGACACTGAGGCCATCTGTGACTGAGTACTCCATAACAAGTTTGACAGACTACAGGAACGAAAAATCGACGTCAGGCTCCGATGGCTTAAAGGATGTGACTGACCTTGACAGAAAGGCGTCTATGAGAGCCTTTTCCTCAAACGAGATGGATTGCAACGCCTGATGATTGTGACCTACATGTTTGACAACCAGGATGTCACCATACCACGGAGTGAGTGCATCAGCGGAACAAGAAAGCGCGCGATTGACAGGCAGAGAAGGATTCCGATCAAAGAAAATGACGCTATACGCATCGCGAAAGATGCTATAACAGGAACCGGGGAAACCGCCAACAGATACTGCACGAGGATGCAAACCATGATACGACGAATAATGAGCACCGCCTATCCACATATGCGCGCGGATAACACCATCCACATCTTCAGGAACATACGTCAAGAGCGCTTCATCACATGAAGTACCATAAAACATGGCCCTATGATAAGTGCGACCCTGCTATGTTAAAAATAAGTTAAGACACGCGAGAACTGAGTAGGTGAAAAGGCAATTACGGGCTCGTTAGTGAACATGTGATTTTCTATATCGCATACGTCAACTGCAGTCGTCGACTTGCGTGCATAAATTGAAGGCATTCTGAATGGAAATGAACTGAAAAGCACAAAGAGCGTGACGTAAGAAATGCCTGTTTGATGACTAAGTAGTGCCCGAGCCCGTCACAAGGACAGCCGAAAAATGAACTCACTGCGGATATTTGTGAGACACCCGCTCGTTCGGAAGGAGGAAATGGCGGACAATACATACCAATGTGCATGTCAAAACGTATTTAAGACAGGTCGTGATTGGAACTGGGACTTTGCAAGCACACAAGATGAGCACACCAACAGATCAGCCCACCCAATCCACTGAGCGCATCGTGATGGGTTGCTTATTCACATTTTCTGAACCCAACGGACTCATTGAGATCCCACTCACGGACGCAGTCGACGGCTTTTTCAGCTTGACGAGAGCGAGCCGATACTTCAGGGATATCGCAGACATAGAACGGTACAGAATCAGAATTTCCAGTGAGGAATTCGACGAACCATCAATCATGCATGTCTTGTACGACAAAAAGTTGCACGGTACACCAAAATGCCCTTACCTCGTTATCAGAGTAACCTACGGAGGACAAACTGTAGACCTCAAAAGGAAGGATTATATGGCTGCCACTAAAGCCGTCGAGCAGTGAGTGACAACTTATGTCAGCCGGAACTAATGAAGAACATAAATAGGGTGTTACGCATGGTCGCACCTTACAAGGAGAAGTAAACCATTTGAGCGACAAGAGTGCCATAAAAAATAAGAATTAGCAAGCAGATATATTCATAGGGAAAACTTTGTAAATAAAAACCGGATAGAAATTGACTGAGGCTTTGTAGAACTTATCCTAACATATCTCGGCGTGACAAGCAAGGCGCAACAGTGACCCCACTACAAATATAAATATAGGAGAAAGACGAGGACACACCATTCATCTTGCGAAACCTTCAATCACCAAATTCCTTGCATAAAATCAAACCCTAGCCAAACAGAAACACAGACCAAGCCATGCAAAGAGATAATGGCGTCTTCGACGATCTCTGCCAAGAATTGAAAAGAATGGTACTGGAAGAACTATCACTCCCAGATTTGATGTCCTTCGCAAAGACTAGATCAGAAAACGAAGAGGGCGTCAGAGAATACATGGACCGGCGCCGGGAAGACTTACTGAAGGGATTTGTAAAAGATGTGAACGACTTTATCGACCTTTTAGAGCGGACCGGCACAATCATCTCGGGATCGAGCGCACTCCACCTCTTCCAGGCAAAATCTGCGGCGATTGCGTTGCGGGACATGGACATATATGGCACACATGAGTTTGAAGAAGAAGTATTGAAACATTTCAAGGAAAAAGAGGGATACGAAGTAACTCTGATCTCTGAACGGAAGACAGAATACTCCTCCACGATAAAGAAAGTCTACAAGATGCAAAAAGAGATGCAAAAAGTAGACTTGATAATCACCGAATGGGCAAGTGCCATTGTCCCAATCCTTCAGTATCACTCCACGGCAGTCATGAACTACATGACAGCACGCACCTTCGTCAGTCTCTACCCAAAGTGGACAAATGACATGAAGAGCCTGGTAAATCCGCGCATGTATCTGGGTGACACCGCGAACATTCGGACAGTGACGGCGCTGATGAAGTACGTCAGGCATGGATTTCGCGTCACTGCAGAACCATTCCAATTGGGAATACATGACTGTCTGAGGAGCGCATACTGCCCTAGCACCACCAGAAACACTCTGGATGACAACACACTACGCTGGGAATTCAGCAAGGTGAAGACGGTCGGGAACACGACGGTTGCTTGTAGTGATATGGCGATAGTGATATGGCGTTTGGGAGGAGATGACTGCGAGGAAGACGGAAATAATGATAGCGCTACATACATTGGAGTAGCTGCGTAAATAGCTGAAAGAGTATGCGATTCGGTTGGTATACACGCCTTCAACGTGCGAGGCTAATTAGTAAAGATATGAAAAAATTGCTGCAAGGGTCCTGGGTTGCTCGGAGGGCCGTGGGGAATCTTTCAAAAGTCAGTTGAGCTACTTACTTCGAGACATGATGACTAAAATGACTGTACCTGGCTTCCTCTGCCCAGAATTTCCATTCTCCAAGTCATCCTTTAAACGATGCGATGCTGGTCACGGTGCTGATCGTGGACACGGCAGCCGATTGATACTTACACGCAAGACTTGCCACCACTGTACTTGACAGGTACAGTCAGGATCTGACAGTCCCCTCGTCATCTGAATCTATCATGATGATAGGGCAGCATCAACTCGCAAGCGAACTTTCAAGCAATTCAAAATCTTATGATCGTGTTGTAAGTCTCCTTCATTAACTCTTCCTTAGCTTATTCACTTTTGTGTATTACCTAGCTACTCTGACGCTTCTCGCCAGATCTTACTCCCCATTCAACATCCACCAGTCAACCCATACTTCGCTCGTCCTAGTGTTCACCGTCCTCTCATCCCTTCTTTCGCTGTCAGTCCTGCCTCTAATCCCACACCGCCTGCTACTCTTTATTTCTGGGCAAATTCCATTTATATGGACCCATCCATTTAATGTAATCGCAAATCCTACCACTGCTCAAAGCTGCAATAAACGGAGGTATCGTAAAAAGAAGCATGCCGGTGTGTGCCGAACGAGGAGAATGAAGATGGTTCGGTAGCCCATTTCTCGCCCTCCTACAACTCCACCTCCTGGATCAATGTCTATCGTCGCCCACCCAGCGGCCGAGATTCACTTTCAGGGAAACGTTTTTGTAACTCATGATGGTTCGGGGTTTGACATCGGGTACAGATCCTGAAGTATGGTTCGAGGACTGGAACGTGGAGTGAAACGCACCTAAGCCTGATCACACGCCATGGACGGGGGCGAGGCATGAGTAGAGTGGAGTGTGTGGTGAAGTGAGGTCCGTGCTTCTTTCATTAGACTGGTGTTTATGCTTCTGTCTTTATACTGCTTCTTGCTGTATGTTGGGTGATGGGATGTTGGCCACGCTTCCTTCTCATTTGCGCTATTACCTGTTAACCTGTAACGTGGTACTGACTTAGCGTCCGCCCATCCCAGGTTACCTCCTTGCGTGCATTCCAAATCACTCTATGCAGGTGTACTTGAACACAGAATTACAAGCGCGACAGGCTCCCCGATCCCGGCATGTCTTTCCCTCTTGAATGTGTAGCACAATGCAGGTGGGATGCGGGTGTGATGTAAGTTTTCTGGTTTTTGTTTGTTCGGTCTCATGTGCTGTCGTTCTTTATGCAGCTCTTTTCTTCTCCTGCTCATTCACGTTGCATACTACGTATCATTGAGTCCCCATGGCCCTGTGAGCAACCTCACATTTTTGCTTGCGCCGAGCTGGGTATTCGTGCAAAGAGAGGGCTTGACACAGGGCGCACTTGGGAGCTGGGTTTCTACCAGTTCTGGTTCTGGGAGCAGTGATCCTATTTACCGGACTTTTGCACGCATGGTGCATCCGCAGGACTGCCTTAGTACGAGAATTTTCCGCCATGAAAACGGTGAAGCAAACATGTCTCTATGCTCCAACGCGCCTCCTCAAGGACCTCAATCATGCTGTCACTTTGAGGTCTTGACAGTTACGTGACCTGGAAATTCCTGGCGTGGCGTGTCCCAGAGCGATGTAAAGGTTGCTTCTTTTCAGTTTCATTTTGATTGTCGTTTGACGTCCCTTCGGAACCGAACTCTCTATCCATTCCTTTTTCAGAGTTCTGTCACATCACATAAACACTGGAAATGCGCGATTCTCTTTTACATGAGCCTTTACTCACATGCTATCCCCCAGAACAGCTCGTAGAGCACTGCGTCTTAACAGTTTCCGATGTTTGTTGCGGTATATAGAATCTCTCTCTCTTACATGAGCCTGAGAACCCCTGAAGTCTCACCTTCCAATGCCGGCATCTCACCATGAGCTTTCAAAGTAGGATCAAAATTGCCAAAAGGACTCACAAAAGGTTACTGACGATGTCGAACCAAATTGAATTTTCCACCCTATGAAGTTTCGTGCAAGTCGCCGTGCCGAGGACAGTCACAAAATAGGTACTTCGGTAGGTACTTTGGTAGTCTTCTCCTGTTTTTTCTTTGTTGGCACTGGTGAAGAGTTTCAATCATATATAATATATCTTGTAGACTTTCTTACCTTTGCTGGCCTACCAGATGTCTGGAAACGTATGTTATTTCACACTTGATGCCAGGCAAATCTGTTGACTAAATCTGTTGACTCGACCTCTCCAGGCAGAACTGGCCATAAAATTTCTCGTCGTTGGTGGCGGAATTGCAGGCCTTGCATGTGCGATAGCACTGAGGCGAGTCGGCCATCACGTAGTCGTTCTCGAACAATACTCTGATATAGACATTTCGAAGGTCAGTATCCCACAATTATCTACATCATTGCATTCTCAATGCGCCACTGGACAGATGTTGCACGGAGGCATTCGATTGCCTCCAAATGCCTCAAAAGTTCTCTTTCATTGGGGCCTCGAGCGTGCTCTTCGGCAAGTATCCGTGACATCAAGTGCTATAAATGTTGAAATTTGTTCGTGCACATCGACACCTTACTTCTACTCTATAGCTGACTACATCTACAGACGAAACCGGCGAGTTTATTGGTACACACCGTTGGGAAGAAGAAGTTCTGCGAGAAACTGGAGGCGACTTCCTCTTCCTGCATGCATGTATAATCTCCTGTCCTCGCATCACATTAATTTCATCTGTTCATACAGCACGCCAGTCTCCGGCAAGTTTTGTACGATACTGCTATAGCAGCAGGCGCTGAAGTGCGGGCAGGCACAACCGTTGTCTCTGTAAGTGGTGATGGCCCTCGCGTGACGTTGACCACGGGGGGAAACACTGTTGGCCGATGTGATTATTGGCGCCGATGGCCACTTGAGTGTAGTGCAAGAAGCCATTGTCGGTAAGGATGTTCTTGACGCAGCGCCATGTCAATCATTATTCTACAAGTAAGCATTTGCTCTGAACTTTACTAGTATAACTCGTTGCCTAACTGCCTTAGTACTACTGTCCCGGGAGCACTTATGAGAGCCGATCCTCAATTAGCATCCTTCTTCAAACAACCCGTTGTAAGTCGCACACTTGCACGATTATGATTTGGTTTAATGTGATGTTCAGGAGACTATGTTTATTTGGTTGGGCAATAATCGTTCGGCTGTGGCGTTCCGTATGGTACGCTAACATTCGTGAAGTGCCGCGCTTAATCTAACAGCTACTGAGTAGGGTGCTAAGGACGAGTTTGCGCTACATATGTGGGTGCGTCCCATGCAAAAGGGGCTATCTGATGATGATTGCTGGGGAGGAGGCCTTGATTTAAAGGAGATGCAGCGGCAGCTTGGAGAATGTGAACCGAGGTATGATCTATCTAGTGAAGTTTGTTTATTCTGGCTGATTGAAAATCTCAGACTCTTAAAGATGGCCAAACTGGCTGCCACACCTGCCTGCGTACAGGTCAAGATGATTCTACCAATAGAAGATTGGGTTGATGAACATGGTCGTATGGTAATTATAGGCGAGGCTGCACATCCACTTCCAGTATGCTATCACTCTGACCTTGGGGTGACACATTACGCTGACGATTCCTTCAGGCAGGCTCTTTGCAGGGTGGCGCAATGGCTGTAGAAGACGCCGCCGTGCTTGCAAAGCTTTTCTCCCATCTGCGAAATCAGGACCAAATATTGACAGTTTTACATGCTTTTCAAGATCTTCGCGAAGATCGCTGTGCTAGTGTCATGCATACCGAACAATGCAATCTCCATTTCCAAATGATGCCAGCTGGTCCTCAGCAGGAGCGATGCAATCAGGAGATGCGTGCCAGGACTGCTCAAGGGGGAAGCGTTTTTGGTGTAAGTGAAGCTTCTGAACAATGGGAGCAGCTCAAAGAACTTTGGGGATACGATGCTGACGACGAAGCTGACGATTGGTGGGCCAAGTGGGGCCTTCTCCGCGAACGAGCCAAGCAGCGATTGTTAGACATGGAAGCAGAAATGAACACTGCACGGCTGAGGAGTCTCCGTGTGCGAGCATAATGAATCCTCTCCCTCTCTTTATTATATTAGTTGTCGTCGCTCTCTGGACAACACAGTAATTCGATCATTGTTTCCTCCTGTAATTTTATCACACTGCTATTCTCAGGACATCTGGATATCATCACGGTTTTAATATTAACACAGCGCCTAAGCTACTCAGAGTCATTGAACAGAGACTAACAAGCATCCATGTTCGAGCTGCCCGAGGCGCGCCACCTCTTGCGTTGTTCGCTTTCCCCGATTGTAATGGCCTCTATCGGACTCAAATCAAAGACCTACCATCCTTCAATGTTAATATTTTGCTCTTCAGCGTCGCATTATCGACTACCAGTACAAAAGGCAAGTCTTGTCCACTATCTAACGGCTGCGTCTCAGAAGATACAGAGTGAGTCATAACACGAGCATTGATGGAGTAGATTCCGCTGTCGGGGGAGCCGTTCTGACACTCGTCCCATCTCACGACCTCAGAGTCATGACAGTCACTTCGCTTCAGATCAGCGCGATGACTCGGCTAGTGAGCGCAGACATACCTACCTTTGACAGTGTGTCCGTTTCTTCCTCCTAGTCATACGCATCATGTTGAGTTTCACGTGTAGGAATGAGGAAACATAAACAACTAGATCTTTGCAATCTTGGCGGTCTGAATGACATTCGTAAGCATGTACCAGCGGCCAAAAACAATAAACGGACGTACTTTTGGCATACGAGTCTACGACCTTGCTAACTTGCTCCAGAGGACTAGAGTCCCACTTGCTGCACCATACGAATCCAGACATCACATGGTACGTTGAATTTTCTGACGCCACCAACGACACATACCGGTGATAACCGACATTTGAAATGTCGTCGCGATACGATGATATCAAACGTACTGTCTGTCAGACACAAGTCATCCAGTAGAGTAGCTGTCAGCCAAATAATTGAGCAACTAACGAATAGCAAATCGTTCATTTCGTAGTATTCCACATTAACATGGTCAATTTTGATCTCGAGACGGGCATACCAGACTAGCTTAAAAAGGATGTCATAGTGCCGCCGTTTGAGAGCCTAGCAAACTTCAAGTGTTAAACCACTAAGCAGGTGAGCAATCCAAAATTCCAAGTTGCGATGTGTCACTGTGACGTGCATGCATCTTTCTTCTTTCCTTCATCTCTCACTAGTACTCAATTGTCTTCTTTGATGTTGAGCATCCGACGTGTTTTTAGTTCAATCCGTCGTATTCGTATTCTGGCGCTTCATGCCTTCGAGGAAACACATACATCTGACTGTCTTCGGTCATATTTCGAAGTTATACCAGTGGCTTTAGTACATCAAAGATGAGTTTCTTAGTCTATCAGGACGCACGTCGGCTTTTAGCTTACCAAATACGATCAGGCACCCACGTCCCTGATCCAGCACGCCGTGGTACATTTTGTCTAAGATCATCTGGCATAGCCTAGAACACGATACCAGCTACTTTTCACAGAGAATATTTAATACGCACTTGGCCTCAACGTCCTGCCGTCCTTGCCCGACCTGTTTGACAATGTAGTCAATCTCTACCGCCGAGTACGGCTCAATGATACGCAGCAGATTTTGCTGGAGAAGGGTGTCGTAAAGCGCTACAAGATGCGAGTGAATGGTAGGGTCGGACGAGAGTTCTGTGTAGCATGACAAGTCAACAACGAGCCGCACAAACGGAGCATAACATGCCATGTTTGTAATCCCGAAGGGCCTCCTCAAAATCCGACAAGTTCCTATTGATGCGCAAGCGCTATAGTATGCTTACTTTCAATCTCGCAGAGCTGAGCATATTTCACCGCAGCTCACTAGAAAGAAGTGATGTTACATCTTCAGTCTGGGACGCACATTAGAATGACTGGTGAGTTAAGATAATTGACAATGCACCACATTCAACATGACCTTGCACAAAAGCATGTGCTTGAGAACGTTCAGCGCTGCTGGGTCGTCTTGCGATGACATATCCTCGAAATTCTCATAAGAGTATGAGTATGTAGTAGTGTAACCCTTGTCCTCGGCATGGAGAACACCGGGTCAGAGGTCTAACACTGCTTGAAGATGAGGAGGTCGATACATTAAGTTTGCAACAGTCCTGGCGGAAGTGAGGGCAGCCTTTGCATTTTACGGACGTAAGGGTACATAATGAGAATACTGGGATGGCACCTGAAGGACTAACCTTCGGCTTTGAGAGGTTTACAATGCCACGGTAGATGCAACACTCGAGTAGGTGCACTTCGGTAAGAATCATCTTGTTATTTAACCTTTGCAACCCTGTTAGGAGTGCGTCGACATTCGCGTTAAGGCTAACTTGTACTGCAGTGCCTCAAGTTGCCTGTACCAATAATCAACATCGTCAGAAGAAGTAGAAGTGTTTCTTACAGGGAAACGAGTCAAATTTCCAAACTATGTTTGAGGAATATGGGCCTTTCGCGCTTTGACTACTCAATGTTGTCAGTTAGGATGTCAATCTGGATAGAGTTGAAGCGATTAAAAAGCGTACGGACTACAATGTACACATCAATCAAGTATAGCAGGTCAAGAACAGAGGGGACTGACTCAGCTTGGCAGTTGAAGACATGAATGATCTATCGAGACTCGAGAGTGTGATGACTTACACTGAGCCACTGGCATCTCTGTCTGGAGTGAGGGATTGTGTAAAACAACAGACTTTGCAAGACTCACTTTTGATTTGATAGAGCTCTGCAAGTTTGATCAAGGGCCAAGGCGGACTCCCGGTCACGCAGGGACTATTCCTTGTCAGTGAACATTGACTAAGTGCTGCTCAATTCTAAAATGTCGTTGTCAATATTAATGTCGACTTGACCTTACGGCCAACCTCTCGTAAATTACTCACGCGGACCTAAACCTTTCCTTATTTGGCCACCTCCGTGTCGGTTAGACCTTCGCATGGGAGACGTTCTACTACACCTTGTCGCAGAGTATCCTCGTTCTAATCCTCGCTGACAGAGACTTAGAGCCCAACTTGAAGTTAGCTACCTAAACCTTTCCATGTAGTATTGCTCCATAATTTCTAAACCTTTCCCTAAATCAAAGTCTTTGAATATTCCAGTTCAACATGTCTCATTAGTACCGAAAGTACTGCGTGCAAAATTGCTTAAACCACTCAAAATTTGCCTGAGCAGAACAGATACCTAGTAGACTACAAGTATTATGAATAAAAGGTTTAGGAGGACATTTAGCAATAAATATGAAAAGGTTTAGGAATACTACTACTATTACTACTGCATAGAAAGGTTTAGGTAGCTAACTTCAAGTTGGGCTCTAAGTCTCTGTCAGCGAGGATTAGAACGAGGATACTCTGCGACAAGGTGTAGTAGAACGTCTCCCATGCGAAGGTCTAACCGACACGGAGGTGGCCAAATAAGGAAAGGTTTAGGTCCGCGTGAGTAATTTACGAGAGGTTGGCCGTAAGGTCAAGTCGACATTAATATTGACAACGACATTTTAGAATTGAGCAGCACTATTGTGACTGCCAGTCCATTACGTGAAGGACAAGAGCCAGAAAAAGGAAAATGGTCGTGAGAAATTGTAAACATATGAAACGAAATGAGCGGGAAGCAATTGGTGGCCGGTATCGATCGTGAGACGGAGGGCAAAAATCCACACACCTGTACATGACTCGGCTGTACCCTAAGACGGGTCCAGGAATTGGTCATATCTGGCGAGCAGACGACTGCGTACAGGCATTTGTGTCCTGTCTTGATTGATGCCGAGGATTGTCTTGTCTTTCCGTTCTCCACGTCCCATTGCTTTACCATCCCATCGATAGAGCCATGCTCAAGACTCGCTGACCATCTCAACTCCAGCAGACAGAATTCACTCCCTCTGTACGTCCCAACCATTTCGCGATGACTTTTTTTGTGTCGATGTGCCACAACCTCACTCCACCATCATTACTTCCGCTGACCACTTTCCTCCCGTCCGGAGACAACGCTATGGTCAACACTCCACTTTCTCCGTCCTGTCAGTTGTCTCCTATCTGCTTCCAGCTCTTCAAGTTCCATACTCGCAGCGAGCCGTCCACTGAGCAAGTCATTATCCGTTTCCGCCTGGCAGATGCGCCACGCGTAGACTCAATCGGTGTGTCCCTCAAATTTTTGGCAGGGTGTAGTTGCTGATGCCTCCTTATTTGAAGTTCTTTCTCCTTGTGGCTGAAGACATCTTTGCGCAGCTACGTCTCAGCTTTCATCCAACAAAGTTCAAATCTTCACTCACGACGATATGTTCTTCAGCTGCTCCGGACGTGTTGGCATCATGACACAAAGGGCATTTAGGTCAAAAGTGCACTGCAAGTTTGAGCGGTACGGTCCAAGTGTGTTTTCCTTGTGTTCACTTCATAGCTTCTAGCATAGGCTGTGCAACTGAAGCGCTCAAGCCTCATTTCTGATCACGAGTCGCATTCCATCGGTCACAATCTTCAGTCTACAACTGAGTCACCGCACACCCTCCATCCGCCACGATCTTGCCTAACGCAGCTTCACTCTGCTATTCTTGCCAAAAACGTCTTAAACTGCCAACTGTTCCCCCTAGGTCCGGAACCCTGGAGACAACTACACCTTCAGTCGGATAATCCAATTCCCTGGAGCTGCGGAATGTGGTGTTTGGTTGCATCACAACAAGGGTAGGCCCTGGTATAGGATGTCTAACATTTTACTAATTATTGTAACAGGCACGGCAGTCTAGTTGTCACTTCCAATATCGACGCCGTAAAGGAATACGTTATAAACGCGTCCGATTTCCGTCTTATTATCACCCGCTATTTCGATCTCAACAAACCTGGTGCTGAGGTCGATGACCTGAAAGGTGGTGTAGCGTTCTATCCTCACTGGCGTCCTACAGCTAGGACAGGAAGTTGAGATCCATCCACAAATAATGACAAAATACGCTCAAGGCTGCCCGTCACCACTGCAAACCCATCTTCACCATAATTGTTTCCATGCACGTCGAGAATAATGACTCGCAGTTTGGAGTTTCGGGAGGTCTAATTAATGTTGGGACCAAGATGGATCCTACGCTATACAGAGCGGATCATTTCATTGGTTGCGTGTTAGCTGCCATCAGTAAGCACCCGAATATTTATATCGGCTGTCGGCATCCTCATTTTTCGCATGCTGCTGTGTTCTAAAGAGCTTGAAATCAGTTTGCTCTTCATGCGTCGTTGGCGGGCGTTCGTACAGAGCACAAGAAACAAACAGACGTGTCAAAAGTTGCCAAGAAAGAGTTCCTGCTCATTAACATCGGCTCAACATCGAGTACTCAAATTGAGAATGAGATACAATTCTTACAAAGAGTCAAATGACCTCACCCGCATGTATTGGCTGCTTATAGGCAAGTATTTCTCGTCTGAATGTTAGGGAAGTGTACAACGTGGAATGTTGTTGGAGTTAGACTGATTCGCTTTACATTCTACATTTGTGTCATTTCAAATGCAAATGTTTCACTGCATATGATCATTGGGAATATTCGCGACGGCCGGTCTATGATCCCTTATGACTTGATTTGTAGACTTTGACGCCGTCTACATGCATGTCAACCTTTCAATTCTCAATGTCAGCTATGATGTCCCAGCCAACCAGACGGCTTCTGACTGTCCTAACAGCGAAGCTTTGAAGCTGCATGTTTATGGGTGCGTTCTCTCGAACAAACTGCATTTCTGCCCTCAAGATTTCTGTCACCACCGCAAACTTTGCAGGGCTTACACCGTTACTGAAACTTTCTGTACTGTAAGTGTGCAAATAGTCAGCAATGAGCATGCTCGAGGCTAAATTATTTCTTTCTGTCTTGAACATGCTGGACCCCACATCTTCATTTCGCTGCATTGATCAAGCACCTCCCGATACTCCAAGTCCCTTCGTAATGTGATTCAAAGGCGAAGGATTCATCCGAAAATCATTTACATTACTCGGAAGCAAGTTCGCTTCGTTTTCCACACTTTTTGGCTGTCCCTCAACTGTTCAAACGTTGATTTACTGTCCCTTCGCCAGGCACTCCTGTTCCCGAATCTGAGGTGCCATTACCATCCCACATCGCTAGAATTGCACCACATCCTAATTCCTTCAGAATGCTCTTCAATATCGTTGGACCCCTTATAAACCCTAACACGTTCACAGGAATGGTTTTGGGCGTGGCCGCTGACCTCGGTCGCTCCGTGACGGCGACATCGAGCGACGACTGCTGTACAGCTTTGACAACAATCGATTTGTCTGCATCAGAATCAAGCAGTTCAGTAATGGTTATTTCCAACTCCTTGACATGAACGATTACATTCAACCTCGGGCAGTCCTGGACAGTCATGCAGCATCTGGATAGATCGAAAGTATAAAAAGCCGGCAAAAGTCCTTGTGCTTTATGATCATTATAAGCACAATGATGGGACCAACAAATGTCCTCACACGATCTTCAGAGTTGGAAAAGACTGTGACCAACTTTGAGAGCAATGGTTCATTGCATTACCAAGTAAGCATGTGATAACCTTATCAATACACTGATCAAAACAATAAAGGACTCTGGAGTAAGTGCCATGCGCCCAATGTACCAAAAAAGAAATCGAAGAGAAAGATGCGTTTGGGCGAGGGTGAGAAAGTGAAAGGAGCAGGAGAGGGAAGTTCCATGGTGTGATCAGCGGCACCACCAGTGCTTCGAGGAAAAAGGACCCAAAGGTATTGATAGCAACGGAAATATGTGAAAGGGGAAGGAGAACATCTTTCCGAGGATAAACGCGCACTTCCATTGGATAGAAAAAATGTTGATTGGTGGCCTGTACTGTAATACATGTGCGTCGCTATGAGCGCTAGGGGTATGACTTCTGAGAATGAGAGGTCGTGGTTTGGATTAGTATTGGTGAGTTGGGGAGATGCGTTGGGGGATGGACGTCCTGTTTAGGCTGTGGACGTCCCGGACGCTGTCGATGATCTCTAGATGCGAAGAGGGATGGAGTCCGAAGATGATCTGTCCTGAAACATGAGTCGTCAACCACTGAAGAAGATGAGCCAGAACATGAGATAAAGAGAGCCGAATGTGTTGGCAAAGCCTAACAGTCTTTTCCTATATAGACGCCTCACTCGCGAGATCGCAAGGCAAACAGGCAATGTCCACCAAACCAAAAAAAACCCAATCAACATAATAGCAGTGGTAATCCTCGCCAACACCGCTCTCGTCACCCTCAGAATATCACCTAGAACATCGTGCCAGCGATCAAAGACGGGGCCGAACAACAGCGGGATGAACGTTTCATCGAGGCCAGAGTCTGATTTCGAGATTTTGAGTGTGCACCGAGCGACGGGGGGAACTGCAATGATAACAGGGAAGGCGAGGAGTGGTGGGGCTGAGGATGACTTGGACATGTAAAAAGTAACGGTGCAGTATGCGTGTTGTTCCTCCCTGCAGAGGGTGCTCATAGCTATGAGGCGCGCGCATATAGCGAAGAGAGTAGAAAAGCCTAGTATGCGGTAGCGTAGCCAGGAGGTGGGGACTGTGAAGCCTGTGATGACGGAGGCCACGATAGACAAGATGAGGGAAAACAGCACGATGCAGTCTTCTCATACTGTGAATGAGTTTGATGCGAAACATAGGGTGTGCAGAATGAGGAAAATGGGGAGTGTTCTGATGGATTCCAAGGTGATCATGGTGCGGGCGGTAGCTATTATGACGAATGACGATGAGATGGTGGCAGCGAAGAGCACGGTCTGGTGCATGGTAACACCGTCCAAATACTCGTGCAAGACAACGTGCGCCAGGTATCCTAGGGCAGATCCTACAACAGAGGCGCTGAACAACCACCAGATTTTGTCATCCACTTTTCCCACTTGATGTCCGCAATATCTCGGAGTTTGGAGCACAACACCCAGCCGGCGACGATGCTCAAGATGTGTGTGCCATTCTCATAAGGATAGAGCTACGCACGAAGGTCAGTCGCATACAAATAGAGATAAATGCATGTACAGACTGGGTTGCGTGTCGACCACATCGATAATTGATTCTACGTTGGCGATTCTTGAGATAGCACTGTCAGAACCAGACCGATATTTGCAATACTACTGGCAGCATCCGCATGATTATTTTTTCATAATGTCCCATCAAGTGGTCCGTCCTGACAATCGACTTCAGCACATAATCATCCAAGGCTACGTTGCTTAAACTGACCTCCATGACAATGCAGCCAGATAAGGGTGTGAGCGAATTCTTAGTGCTTTGCTGAGTAAGATTGTTAGCAGTCGTCGAGCGAGGTGAAAGCTGAGGTCTCTTGTGACAAGTTCGAGCACGGTTGCGGACGAAACGAGGATAAACAGTCTCCGCGGATGGACCTATATAACAGAAGTACCCCTCATTTAGTATCCTGGCGAAATGCAAAACTTTAGCATCGAACCTGAAGAGCACTGGCATCAGACACTTGAAAGGCATGAGCATTGTAAGATCATGTCTTTGTACGCGAGATGCACGTGTTTGGTTAGGTGCGCCAATGAACATCGAATCTGAAGCGTGAGCTGAGTATCGAAAAGCAAGTCAGTGTGCCATTGGTCGGTATAGGGTGTGCGGAGTAGAACCTACAACATGATCGTGACAAGCTCATTATCCACGTCGCCCCAACTCATTGTACAGATCCCAAACGCCAATATTCCATAAGCACTCTTAACAAACATCGCATCACAAGACATTCTCCCCGCCAACATCCACGGCCTCGTCGTCCCAGACGCCTTCTAAGCCTCAAGAGGCATACGGCGTGGATCATCCCAGAAGTCGTGAGCTTAAAACCCAACAGTCTGTTCAGTCGCGTGGTCGATTTGAAGGAGCGAGTGATAATATAGCAATTTGTGAAACTTACTGTCGTCAGCACAAAAGACAGGATCACTGGTCCAAGAACCAGAACATGTAGAAACCCAGTTCCCAAGCGCGTCCTGTCTCCAGCCCTCCCTTTGCACGAATTCCCAGCTCGGTGCAAGCGAAACCGTGAGATTGCTAACGGGGCCACAGGGACTTGGTGATAGGTATGCAGCATGAACGAGCAGAAGAAGAAGAAAAGAGCTGGATGAAGAACGGTAGCACATGAGACAGAAAAACAAAAACTAGACAACTTGCATCAACACCCGCATCCTACCTGCATTGTGCTACACATTCAAGAGGGAAAGATATACAGAGATCGGGGAGCTTGTCGCACTCGTAATGCCGTGTCCAAGTACACTTGCATCGAGTGGTTTGGAATGCACGCAAGGAGGTAACCAGGGGTGGACGGACGCTAAGACAGTACCACGTTACATGCGAACAGGTAATGGTGCAAGTGAGAAGGAAGCGTGACCAACATCCCATCACCCAACATACAGTGGGAAGCGGTACAAAGACAGAGGTACAGACACCTGTCAAATGAAAAAGCACGCACCTCACTTCACCACCCACTTCACCTCACTCATCCATTGCCCCCGTCCATGGCACGTGATCGGCTCAGGTGTGTTTTACTCCACATTCCAGTCCTCGAACCAAGCAACGGACTTCAGGACCCATCCATCCCCGACATCAAACCCTGAACCGTAACAGGTTTAAAAATCGCCTCCCAGAAAATGAAGCTCTGCTGCTGCTGGGTGGACGATGATAGACATCGGGGTGCTGAGATGCAGGAAGTGGAGACGAAAAATAGGCCCCCGGCCCATCTTCATCCTCCTCGTTCGGCACGCATGCTCCTTTGTACGATACCTCCGTTCATGACAGCTTTGAGTAGTGGTAGGATTTGCGCTTGCATTAAATAGACGCGTCCATATAAAAGGAATTTGCGCCGAAACAAAGAGTAGAAGGCGGTGTGTGATCAGAGGCAGGAGTGGAGGAATGAAAGGAGGTGTCCACTGTTAGGACGAGCGAGGTATTGATTGACCGGTGGACGAGGTGGGGAGTAAGGGGCAAGATGTGTCAAACTGAATAAAGAGTTAAATGAAAGAGACTTACAACACAATCATAAGATTTTGAAGGTTCGCTTTCGAGTCGACGCTGCCTTCGCGATTGGGAGCGGGCGTATATAGATTCGGATGGCGAGGGGACAGGATACGGAGAACATTATAGCTGCTAGCAAAGCATGTAATAGCAGGATCGCCATGCAACCTGCAGACCCATATGAGAATCGCAACGAAAAGGATGGCACTCACACAAAACGCATAACAAATGCCAATAAGATTGATATATTTCCACCTGCAAGGGCCTCCTCCACTCAATCATGTAACCAATGGGATGCAACGTACTGGGCAGTTCTCGCTCAGTATGCCTACAAGATCGCCACTCTCTGGACGAAGACCAAGGCCACGTTGCGATACATCAGCGCCCAGTGCAGTAGCGCCATCGCGGACGCGCTCGACAAACTCCCTGAACGAACCCCGCTCGCCAGTGTAACCTGGCCACTCCCGCTGGTCGGGCCGGTTGAAGAGCAGGTGGTGAACATTAGATTCAGGGACCTTTGGCAAGTCTGGGAAGAGTGACTTGTGGTACATGCTTGTCAACCGATGCTCAATGCTTCAGCAGCGATATTGACTGCAACTGAGAATATTAAAGGCCCTGTGATTGACCTGGCTTTTTATATGATGGCATGATGGAGCCGGACTTGTACAAGCGTCAGATGCCGGCGAAAGTCTGCCCGCTCGGCTCGCCAGCTTCGCAAGATCATCCTTCGATAGCTGAGGGAAATCAGTATGGCAACTTGCCAACTCTCCAAAGGAATATATATATGTCATTGTCAACATCGGCGGCGGCGAGCGAGATGATGGTAGCAACACCCTCCCCAGAAGTTTTCACGGGTATTTCGCACAACAACGGCAGCACCTCCTTGTTCTGAAAGGCTTTGCGGATATGTGATTCCGAGCGACTCGTGAGTAGAATGTGCGTCACGGGAAGGTCAGGGTCACGAAGAGCCCGTGCGAGGGAGAGGATAAGATCGGTAAGCTCGGGTTCGGATGTGCCTTCATCAAGGGCATCGATAAAAAAGATGTAAAAGGCGGACAGTTACGCAATCTGGATCGAAGCCACTGAGGTTTGAGAAAGAGAGCCTTCATCTGGTCACAGAGAGTTGTGTCGGGGGGTTGTAGAGCAGGATTGTTGCGGATGACTCTGTTCACATCCTTCCATCCAGCCGTGCAACATTTGGTATGCTTACGCGAGAAAAGGAATGCTCCCGCTAGCCCCTTTTCGACATTCGTCTCCTCTGTTACTTTTAGACCTTGCGTCCTCTCTGCTACGGTGAACGCGACGGCGGACTTTCCGACACCTGCCGTGTCATGCAGCCATATAAGTTGATTCTCCTTCTCTTCGTCCAATAATCGGCAGGTGTATTTGAGGAGATCCACCCGGGTCATTTCCAGACACTTCGGGTGGGGCAGACGTTCAGGAGAGTTGTATTGAGCACCCTGGACAGCAACTTGGGACAGCCTCGCCCAAGTTCCTTCAGACGATGGAAGAACTGTCAAAAAGGTCAGAAAGCGAGAGATGGACAAGAGCGAGAAAACCGACATTGTTCCTCACTCATTCACGAAGATTGTGAGATGCGTGATGAAATGGACAAATTGAGAGTACTAGCTGGGCATGGTTAGAAATCATCTGAGCGACATTTATCTCCAGGGATGACGTACGAGGATTTGAAGGATCTGTTGGAGTCAAAGTGAGTGGGGTTGTTGATGGGACGGGAGAAGCGCCTGGTTGACGAGAGGGGTGAGAATTGGGGGATCAGGACTGTCTAGAATAGAGCCAAACGTCATTACGGCTGCTTCACGCTGGTGCCGGTCTTGAGCTTTGACGAGAACGGCGATGCTTGATACATAAAGATGTGGCGTGCTGTGCAAGATGAGGCCGCCAAAGACTTGAATAAATCTTTGCACGTCCATTGCAGCGGACGAGGCATCTTCGTATCTGGTGTGAACCTGCAATTGCCATTGTAATATGTCAGTACACATGATAGTAATAGATACGATAAAAAATTAAAAGCCGTCAGGCTTAAATGCTCGGAGTCGCCTCCTAGAGGCGTGTCCTCGCAGCCTGATGACCTCTGGTCCAAGTCACCTCCTAGAGGCGTGTTGGCCAGGGAGATACGCACAAATTGAATGAATAATAAAACTTACTCACTAGGTTACCGCGCTCGATCAGATGACCGGCCAGAAGTTTCAGGGCGAGAAAAAAGCGGGTGATAATGGGGGGCGGGTGAGAATCCAAGGGCGAGTGAGCATGCGAGGGCAGGTGAGAGATAGTATGCGATGATTGCGACAAGGTGAATGTCAATGGCAAGGGCGGTGAAAAGGTCTGATGTCGTGCAGAGGGTCTTCTTGCTTGTAGCGTACGAGCTTGAGAGCAACACCCCAAAACATGGTGACGCTAATGACAACGAAACCTGGCGATTTGTAGACGTGAGCTGAAGGAGGATCGTGAGATGAGTGGAGGGCAATTATGGAACGACTCACTTGTGGGCGTATATAGTCAATATCTCTGGTAGTTCGCCGACAAGGAACGGCTGTCGTAGACTTAGAAAGGCGGGAAGGTCGAGCTCATCTGACTTTGGTGATGATCGGCTATCTGGAATGAGCGGGCGTCCCATGATACTAACTGAAGAAGCCACAACTTGAAGCCTTTTTTTTTTCTTCAGCCATCCTGGAGTGCGACTGGATTCTGAATGGTAGCGGTAGTAGAAGTTGGTCAAGTAAGCGCACGTGGGACGCACGCGGGTGGACGCCGCGCTCCAAAGTCGTTATAAGATTATATATTGTAGATTCAGTTGCTGTGTGGACGTTCAAAACTTTAAACTAAGCTGTAACCATGGCTCAGCAGATGCTGTTGGTGAGTCTAGACGCAGTGCGCACGACATTCAAGTTGCACATACTCACCAGAAGAGCAGTCCATCGATCATCAGTCCTACTGCGAACGATGTCATCAAAGCATATGTTGTACTCGTTGACCCCAAGAATCCTGCAGGAAATGCTATTCTAGGTGTCAACCCAGCAACCTTGCGGTCTCCACTTCCTTAGGCGCAGAAACCTGCCAAGGTCGCACGCCCCATCTCTTCTAGAAGTTCTATAGGACTCCTGCGTTCGACACAACTGCACTTGTGTCACTTGGTGAGGGGTTTAACTCCAAAACTGGGGATGTAGGACGAGATCGTTCGCAAGGCCATTGGCAGTGGTATAAACTTGAAGAGTGTTAAGGGACTTAGTGATGGTGCTTCTTATGCTGTTATCGATGCATCAACAAATCCTCATGCTGCTGGTAAGATATAGTTTAATCTACACAATGCCTTATCTTCAGTACTTCTCCAAGGTGTCGCTGCTCACTTGGCACTATACAACTTCTCGTTCAAAACATCACCTCCATCGGCGTTCGACCCATGGGGCACGGCTGGCGTGCAGAATTTTTTAAAAAAACTCCACAAATACCGAGTTTGCCGACTGGGATCATGGTGTCGTCTATGCGAATGCACAGAACCTGTCAAGAACAGTGAGTTCATGAAACGGGGTGGTCTCTTGATCCGCAGAGAATATGACCGACTTCAATAGTTAATGGAATTGCCCGTGAATATGATGACACGTACTGTACGTTTATCTTTGAGCTCTGCAAGCGATTGAATTCATGTTACTATGTTGCAAGGCATTCTGCGAGCGCGCCAAAACAGAGTTTATCGGTATCCCTAACGTGGAGATCATTGTCCGTAACGAAGGTTAGATATTCTATTGCGTTTGAGGTTCTCTTAACATATGCACTGATGCCTCGACAACTTGGGAGTCTGAAAAGGACATGGTACACTTTTTACACTCGATGTATGTTTGATATTGGCATGTTCTCTTGTAGCGCATCTTACTCTCGGTAACTCAAGGGGCTGATCAGCCTGCGAGGTCCCTCTAGATGTAAGCATGCCCTATCCTCTTTGTCTGTAGTATCTTTTACAGTTTGATGGTTGTAAAAGTCACTACAAGGACGCCTGTTCAAAAGACGCACAACCTCTTGCTTTCGTGGGCAAGGGCATCTCTTTCGACATCGGAGGAATCAGATTGAAACCTTCAGCAGTAAGACCATCGCTCTTCAACTGGAAGGTCTTTCGCTCACCATACCTAAATGGATACAGGACATGAAGCTGATGCGCGGCGATATGGGCATAATCCGAACTGAGCTTGAAAGTGGCCACTAACTTTGAACTGCAACTTAAAGCGGGGCGGCTGCAGTCGTATCATCTCTACTCGCGATCGCTCAGCTTCAACTCCCGTACGTTTGTGTCCACTTCAATCTACACTTATTCTCATCTATCTTGGTTGCAGAATCAATATTGTCACCGTCACTCCAACTTGCCCGGCCCCAAAGCCATCAAGCCAGACGATGTGTAAGTTCCGGAATGCGATATTAGTCACTGGCATGTATTGGACTGAGCATCTGCCAGAATCTACGCTATGAATGGTAGATCCGTTGAGGTCGACAACATGGATGCTGAAGGTCGTCTTGTTCTAGTTGGTGCGTACTCTTGCTATCTACTGACGTCGTGATGAATTTTAACATTCTCAAAGATGCGTTGTACTACACATCAGCCGAGTTCAAGCCGCACACGGTCATCGACGTTGCCACTCTCATCGGGTATGTATTGATTGTTCACGCTTCTCTGCCTGAATTTATTATTGATAGGGCTGCGGAAGTCGCGCTGGGTGAGATCTACACCGGTGTTTTCACGGTTCGTCGTTTCATCACTACCCGCCGACATCTCGTTGACTGAACTCTTGTATTAGACCTCCGAAACCGACTGAGTGTTGCCGGAGAGAGCGAGTACGATCACTTCTAGCGCATGCTCCTCGACGAGGACTATGGTACACAGATTCTAACGCTGACTTGTGCAACGTAAGCCATCTATCTTCACGTTAGTCTTGCTTGAACTTACACTGTCCTTCATTTTTAAACTGGAGGGAAACCAGCAGGTTCATGTACCGCTGCACTATTCCTTAAGGCGTTCGTAGACGGCATCAAGGCCAAGGATGGACAGGAACCCTCTGTCCGATGGGCACCTTGATATTGCTTGGACTACGGAGTTAAGAACTTGTCGCTTGTGAAATCAAATGCAGGACGTATGTCATGAGCACAAGTGCGATCTAAACAATGGCGTTGTTCGCAATGCAGCTTTTATTGTGACTGCCTCTCCATTATTAGTTCCAATCTCTGATAATTTCATTGTAGTTCACGCGCCCACCATACCAGGAGAAAGGAATGACTGGGCGTCCTGTTCGGTAAATCATTTCAAACAAAATTTAGGTGATACATCCCAACATCATCGTTCAGTGCATTGGTATAATTTGTCAGACGTCTCTCAAGCCAAGAATGAGATGTGCAGAGATGGGTATTGCTCACTACGATAGGCCTCTATTTTGCACGTTTTGCAAAATGTCAATGACCAGGTTAGCGGTGAAATCTATGTTCCCAGTCCAATAGAATATTTGACTGAATGATTACCTGATTTGTGTAGACTAACTTTCTGACGTTTATGAGATTCTGCCCGGATCACCAGTGTAATCAACAGCATGGACATGTAAAACGTAGACGATACCATCAGTGCGCTCAGTATTTCAGCAATGCAACGTCGATGTGCTGTGGGTACTCTCCCCTCCTGGGGACCGATCTCACGAGGACGAGCGAGAATAGCGCCAGATAGAGATAGAGTGACATGGAGATCGCTGACAACTGATTGGGTGGGGAAAATGAGGATCGTGGATTGCTTGAACAACATCATCTTCGCGTAAATTAGATGCCCAGCTCTGTTTGGATTGTGTGTATAAATTGTATTGACGAAGATGAACTTCGACTCGATCTGGTATCAGATTGAGCGTAGGAAACCCAGATACGAACAGGAAAAGGTCAGAAGGCTGTATAGTTTACAATAAAATGGGTCAGCCTTGGACAGGACTCGAATAATATTGTCATCCCCTACTATACGAAGTAGGGAGGGTTTTGTAGGATCCGAAAATTCAGGCACTTGTTGCTCGACTTTACACAGTGTGAACTTCCTTCCTTTTATGTCCAACTGTCCTTTGTCCGTCAACATTCTAGAATCACGTTCTTAAGCGTTTGGCATTCTGCAGTAGCACGCCAGGTGCCGAAAAAGATAGCGGGTTTGGCCACTTGTCAAGTACTTTGTGCTGGCGCTACCAGCTTAATTATAGAAAGAACGGTGGGAAATGACGCAGACGTGAAAAGATAACATTTTGGATCACATTCGCGGAGTCGGGGATGAATAGGGTACCGCACGGGTAACACCGAGGGTCGGAAAGTTGACACCGCACCCGCACCCGCCAACACCGTACCCTTCACCGGTACGGGTACACACCGACCCGTCAATGTCGCGGTTTATGGAAAACACCGCGGTGTCTCTGAACACCGCGGGTACATTACCAAGAAGAGTGTATTAAGTATTAACAACAATGAAATAAAATAGTACTACTTTTCCTTGTCATTCTCCTCTGCTTCGACTTCATTTCGCTTCCGTTTTTGAGTCCTGACAGCGGCTAAAAGGTCCTCCATCACCAGAAGATCACTTCTGCCCCACGCTCCGAGGCAGAGAAAGGCACGAATTGTTGATGGTGCGAGTCGGTTGCGAGTAAAATGAAGGAGCTGCCGGCCCTGCGAGAAGACACGTTCAACCGCAGTTGATGTTGCTGAGCAAGATAATAAGTATTGATTGATTGAAAGAGGATTCGAAGGAGACATACCTGGGACAGAGAGATAGTCGAGTGCCATCCGATGCAGCATTGGATAAGCACGGCAGTTGTTTTGCCACCATGCGAGTGGGTCCTTGGTTTTCACAGTTGGTAATCGATGAGTTTCAGTAGTACGAGACATGGAACCAAGTGAGTAGTCACCAAAGTCATCCTTTGTTATCGTCAGTGGCAAGTGAATCAGTACTTGATCGCGTAAGATCAACGGTGTCTGTGGGGCTCGATCGAGAAGACCGAGACACAAATGACTGCTTGACCTTCTTCAAGGGGCGGGCCAGAGCCTTAGCACCCTTTGCAACAGCCTTTTTGAGTGACCTGGCCTTCTCGGAGATGGACGACGAGATAGACTTAGATGATGAGTGTGACTGGGTAGACGAAGCATCAGATGCCTTCTTTGTGAGCTTAGTTTTCATGGGGAGACGACTCAGTGGACTTACTGGTCTCGAGTTTTTGCCTTGGCTTTATGGTAGTGACTCGAGCTTCTCTGCAACGAAGTGTCAGCTCAATAAATTGCTAGAATGATTCACGGGGGTACAAAAGACATGACAGAAATCAGTATAGCATTCACTTGTGATCCTCAAGCTCTCAGAGGAAGGAAAAACAGAGAATCAAACACGGTGTTCAATGGCTGTCGCGCGCCTGGTTCCCGATTTGGTATATTATACCCGCCCAAACACCGTCAACCCGCGGTGAATGGCCACGGTATGCTCAAGGGTACGACTATCCTACTCCGTACCCGTACCCTCCAAACCCGTCAGCATAGAACCGCGGTGTTACCCGTACCCGTGCGTTTCCCTAGGGATGAACGATAGTTATATAGCACACGGTAACGACGAGGCAACCCTTGAAGGCATGAGCGAACTTCTTCCCGGGCGAGACATTCGAGACGACGTCCACGGGAACAGAGACCCATGGAACCAGACGGGAAGCAGAGAGACGACTGTCCGCATGGCCGAGAGATTTTAGGGCAGGGGGGAACTTTCGCAGGGCGGCAGCAACTTGGACACCGTACAAGTCTGACAACTCAGCAGCAATGCGAGTGGCTCGGGTATTCAAACTGGCTGGAAGATGACGGGAGCCAGAGTTTTCCACTCGAAGCGACGACGAGATTGCACTGCATACTTTAGAAAAGTGTTCAATTAAGGCTTCAATAGAAAGATCTTTGCGACGAACTTGCGACTTGGTGAACCCCAGGCGGCGGGCAATGTCACGCAAGTCTGCAGCGGGAACCTCGCTTAGATTGTCTCGATAGATGTCCACAGCGTGGAAGAACCAAGGAGGGTCACGCTTGAACTTGAGCAGAAGGCAAGACTCCATAGTAACGGCTGCTCGACATCCCTCATAGCACCTGAAGACACTGCAATGGGCGTAGGATGCCGGTGCGAAATGAGAAGGAGAGAAAGACACGGAAACACCACCGATTCGGATATTGACCGCGACCCCATCAAATGATACGGAGTGTACCTCGATACATGATGCACACTTGGCACACGACAAAACATGATAGTTCAGCGCTGAATACAGCCATGAACAGAACCCCGAAGGTGTCTCAAAAACAGCAGGATGACACTCGGGGTGATACAACGGATCATAATACAAAGGAAAATCAGCGGGAGAATGTAAAACATGGAGAGGAGGGCAATCATTGACATCGAGTACGCGAGTAATCACAGAGGGTGTTTTATGCAAGAACGCTGCCATGGGATGGAGTAAACGAGCACGAACAAGAAAAGCTGCAGATAGTCGAATCAATAACGACCGAAAGGGACCGAGGAGATGGACACACCGTGATAGGTAGCACACCAAAGGCAACGGCACGAACAAAGATAGAAGGGTCCTGAAAAAAGGTAAAATATTTAACGACTGAAAGGCAAGCACAGAGGGAACGCGGACACACCTCGCTAGCTAGCACACAGAGGACAAGGGAACCAAGGGAGATTCAATTGAGCGTCCAGAAAAATGTATCCCCGGTGTGTTCCCACCACACTAGCTAACACAGAGGAGAAGGGCACAAACTATGCAGAGAGCCGGTTCATTAACAACTGAAAGGTACAGAGTACATCGACTCACCGCGCAAGGTAGGACACAGAGGACAACGACACGAACAAAGACAACAGCGTCTAGAAAAAATGAAAGATCAATCGACTGAAAGGCATGCGCAGGGAGGACGCGGACTCACCTCACTAGCCAGGACACACTAATATTGTCATTGATATTGGTGCGGTACCGGGTGAAACGAGAACATGTGCGTGAGAGAACAACGGAGTCGGGGATTGGAGTACTGGCGCTCACCGCTGCTACTAGATGTCCACTAGAGTTCGCGCATTTTTGGGGTAACGTCTATTACTCCACAACGCACAAACATAAAAATTTAATTCTTCGACAGTTCCATAGCCTGACAGCCCATTATGGGGGATTGCATAATATCATGTACGATTCATCAAGCGTGGTGCAGTGGACCTGGCGGGTACGCTCAGTTCGTCCCGTTAACTTCCAGAGGTGGCTTAGACCTGACGCCGCCTTTCTCATTGTGTAGTATCTCTGTCGTCAGTCCTATTGGAAACAGTAGGGCAACCGGGGTCATAGGTAAGTCTTTTACTCCGTGCTCACAGTCAAATGGTTACTACTTGACACCGTCTTGCAGACACCACTGTGGCAAAGCAGCTCATAGACAAGATTTACGAGAAGAGAAAGGCAGCCGCTCTCGAATCAGAGAAGCAATTATACTCGCTTGCAGTTGATAGTAATGCGTTGAGCGTTCTCAGGCAGATTCGGGAATGCCACCAGCAAATCGACCACCGTCGTATAACACAGATCATTGAACAGCTGGTGGATATGTTCAGCAATTCACCAAATCTCCTTCACATCAGAAACGGAGGACTCGTTGACATAGCTGGTACAGCCATTGCCCTCGGCATGGACGTCGCCTCGTACATAGAAATTCATCGAACCCGTGCTGGCGTGCTTTACGGATCCAGAAAACAGAATACGATATCTCTCCGCCGAATGTCTGTACAACATCGCCAAGGTATCCAAGGGCGAGGTTCTTTCAACCTTACATTCGACGCCCTCAGTAAAGTGCGGTAGCTCCTCGTCAAGTTTTGCATTATAACCGAGCTGAACTTCTCAGCTAGCTGATTCAGAGTTATCGGTCAAGAATGGGGCGGAGCTGCCTGATAGAATTCTGAAGGATATTGTGGCAGAGACAGCTTCGGTGTATATTCCGCAGTATCCAGAGACGGTGAGGATTCGCGACCTGTTCGATTCTCAGGAGCAGAGTATACTTGTTTCTTAACCCGATGTCCGATTCCTAGGAGAAAACATCACTGTAGAAGAAGGCATTCTCCCTCGCGCGCTTCATTCCACTGTTGCAAGGTAGGATATATGTCCCTGGTTCATTCACAAGGAGCTACTTGGCATCGTGGATAGCAGTGCTTGACTCGGTCGAGGAGCTCGAACTTCTAACATACCTCCTAGAGTTCCTAGACGGCCTCCTGTGAGTCGGAAGGTTTGTGGCTCAAGATGCTCGCTGATGCACCTATTCAGGAAGCACTTATCAGACCCCACCGAGGATGTGCGCGTAGCCACAGAACATTCTTGCCGATTTCCTACGTGAAATTAGAGACGTCTGTATGGTTCATCAACGCAAATAAGAACACACTGAGCCTTCTGATCTACGACGCTCAGATGAGAAGCTTCCTGACATCACGATGTCTCACTCTGAACGCGCACGTTTCATCACCAAGAGTGAATTTGGCCACGATCATGATGGAGAGCACAGTTTCAAGGATGAGCACAAATCAGAAGACTATCGCGGCACTGGAGGTAGGGATTGTTTAACACATTCATTGAAACTACTCACTGCTCGTGCAGCCTCAGTTCCTGGGCAGGGTGTGCGGAGAGACTATGCAGCCATAATAGAAATTCTCATGACAACCAACGTGAGTTGTTTCCATCCAAGCTCACTGCATTGTACTTATCTTGCATGCACAGATGACGAAATCCAATAATCTACAGCCCTTCGTTGGTTCGCCGAGTTCTTGACCTTTCTGCCCGATGTCATGACGCCCCGTCTTATTCCTGCCATACTCCCGAATCTAGCACACCATGTCCTGATGATCCAGTCGGCTGCACTCTGAACTAACAATCTACTTTCGAACGTCATCCAAAACATACCCGGGCCAGTGGAGGGTCTATCCGGACAGAACACAGCAGAGAAGTCAATCGCGCCAGCAAGCTCACCAACCCAAATCCCCCAACCTTCACTGCACAGCCACCGTCCAGAGATGCCTCTTCTCCCGAGTCCGTGGGTGATAACCGGCCATCGTCTTCATCCGATAAAACCACCATGACGCAGCGTCCTCGCTCAGGGACAATGCAAACTACTGTCATGGAATCTTCGAGCAGGCCTCGATCTCGCACGTCATCAAATAGTGTAGTGGGTGCTCCGCCACCTCCGCCAGCTCCAGCTCCAGCTCCAACGCCTCCTTCACCCGTGCAGGAGGAGGCCAGTTTAATTATCAGGCGACAGTTAATGAGTTGACGATACAGTTTTTGAGCCAGCATGAGCAGATTAGGGTTGCTGCACTGAAGTGGCGCATAATGCTGCACCAGAAAGCACTGAAGCAGGTGTGCTGGAATCCGTCTGGAGTATGCGCAAACTGATGAGATTGTCAGATTCTTGCGATGGATGATGGTACTTTCCCGGCGTTGCGTCAGATTCGTCCGAAGAGGTACTCAGATGTGCATTGACCTTGCATCATGCGACTCATATTTTCGTTGCAGCTCCCCGCGCAAACATTGTCCTCCTCAGAAGAGAGCTACTTCAAGGATTTCATGATGGACCTTTTCGAACTCTTCAGCACAGATAGGAAGCTTCTTGAGGCCTGCGGCAGTCCTATCATCCACCAGTCGTGTCTCAGTCTCAATACGGAGAGGATATATGAGACATTTGCAGAAATTTTGGAGAAAGAAGAGGTTGCTCGTCTTTTGTGGTCCCTAATGCAATGTTACCTGACTGCTATTATACAGGATCTGGAGTTTGCAAGCGAACGTGCAGATGCTGAATATGATCCTGATCACTTTGCCTGAACAGTTCCGAAAACGGCTGAAGGGCCTTGAGACAAGGGTTGGTTGAGCGCATTCTCGTTTGATTTCTTGACTTGACTGATGACACGTGCAGCAAGATGGTCAGGCGCTGTTCACCACGCTTTACAGGTCATGGTGTCATAATGCGATTGCAGTGTTTTCGTTGTGCATGCTTGCGCAGGATTACGAGCATGCATCAAATTTACTATCTATCTTGTAAGTTTGTCTCACATGGCGTGTTTGATCGTTGCTAACAATGTTACGCCGGCGCTGATTTGGAGATCACCGTTCCACTGCTGATCCAAGTCGACAAATTAGTGCAGCTGATCAAATCTCCCGTATTCACTTGTGAGTTATCTATTAATGAGATGAATCAGAGGTTGATGATATTCCGGAAGACCTACACCTTCAACTCCTCGAGCCTGAGCGTTACCCCTACTTGTTCAAGTGTCTATATGGGTTGCTCATGCTACTCCCCCAATCCACCTCTTTCGTCTCACTCCATAGCCGTCTCAACGGAGTCAACTCTGCCGGCTTCCTCCACATTGCCCCAAAAGCGTGAGTTGACCCACTCTCATTTCATCATGTGCTATTGTTAACCAATACGAGGACACCCAACCCTATCGCCTCACGCTCTGAGCTCGGCCGCGGTGAGACAAAATGGCAAGAACTTCTCGATCATTTCGCTCGCTACAAAGCAAGCACGAGAAAGCGCGACTTGGGATCTCGGGAATACTTTATCTCAGGATGATATCACCATCACACTGCTCTCGCTACTTGCGTCTGGTGACCTCCCAGTGCTGCCGATTATCCCGCCAAAGCCCACACTGAGTCCGCTCAATCCAAAGGCGAGGCAGAATGGGCTGATGGCAGGCATGTTGCAGGGTGTGATGACACCGGGGGTAATGCAACAGAGGACGAGGCGGACTCTGGGCTTACCTGTGGTGGGACCCAGGAAGGGGTGATTAGGTTTGGTTTCGATTGGTTCGGTTTGCAGCGGACTTACAGTGCATACTTGCATGCACATGATACTCTAATGATAGAAAACGATTTGACTCAGAGTTTCGCATACCGAGATGTCAGCATGTGCATTGCAGCTTCAGAGTTGGCAGTGAACAAAGGCTCTTTCAAGAGTTTTCCTTGGACCCTTGCGCGGTCTTACTCGCGTAAGGGAGTTATTAATCTGGGATAAAGTGATTGTCCATACCCGCTAGCTGGAAGGAATGAGGTTATGATGCTGAAAGTCGGACTAACGGCAGCGAATCTTTACCTTGAGAAGGATGGCAACGATGATTCCTGTCCGATCTTTCCCAGCCGGCAAAAATCGAGTCGAAACTAGCGAGATGAAAAGAAGTATGAACGAACCCCACGGGTGCAGTGAAAGATGAAGGGAGGGTTTGGTTTGTCCGGGACATGGCACATAATATTATGGTATCAATGCGGGCCCGCCGTGTTCTAGTATTAGAGGACCATGAAAGCCTGCCGGTCTCGAAAAATGGCTGCAGAAACCGTACAGTATCATGGAGTGAATATATATGTACGTCAGTGTCACGGTTGTCGAAGAAAAATAAACCTATCATGTGGTGATCAGCACCGCGCAGCTTCAAATTGACTTCAAATTGTTAGACTAGATCATATCATGAGCTGGACTTATAGCCGGACGCTACACAGGCCGCGCTTCTACTATAGCACCCTGCCAACCCAACGCCCGGCCAGTCTGTACGCCGCTCTACCGCAGCCCTCAAAGCTCCTTCTCAGTTCCCGATTCTGTTGCCCCAGTTGTCCCTCTTCGCCTTTCTATTGCCCTCAACTTTTCCACGAGTCTGTTGCCCGTTCTGTTGCCATTCTCTGTTGCCGTTCTGTTGCCCCCAACATTTCACCGGCACGTTTGCCGCATCTGTAACCGTGGGAGTCGGGGATCCGATCAGAGTCCATCGTAGTCAGACCTGGATATAGAAGGAACCTGGAGGACAGTCGTTCCTTCTTGATTATGGATCCTAACTAAGTATCAATTATCATTCCTTGTTACACAGCTGAAAATACCGAAGATGAGTCTCGCACCGCGATATCGTTCGCATGCATCATTGAGTCATGCATCGTCACGGGCCATGATCGGTTCACTTTAGATTGAACAGGTGGTCGTAGGTATAAAGGTCAGCACCTTCGTCCCCCTTTCCCAGCGAATTACTACCGCAAACTCACTCTTTTATCATGGCCAACATCATCGATTCTCAGTGTGTCTTGGTCGTTGGATCCGCTGCAGAAATAGGTCGTACTCTTGCCCTGCTAACCGTCAATATTGTCTGCAGTCGCTGCAAGGAAAGGCTCGATGAACTGGTTGCCTTACACATTGCTACCGGACGACTCAAGAGCGTTACTCTTGACGTTCTTTCAGAGCGCAGCGTTCTCAAGTCTTCCATCGAAGATATCGTCAACACTTACCCAGATGTATGTGCCCCTAGCACTATCCCATGCAAATCGGCACTGACCGGCTGTCTAGGTTCTTGTTCTCGAATGGCATTCAACGGGCCTTCGACTTCACTAAGCCAGAAGCCGTTTATCCCGAATGTAGGTCTCCTGCTGTCACGGTGCATCTATGATTACTCATGGCGTTCTCATCTCGGTCAGCTCTCAAGTGTGAACTCGCCACCAACCACACCTCAATTGTCAGGATGATCACCTTCCTCCCTCATCTTATCGAGCTTGGGGTATGAGTATTTTTAACCCTTGTGCAGAAGCAAGGCTGTCTGACGTTCTTTTACACAGTTTATTCAGGGCTGTCCGTCGTTCCTGCCGCTGAAATCACTGCTGTGCGACAAAATCTACCAACTTGAGCATCTCACTCGCTGGTCAGCTCAACGAGAAGAACGATCACGTGGTTGAGATTATTCCTCCGTGAGTAACACTACTTGTTTCGTTGTTGTTGAACTCATTGCCATGTGAAGACTCGGTCGAGTCGGATTTTCATGACTGTAAGTTCCCTTCCAATTTTCCGTATCTACTGTCTCTTGACCTGCGTGCGCGTTAGTCGAAGGCACAACACAGCGTCTGGCCAATTTCTGACTCTCGCTCAAAGAATACACGAAGGTGACGATGAAGGGCCTTGTTCGAGGCGACCCACACGAGGGTTGGTCATTGAACAGCACAAAAAGTTTGAGGGGAAGTTTGAGGTTGCAACGAAGATGTGTGAGTAATTCTTTAATCGTCCACGAATAGACTGCCAATTTTCCTCGGTATCACCCTGCCAGTATCCTTGAAACAGGCTGGGACATCCTTTTCTTCTGTGTGGCGCGTATTGTTCTCATGGGCTTCTATCTTACTTGTCAGATGCCATTTTCTGAGGTACTCTGTCACGCGATGATTCGCGACGCTCGTGGACGCAAAATGAGAAAATCGCTCGGTAACGTCATTAGCCCGATCGATGTCGTCCTGTCGCTTGAGCAACTCCACCAGAAATTGTATTTGGAAGTTGGAGGATAAGGTTCGTGTATACTGCTGTTATTAGCGTTCTCATTTACGCTAATTTGTGATTTGGGCTTCAGGGTCTCTTAGCTGCCGTCAATCACACCAAGCACGACATTGCTGCTGCTTCTGCACATCACAAACGCCTAGGCAGTCTCGCAGGTCGTCTCGCAGGGTACATCAATCCCTCAATCAGCACTGGCGGTACGGAATGGATTGCAGGTATGGCTCCGTGGAACGCCTCACTGCAGCTATGCCGAATTTGTACTTATCTCCAAAGAAACATCTGTTTTATCACCAATCCTGCCTTTCTTGTCACGAGGTGCATCACACAACTAATTCTGTTTGCGTATTCTCATCGCCTCTCAGACACATGGAAGACTTTGTCACTTCCGACCCTTCCGAGTTGAAGAGAATCATCATGAACTACAACGACGACGTAGGCGATCGATTCTGAGATTCACATCCCCTTCTGACAATCTTCTGAAGCTCGACCAAAAAAATCGTAAGGGATTTCCTGCTCGGTTACTCGGCACTCTCAAGCATGAGCTTGCATACTCTCCCAGTCCTTCAAGCTGTGCCGGAGAATCTGGACGATAATCCGACAGTTCAACATGAGGTGAGCATCTCCATCATCCCGTTTCACATAGTCCCGCTTTCTTTTGTACACTTCAGTGTATTATGATGCTAACCAACATTCGAAACAGGCAGCAGAAGCAATGGGTGCGATCTTGTCGCCTAATTTCAAGGCAGTCCTCGCACATCAGAGGACTGGTGAGCCGCAGATATCGTCATATATAGAAAAGGTTTTCGTTATATTGGAATATTGGAATATAAAGTCATATAAAGTCATGTGTAACGTAGGAAAACCACCGCAATCAACGTAGGGCACCCTGGGGAAACTCACGAAATCTTTGATACCTGCATGGAATACGTGCATGAGCTGCTCGATCATGCTCGATGTATCACAGACAGTGGGGGGCATGTACTTCATTGATTGCTGGAGCAGCTGTTTATTGCTTAGCACGGTTATGCACACTGCTGGAAAATACCTGGCCTAGAAAGTAAGATGAATATACCAGCAATGATCAGTCAAGTCATCAGTTGTGGGTGTACAAGACGAGTGAGGCCTTGAGGACTTAGATCGTTTGTTAAGAGCATGTGGTCACGTGGTATGATGTAATGTAGCCCGTTTGGACCCCCAGCTTTGAAAAGCTGGGGGTCCAAACGGGCTACATTACATCATACCACGTGCTTTAGTCATCGTAGCGGCGGTGAGACGCTAATCCTCCACTCTGCCGCATTGCCCGCGTCATTTACCTATTTATCCCCATTGCGAGCGTGAACGTTACAAACGACACTGACACGTTCGTTTTGTGATTCGCGGAGTTATAGACGCCCCATCGATTTAGAGTTGTCACATCGACTTCCGCAGAGTACCAAGTTTGAAGTAAGTACTATATAATCACCCAAGTTCCGACTCTCTTCATGCTCGGAGATGGACGTCGACACCGACGCGGATCATGATGTACCAGATTCCGTACAAGCCTGACATCCATCAGTTCGTCGACCCATCATTTCCATAGATTCGATGATCTACCATGAAGCTATTCACCCTCGTGCTATGTTTGAGCTTCGTGAAATTCCCTCCGGCGAGAATATATCCGCTGTTCCCTATTCCTGCACTCATTGTCGCTCCTTAAAGCAATCTTGTTCGCGTCTCTTGCCCTGCGATCGGTGCACCAAGACCGAGCGGCCTTGTGATGCCAGTCAACCACGCTATCAGAAGCTTCCCCCGCCCAAAATAACCAATCTTAAAAAATGTGCACCAACCTCTGTATCCCCACCAATATCCGGAATGTCCAAGACCCCTCCGGCGCCACCCTCCAAGATGATAGTAGCTTCAAGATCCAGCCAACCTATAACAACTTCTTCAAACTCTCGGTCACCAAAGAAACCGAAATTGACCCATCCGAACTCTTCAAGTACTCCCAAAAAAACTTCTAAATGCAAGGGGAATAAGAATAAGGTCGATGGTCCCTTCAGAGCACCAGTCAACCTGGAAACTAGAAGCGGTTGGTACCTCATCAGATTTGCCCATTCATGCACATAACGCGTCACGAATAGATGCCGCAGTCTCCACAGCACCGGTTTGGACTTTTGTTAGACCTCCAAAGACCAAGTGTGCGATTGACAGCTGTGCTGTTCCCACAGTCGATACCCTTCTTTGTACACCTTGCACGCCTCGAGTCTGGACAAACGTGAGGTACCTCGAAATGATGAATGCGAATCGAGTTTAACTAGATACCCAGTCTCGCGCAGAATTTGCTTCGATATTTCCTGAACCCACGAAATTTCTTACGGGTATCTCATGGCGGCAGTTTCAAATGCCCACATTGTTCCTAGAGTATCCTAACCCTGAGCATTCTTGGAGAGACAGAAATACTCTGGAAGTCGTTTAGTGAGTTCCTTCTGTTTTTAACCCTTGTTCACTGATTGAGCAGCGTCAAATATAGGGAGTGGAGTTATCGATACGGACCCGAAGTACTTGTACGTGGCGATTCGCATGACATAACACACGACGAGAGGCCCTCCGATAACAGTGATCTGGCAGCACGGGTTAGAACTCGGCATATTTGCGAGGCTTGCGTCCTGATCTCGAATTTAGGTGGGATGCCGCGTCCTCCTTCATCCCCATCAAAAGCGACCATCTGCAGTTCAATTTCTCATCGTTCACTGCACATCTAGCTGCGGGATCCGAAGGTGGGCTCGTTCGAATTCTTTCCATTCCGTCACTTAGATTACGAGAAGTGTTGTCATCCGATGCCATAGCTGTGTCACAGTTATCCACGTCAGCTGCAGTACCGGTAGTAAATTCACCATTGCCGACGGTCTTGTCTCCATCTCTAGTTCCGGAACTGGATACGCCGGCAGTGTCTTCCTCAGCAACTCCTCAAATCCAACCCCAGATACCTGAACATAGGCCATCTGAGATCGAGACATTGGATCAGTGTCGCATGGACAAAACCCTTTTCCTTGTTTTCATATCTCGAGAAGGCGGGCTCTTACCACTGCAGCTCCCTCCTGAATACGCATGCTGTTGCTTGGGATTATTTGTCATTTCTGACCTGAACGTCAGTTCTTTGCTCGTTTTACTGGTCACGTTTGTTGATCTCCCTGCAGGCAGATATAGACAACACAGTCATGACTATTTCTAAAACTCAGAAGTGCGAACGCGTACGATGACGCCTTACCTTGGAATGGGTACCGGGAGGCGAAGAGGGGTTGTCGGAAAACATCAATGAGAAGTCGCACCCATGGTGGATTGATCTTGTTGAAAAGGAGGCTGGCTCAGTGAAGACACCCAGCGACCTAAGTGCCCTCTATTTCAGCTTTCTGCCTTTGGGCATCCTGGCAGGCTTCAAACCTAGCGAGTATTTTCCAAGAGGCTGGTACTGCGGAGACTTAATGCGCAGAGGTGTTTTCGACACCAAATCTGCCTGAGTTCCAGATGCAAAGTGATTTTTTCCCCGTAACTAGCGTTGTCGAACCTTACTGATTATGGCAGCAGGGAAAAGTAACGACCAATGATAGTGCCTTGATTTGCCACACTGATCCGCTACAAGCACTTCGAGGACCGCATTATCGTTTGCCCATACGGGATGCTTGAATTCTGGAGAGCCTAAGCTCCTCCAGGCCGAGCCTAAGCCTCCATGTTGTCAACCTCAACGGATTTACCATTATAGCGTAGATTCTGGCAGATGCTCAGTCCAATACATGACTAATATCGCATTCCGGAACTTACACATCGTCTGGCTTGATGGCTTTGGGGCCGGGCAAGTTTTCACAAATTGGAGTGACGGTGACAAGATTGATTCTGCAACCAAGATAGATGAGAATGAGTGTAGATTGAAGTGGACACAAACGTACGGGAGTTGAAGCTGAGCGATCGCGAGTAGAGATGATACGACTGCAGCCGCCCCACTTCAAGTTGCAGTTCAAAGTTAGTGGCCACTTTCAAGCTCAGTTCGGATTATGCCCATGTCGCCGCGCATCAGCTTCATGTCCTGTATCCATTTAGGTATGATGAGCGAAAGACCTTCCAGTTGAAGAGCGATGGTCTTAGTGCTGAAGGTTTCAATCTGGTTCCTCCGATGCCGAAAGAGATGCCCTTGCCCACGAAAGCAAGAGGTTGTGCGTCTTTTGAACAGGCGTCCTTGTAGTGACTTTTACAACCATCAAACTGTAAAAGATACTACAGACAAAGAGGATAGGGCATGCTTACATCTAGAGGAACCTCGCAGGCTGATCAGCCCCTTGAGTTACCGAGAGTAAGATGCGCTACAAGAGAACATGCCAATATCAAACATACATCGAGTGTAAAAAGTGTACGATGTCCTTTTCAGACTCCCAAGTTGTCGAGGCATCAGTACATATGTTAAGAGAACTTCAAAAGCAATAGAATATCTAACCTTCGTTACGAACAATGATCTCCACGTTAGGGATACCGATAAACTCTGTTTTGGCGCGCTCGCAGAACGCCTTGCAACATAGTAACATGAATTCAATCGCTTGCAGAGCTCAAAGATAAACGTACAGTACGTGTCATCATATTCACGGGCAATTCCATTAACTATTGAAGTCGGTTATATTCTCTGCGGATCAAGAGACCACCCCGTTTCATGAACTCACTGTTCTTGACAGGTTCTGTGCATTCGCATAGACGACACCATGATCCCAGTCGGCAAACTCGGTATTTGTGGAGTTTTTTTAAAAATATTCTGCACGCCAGCCGTGCCCCATGGGTCGAACGCCGATGGAGGTGATGTTTTGAACGAGAAGTTGTATAGTGCCAAGTGAGCAGCGACACCTTGGAGAAGTACTTAAGATAAGGCATTGTGTAGATCAAACTATATCTTACCAGCAGCATGAGGATTTGTTGATGCATCGATAACAGCATAAGAAGCACCATCACTAAGTCCCTTAACACTCTTCAAGTTTATACCACTGGCAATGGCCTTACGAACGATCTCGTCCTACATCCCCAGTTTTTGAGTTAAACCCCTCACCAAGTGACACAAGTGCAGTTGTGTCGAACGCAGGAGTCCTATAGAAGAGATGGGGCGTGCAACCTTGGCAGGTTTCTGCGCCTAAGGAAGTGGAGACCGCAAGGTTGCTGGGTTGACACCTAGAATAGCATTTCCTGCAGGATTCTTGGGGTCAACGGGTACAACATATGCTTTGATGACATCGTTCGCAGTAGGACTGATGATCGATGGACTGCTCTTCTGGTGAGTATGTGCAACTTGAATGTCGTGCGCACTGCGTCTAGACTCACCAACAGCATCTGCTGAGCCATGGTTACAGCTTAGTTAAAAGTTTTGAACGTCCACACAGCAACTGAATACTCTAAAATTAGGTTCCAGTATTACTATTCGGGTTTATTACACCGATAACACCGTGACATTCGCCACAAACTACAACCTCATCGAAGCGCTGAACGAGAGAAAACGGTGCTAGTAAATTTGCAGTCTCTCCTAATTAATAGCACCTCGAGTTGGAGTCCCTGCTTCTTATATTATTACTTCCGCGTAAGCCCTCTCAAGTCCAGTATGACTCGTACGGGAGACCCGCGTTTTGGTTACATGATTGAGTGGAAAAGGCCCTTGCAGGTGGAAATATACTAATCTTATTGGCATTTGTTATGCGTTCTTGTGTGAGTGCCATCCTTTTTGTTGCGATTCTCATATGAGTCTGCAGGTTGCATGGTGATCCTGCTATTACATGCTTTGCTAGCAGCTATAATGTTCTCCGTATCCTGTCCCCTCGCCATCCGAATCTATATACGCCCGCTCCAATCGCGAGGGCAGCGTCGACTCGAAAGCGAACCTTAAAACCTTATGATTGTGTTGTAAGTCTCTTTCATTTAACTCTTCATTCAGTTTGACACATCTTGCCCCTTACTCCCCACCTCGTCCACCGGTCAATCAATACCTCGCTCGTCCTAACAGTGGACACCTCCTTGCATTCCTCCAGTCCTGCCTCTGATCACACACCGCCTTCTACTCTTTGTTTCGGGGCAAATTCCTTTTATATGGACGCGTCTATTTAATGCAAGCGCAAATCCTACCACTGCTCAAAGCTGCCATGAACGGAGGTATCGTACAAAGGAGCATGCGTGCCGAACGAGGAGGATGAAGATGGGCCGGGAGCCTATTTTTCGTCTCCACTTCCTGCATCTCAGCACCCCAATGTCTATCATCGTCCACCCAGCAGCAGCGGAGCTTCATTTTCTGGGAGGCGATTTTTAAACCTGTTATGGTTCAGGGTTTGATGTCGGGGATGGATGGGTCCTGAAGTCCGTTGCTTGGTTCGAGGACTGGAATGTGGAGTAAAACACACCTGAGCCGATCACGTGCCATGGACGGGGGCAATGGATGAGTGAGGTGAAGTGGGTGGTGAAGTGAGGTGCGTGCTTTTTCATTTGACTGGTGTCTGTACCTCTGTCTTTGTACCGCTTCCCACTGTATGTTGGGTGATGGGATGTTGGTCACGCTTCCTTCTCACTTGCACCATTACCTGTTCGCATGTAACGTGGTACCGTCTTAGCGTCCGTCCACCCCTGGTTACCTCCTTGCGTGCATTCCAAACCACTCGATGCAAAAGTACTTGGACACGGCATTACGAGTGCGACAAGCTCCCCGATCTCTGTATATCTTTCCCTCTTGAATGTGTAGCACAATGCAGGTGGGATGCGGGTGTTGATGCAAGTTATCTAGTTTTTGTCTTTCTGTCTCATGTGCTACCGTTCTTCATCCAGCTCTTTTCTTCTTCTTCTGCTCATTCATGCTGCATACCTATCACCAAGTCCCTGTGGCCCCGTTAGCAATCTCACGGTTTCGCTTGCACCGAGCTGGGAATTCGTGCAAAGGGAGGGCTGGAGACAGGACGCGCTTGGGAACTGGGTTTCTACATGTTCTGGTTCTTGGACCAGTGATACTGTCTTTTGTGCTGACGACAGTAAGTTTCACAAATTGCTATATTATCACTCGCTCCTTCAAATCGACCACGCGACTGAACAGACTGTTGGGTTTAAGCTCACGACTTCTGGGATGATCCACGCCGTATGCCTCTTGAGGCTTAGAAGGCGTCTGGGACGACGAGGCCGTGGATGTTGGCGGGGAGAATGTCTTGTGATGCGATGTTTGTTAAGAGTGCTTATGGAATATTGGCGTTTGGGATCTGTACAATGAGTTGGGACGACGTGGATAATATCATTCGCTATGGTCCATTTTGAAACCACTACAGTCGACTGCTCCAGAAAACATTCACTCCCCAATATCTAACAACAGCGGATGGAGTTTCTAGCCTTCTAGCCTATATGACATGTGGACATGGCTTCATTACTCGGAAGTTTGTGGAGAAGCACATCCTTTGCTTTGACTCCCTAGATGCTTGTGTTGCACTATATGAGAGAGTGGAACACTCGAAGGAGGACAAGTGTTGCAACATTCGTATATGGGGAACTCCCTCTCCCGTCTTTGATATCCGCCCATGCACAAGTCATTCCAAGGAGCCTCTAACCCCAAAGGAGAAGTTTTCTCCCCTCTTTGACAAGTCGGTTCAATCTAGCTGGTTGGAGTTGCTTGGCAGTAGGGCAAATACAAACCCGGTCCACTGGTCAGAAGAAGATCGACTGGAAGCTGATGATATCAGGGCTTGGTTGTCGAAGCAGCAACTCCCAGGGTTCATTCACGGATTATCAGCTCTGCAATTTCTAAACAACACCGCCATATTCGGACTAGCGAAACAGCCCACACCTGATGCAACGGCTGCATTTATTGACCAACATCGTGGCATGGGAAGTTTCCAAGGTCTTTTGCTTCTTGGCTATGATATTGATGGCCGAGGGAGCAATTGGACGCATGCAGCCTTCCTCCACTTCTATCACCATCTTGACGCCTCGCTTGCTGGTGAAGACAAGGATGTTTTACAGTTTTCGCCGATATTTGCTGAACATTTGCTTTGCAAAGTGAAGCGATACTGTACAACATTCACCAAGACAGACCGAACCTCATTTCCAACATTGGCAAAAGAACGAACATGCAACTTGGAATGGGTAAAGGGACAAAATGTTAAAGATTCTTCCGGTACTCTTTTACCCATTCCTGTGGCGCTTAATAGAGAAAGCATGGATGCCATCATATCTAGTTTCGAGGTCAGTATCTACCTATTGTCAACATATGTTTTACAGTTACTGAAAGGCATCGTTAAGTCTTAAGGTATTTCAGATGAACGCCTCGGTCTACATGATGTATTGCTAGTATCAAGCCAGGTGACCAATACACAGTTGAAGTATATTGTACTAGTATCCTACCTAACCTACTTGACCATTTTCTCGCTTGAATATTGTCTGCAAGCTTGTTGATCAAATTCAAAATATCTGTGACAAAAAACTCTGCAAAATCCATGAGACTTGGAGATTGAGAACGCATGTCGGGTTGAGCTAGCTTCTCCGCAAGGACTCGGACGCGCATGTGTACATGGCTGTCTGAGTACGGGGAGCCGATGGAACTAGCTATAGGTGTGTTCCCATGTCATGTAAGCACAAGGTACACATGCACAAGAATAGTGCGACAACAGTAGGGACACTTGATAGATTTGTGTGTGAGGACCACCGTCGTAAGGTGATTTTGTACGGCGCTCCCAAGCAGAGACGTTGTGCTGCGGTGCGCCAGTCGTTAGCAGATCGGGGTTAGCCTGGCATAAGGTTCAGTGGTGTAAGCGCTGTTCAATGGCCAGATTGACGAACCATACCCAACGTTTTTCGCTGTCCGTCTTTAATCCTGCGATAAGACTCTCGCTGGCGGCGACACGCTGATTAAGGTGACTGAACGCCGCCAGGAGCTGAAGATGGGCTTTAAGTTGGTCTGGGCAGACGAGGTGCTGTGTGCTGTGTCATCCAATGGTGAACGTTTCTGAAAGGGTATACTGTGTTGGTTCTGGAGACTGGTTCTGGCTGAGGAAGAGTAGTATGTGGGGGGAGCTGCTCAGTCATGTTGGATGCTACTCACGATTGGTTCCTGGGAACGGATATATGCTTATCATACGGAAGAGGGGCGCCAGTGATAACATTGTCGTTGTCGATAGTAGGAGCCGCGGTTTTGACTATTCAGAATTCCAAGCCGGGCTGTGCACATCACTACTTGTAGCTGCGCGGTGGCATCAGTGAACTGGTGAACAGACTAGAAAGTAAAAGTTAGTTATATATAGTTAACAATCACAACAATCACCGTAACTCTGGTAGGGTGGTTACCTTGTGATGTGTGGCTTTGTGAAGGTAAGATGAATTTTTATATAAGTAAACCAACGAAGGTGTCCTGCCCGCCGCGGCGATGCACCGTTTTATGTCGGGGGGATGGGAGGCTTTTGAGCGCTTCAAGTGGAATGGCTCTTCAACACCTTGCAAAAGGACTTGGGAATGAACCACGAGATTCCTGAAGAGGATACTCAGGGCAGGAGCAAAGACTGCTGGAAAATCATCATTATTCACAGAGCAGTAGAGATATCAGTATACCTCACTGGCTTCCCTCTCTGCTAGTAGCAAATGAGGGTTTGAGTGGCTTCGCCCCGGCCACCTCAAACACCTCTTCTGGGAGGGATTACCTTCACTCATTGAATAGATTGGTTGTCAGCGCTCATCACTTACACACGAAATGTATGCTTCAAGCTTGCTCGTGCTTCAAGTTGTGAAGCGGCACAAACTGACTGTGGAGCCCATGATGCAGTCTGATTGAACACAGATCAATCAGTCACGAAGGTTTCGGCAGCATCCATCCATCGATAGCTAATGAAACGTACCTATGTAGAACATTGGAATAGGCTCGTGGTAAGGTAAAGGTAATGACTCAATCACCAGTTTGATTTAAAGCGGGCGGGCGCACATTCAAGTTTAGACTCTGCGCTTGTCCGCACAGCTATCCACAGTCCTACAACATATGCGTCCAAGAAGTAATATAGCAACAAAACAAACATAATCAAATATAGAAAAAGCGGAAGAAACAATAGTATTATAGATGAAAGCCTGCCAGCGAGCACACTAATTCCTTCCTATCCACTTGTCTACATCGCGATAAGCGGAAAGTGTGGTTACCGCCTCTTGGTCTCATGTCTGAGCCGGAGAGGGGGTTTGTATTGGCGCCTGATGAGGCAGTGTGGGAAGAGACAGAGAACGAGCCTCCGTTGACAAGGTCCCCTCTAACGGAGAGGATGATGCGCATAGACATCATCATCGCAAGCACAGCTGCCATGCTGGAGACAATTGTCTTGATGGGGTCAGTTTTGACGAGATTACAAGGAGAATGGCACCATACAGGTTCAAGCCGTCCCGAAGCATGAGACGCCAGTAAGATACAGGCTTAATTTCGAGCGTTTTTATGCTGAGTAGCGCAGCGAGGACGAAGCTGGTACCGTAAAGCCAGGTTGGAGCTAGCCAGTGAATTCCGACCCAGCTTGCATTATCCAGGGGACCAATGATGCATCCCTGGCCATCTTGGAGATGAACAGAGCAGTAGAAGCCGCAGCAAATGGCAGCGACGACAATCTGCACAGCGTATAATCCCCACATAGTTGCGCGAACATTTTGAATGTGGTGGTAGGTAGCAGATATGCGCATGACATGGACAGCGGATGCGACAACAATGAGAATTGCTGTACAAATTGACTCAAATGGCAACTTTGAGTAAGGACAGACAAAAAGGTATAGAAAAATTTACTAAAATAACGAGAGGCGCCGCACGAGAACACAAGAACGCAGCGGCAGTGTCATCATTACTGAGACGGTCAGGGCGTAGGGTAGGGGTGCTAGAGGGAGCAGTTGAGCACAGTCGGGCGTGGTTGGATTGGGAGGATGCGAGAGATGTGCTGGAGGGTGTGCAGAGGGGCTGAAGTATGCAGGAGAGCAGCACACTGTCTGGGCGCCGGCCTTGAGTGGCATTTCCTCCACGGAACCGGCGTTGAAGAAGGATTGGCCACGACACTGATGGGTCCAGCTGTCAATGTCAAGTTTTCCATCGAAGAAGTGCGGAGTAGTGGTTGTGGTTGGTTGCTGAGAAAGGGCTGGAAGGCGCAAGTTGACCTTGTGAGTGGAACAGCAGATCAACGACACACGGTTCGAGTACAATGACTCGTGATATAAAGCGGCTCGAGACTCGGTGCGAGCAATGGAAACATCAGTCAGCAAAAACGGAAAGAAGATTTGATAGACACACGTACCCAAACCCAAACCCAAACCCAAACTATACAAACCATCCACCTGAGATCACTTGGATCTGCGTGAAGCTAAAGTTAGCACGACAACACGAGCTGCGTGAGGAAGGATAAACAGAATGAACGGATGGCCAAGATGGGCGCGTGCAGTTTTAGGGCTTATGAAGTGGTGTCGAGCCCCGCAGACGTTGGCTGGACGAGAGCGAGCCAACATGCTCTCGGCGCGCTCCAACTCACGTATCCATCTCACGCCTTCGAGTGGCAATCATCGGGGTCGTGGCACAGCAGAAAACTGGCAGCTCAGTTACTTGTCATGAATACGGATGGTGGGCTTAATTGCTGCTGAGGCCACTATTGTTCAATTTTAGCAGAGGGCCGGATGCCAGATATCTTCACGTACCAATTAGGAGGGTTGAAAGAGCAGTTGGTCATTGTGCGCTTAACAAGCCGATACCACTCACCACCACCAGATCAGGACATGCATATTATATCGGCATTGATTTACGACACTTGCAACTAAGAGGAGGGTTGAGCCTGTGTAACAGACAAATGATGAGCGTCACTGATAATTCACTTTGTAGGTAGTCCATGGATGTCCGAGAGTGCGCGTGCCGCTATGTGTCCCAATTCAATAACAGTGGACAAACCGCGCAAACACGGAACGTCGCAACGGGTACACGGCTTACCCGAAGCAGAGCATACCAATGGGCACCCCGCCGTGATGGTCTGGCGTACACTCTCAGCATCTGCAAGCGCAGGGTTAAACTCCTGCGTGCAGTAGACCGGGTCAGATCACAGCAAGGAGAGCAAAGATCGAGGTAAGAGACATACCATCGTAGCGCGACGAGCAACCCAGTCTCATGAATCGCTTTTCAGATGTGGGATGTCAACGTATGGGCGGGAAAGAGTTGATACCAGGGACAAAATCAAGAACAGCAATTGTCAAGGCGCGTGTATGGAATTTCGTAGCCCAGATATTATACATCGTGTGCTTGGGACTGCGATCGCGACCTTGGATTGTTCAAAGTAGAAACTGCAGGCCGCAGACTCGGAAGAACACTATGGGATTTGGGTCTGTCAACACTTGGTCAGAAGATTGAGGAAGAGTCGTCATGGATATACATACGCTGAGATCGCAATACTTGGTGTGATAGTCATATCACACCCGTCGCACTGCGTCGAGCGGCACACGCAGGCGCCTTTGTGCTTCCCATGGTCCTTCTGAAGGATCAGTTCGTCACACTGCACTTCAGAACAAGGGATCTCCTCGACTTACTGAGCGACGTTCTTGATGTGAGCTGCCTCTGAATGACTGCGTGCATCCAGAGACTCACCCATGGCATTCGATAATGAGTTCGTCGATGAGCTGAGACTCTGGTGCATGTTGGGATTTCGCCTACATTCGACCTGTCTCACTCGCACCTTCAAGTTTCACGATGGGAATCGCTGGTGATATATCATCGACGGAAAGCGAAGAGCCGGCGATGGGGCATCGTGGGAGTGTTGTATATATAGGTACAGTTATGTGGTCGTGACAGAGTGTATGCGAGCGAGCGCAAGGCTTGTAAATGGGAAACTTGATGATGTTATGTCAGAACTGAAAAAAACGCTCCTCCGAGCCGTGTTTAGACATCAGTCTGACCTCTCATCCTCTCAGCTACAGTGAACGCAATGGCAGACTTTCCGACGCCTGCCGTGCCATGCAGCCAAATAAGTCGATTCTTCCCTGGGTCGTCTAGTAATTCGTATATGTAAGTGAAGAGGCCCCTTCCAAACATTTCGGGTGGGGCTGACGTTCTCGGGAGTCGTATTCAGCACCGTTGACAGCAACTTCGGATAACTTCGCCCAAGTTCCCTGAAGGACTGTCAAAGAGGTCAGAAAGCGAGAGAGGGATAAGAGTGAGGGAAACCGGCATTGTTCCTCCCTCATTCACGAAGGTTGTGACGAAATGGGCAAATTGAGAGTACTAGCTGGTGTGCGGGTAGAAATCATCTTGTCTCCAGGGACAACGTGTGAAGAATCGAAGGATCTGTCAGAGCCAAAGCAAGTTGTCAACTAAGGGTCCCAACACGCGAAGGAGATGAGATGTAGGGTTCAGGGAATTTGGGGTGGGCTAATTTGCCTTGCTAATTTACCGTGAATGACAGGGTGAATTTCAGACCCTCGAAAACCAGGTGTCAATTTGGGTGAATTTGGGTGAATTTGGGTCCAATGGTTCAGTTTGGCCGGTTCGGCTAGACCAGTGTAAAAAGCTTAATTTCTGAACACCCTAGCTCATCATAGTCAAGATATATAAGTTGATTTGGTTGCCGACTCGGAAGATCACCGAGAATCCGAAATATTGTGAAGTTCGAGTCGCCGAAATATTGTAAATATTATCCTCCCCATCGCGAAGCTACATGCAACATCTCAAGGATCAACTAGCTGAACTACGACTCTGTCTTGCAGCATTGCCAACAGACATTCCTATTCCGAAGGAGTCAAAGTATAAATTCTCGAACTTCACCTTAGACGCCGAATGGACTGCAGACATTGGCGAGGCTGCTGCCGTCAATCGAGAACTAGAAGTCAGGTTGGGCAGTCGAGTCAATGGCCTTAAACTCGTTGAACGAGGCCCAGAGATGGAGGCCATAGTCCATGTTTTTGAAACATGGACGAAGAAATTTCCGGGTGATGTTATCCTGGAGAAATGGGTGAACGACACTCTCGAAGCTGCGCGAGGCCTCATTCTTGCAGCTGGAAAAGCTGTGAGTCAAATCTTATTTTTTTCTTCAATAAAACGGACTTACTGATGGCATACTATAAAGTTGCCAGTCCTTGTCTCGGACTCGAGTTCTACGAAAAAAAAAACCAGTCAAAGTCAATCATACTCAGATACCCGAGAAACGAAAGCCCAAGGTTCAGAAGCTCGATACCCATATCTTGTCAACCTTCGATGACGACCGGTATATCAGTGCTGGTGAAGACGAGGACAGTCGAAAAGGTGGTGCCAAGATGCACCCACTGCTTCGCAAGGTTTCGAAGCCTTGTCATTTAGCAAGTGATCCCACTGGGGAAAAACTTGTTCGGTGCATTGCCAGCCGTGGCTGTAACATCACATGGTCATGGCCAAGAGCTCGACAACGAATCATGAAGCATGCTGCCAATGAGTGTCCGAGTATGGCGAGGGAGTGGCGCAAATTCGCAAGCATGAGAACGTTCGAGATTGGTGGTTAGCTGTTCAAAAGGACGAAAACGCACGAGTTCTTGGGGTGACAATGATATTTGCTCGATACATTTTTATTTGACTCACTCTTATATCCAGGCCCTTGCAATCAAGTTATACTCCGTCGTCCCAGTGTCGATGGCCGACGAGAGGACAGTTTCAACAATTACGTGGCTTAACAGTCCCACTCGGAGCAGACAAGACATCTCAACATCAAAAGAACATATACAGATTCGTCAGTGGCACCGCTGGAAAGCTGATGTGAGTGAAGTTCAGTTGGCTGGACTCCCAACATACTCATACTGTTAATCAGCCAGTAGCACCGACGGTCGCTCCTTCTGTCAAATGGCGAGATATGTATGCAACCATCCATGGTAAACCTGAGACAACCGCCTGTCGTCCCGCCGCCTGCTCGACCACCTACCATGACCACGGACATCATTTCGAGCTTGACCGACGAACATCAAGGCAGATGTTCAGACTCGGATGATGAAGATGGGGATTGGCTTGATAATGGTGATATTGCGGACCATGTGGGTTTAGCTGGCGTGAAAAGCACTGAGTTCGACGTGGGTAAAGATATTAACATATCATCCACGTACCTCCTCGATATTTTGTCGGACCACGCTCTACAGCCCACGGCTGCTTGCGGAGGTCTGTCGACACCAAAGGTGATGGCTGCCACAACTTCATCCTCGACACCGATGGATGACGACGAGTGGGAGGAATGGTGATTGGCGGCTTTGTTGTAGATTACGGTCAATTAGACCAAATTTACCTGCAAATTAGCGCAAATCAGCGTCAAAGAGCTATGGGTCAATTTGAGTGAATTTGCTGTCATTTACACCGGTCAATTAGGTCTTCGCAGAGGGTCGTGCTAATTAGCCGGTCAACCAGAGCGGGATCCCTAATTCCCCGAGCCCTAACATTGTCATTGAGATGGGACAAATGGATGTTTCAATCTATGGAAAACTTGCTGGATAGTGGGATACAGTTCAAGGACGAGTGGGCACTTGTCCGGTTGCAGGAGGCCACGAGTTCGCTGTGCATGCTGTAGTACGTGTACAGTCTTCAGATATGTTGAAGTAGAAATAGAGAGAGATCCTTGTACAAGTGAAAACCTGTAAATTTTGCAGTACAAGGCGCAGCGTCTGGGTTCAAACGTTCAAATTCCGTCTCGACTCCTACGCCAGATTCTTACCATTAATATAATTCGAAACACTGCATTTCAGCTTCAGCGTTCTAGTAGTAGCTGTTACCTTGTACCTACAAGGTCAATATTATCACTCCATAATTGTGGCTGTACGATCCCACTTTATGACCCCCGTGAGAGTTTATTTACATTTACAAGTACTAGTACTGCGATGTGTGCATACGAGAATACTGTACATGTACTGTTACAAGTAGTGTAGGGGGCAGAAATGAATTGGCCTCGTGGCAATTGGCAAAATGGCAGAACGGCAATTGGCAGAATGGCAGAAGTCGGCAAAATGTATTGTGAGCACTTTTGGCTCTTTTCAACTGGCATTCTACTATGGCAAAAATAATATTGACCACTACATCGAGGCTATACCTTCTGATGTCAAAAGTGCATCAACATTCCACCCTGATGCACTCTCTGAGCCTTAAGGCGGCCTCGACCATGAACTTGAATGAACGGCCATTTGCGACTTGTGAAATGGCGAGTTTTCGGCATATTGGATGTAAGAAAAGTGCGAGAGTTGTGAAAAAGCAGCAGTTCGAGTTGTTTTGGACTTTCTCCCCAACGACAAAGTTGTCAGACACGAGTTTTCGGACAGGACGGCCCTTGGACGTCTTGGCCTTTTCGGCCATGGTAATCGCAAACTTGCACACCGGGATACATTCAAACATATGTTAAAATTTTATTGTTTGTTAGTAGGAACAAACACCAGGCTATTGTAGTTCTGCCGACTTCTGCCAACCACCCTCGACCTACTGCCGGCAATTGCCACTGGCAGAAATATTTCATTCTGCCAACAACACTATTGACAACACCAACGATGGCCTTTCTTCATTACTGAACTCGTCAAGAGCCCTGAATTCGCATCTTTCACGGCCTGATCTTCCTTCCGTCAACCTTTCACTAGATCAGATAGAAGCACAGTCACGTCGGCTCATGCCACGACAACCTGGAGCGTGCAGCGATGCCAACCGAGCGTGAGCAAATAAACATATTGAGCAATACTGTTCTAACACTCTGGCAGAAACTACCTTTTGGCACAGGTTCATGTTGATGCCCCTGCCCTTGCCAACTCCATTGCACACTTGAATACCTCGACGACTTTTTCTCCCCTCCAGCCCCTCCAAGACGCAGATGTCGCAGGCTATCTTCGTCACGCTCATGAACAGAATCTTATTTCAACGATAGAAGAAGGTTGGAGGGAAACTCAGGAGCCTTTTTATCGTCTGCTTGAGGAGCGCAGCCACAAAGGCTGGGAGGCCAAAAAGAGACGCGTGTCTGAAGAGCTGAGAGGTCGTGCTACCAGTGATAGCAAAGCTCCTGCTGAATGAAAAAGAGCTTCCATGGAAAGGCAGCGCTGGCGGTCAGCTAAACTCCGAATATGTAGTGTTCACCTATTGACAATATGAAACAGGCAAGCACAGGACCCGGTTTGACTCTCCAGATGCAGAGCGAGATGATGGCATATGACCGTGCAATCAGCGAATTGAACGCTGCAAGGTTGCGCGGAATATCTTGTCCTATCATCCATCTCCTCATGCAAGCCGCTGCCAGCTTGAACTCAGAGGCACGTATTTCTCACTGTGTCGAATGTCAAGTGTCTCACTTTTGTGCATACAGCCCTCACAACAAATGCTTCAAAACTTCCACGTACTTGCAAAGATTACTGGCGAACCCCCTGCTCTACATCCTGTGGAGCACGCAGGCGCTCACATCTTAAACGCCCCGCTTTTCGAGCGCAAATACGCGCGGGTGTACCTGGGTGACAGCGATTCCCGGGAAGCTGCAGCTCTGCGGACACATATTGTCAACGGCTCTTGAGAAGCACTTTGAGGATCAGTTTTGGGATATCATTGAACGCACGATCCAGTCGAGACCTATGGAAGCCCGCCTTGGAGGAGACCCTAGTGTAGCAAACAAAATACGCGCCTTCCTTCTGATGAGATATTACAAAAACGGACAGTGGGAAGATCGGATAGAGGTCAGCACAATTCATGCCGAGCTTTCACTCCATCTGACAGTTGAGCCACATAGCTTGTCGCTGGTCAGCCTTTGTGGGCCAAGTTGTACTACCTTGTACGCACCGTTCACGCACAAGAGGCCCTTGATGAAGCCTTGAAGTCGCAGCAAGCCATTGAACATCGCGAAGACAGCTTCATGAGCCATTTCCGCTCATAGGTCGAGTCGCCAGAAAGGCGGTGAGAGAAACGACGTCTTACATATCAAGTATCTCTCCAGTATACAATGCGCATATGTTGCATTCTGCATCTGCATATCCGCTCAAGCTTGTACTCTATAAACTCATGGGCAAACTCGAGCCTTCGCGGCGAACAGTACCACAGGTGACGATGATGACCGAGGATTGGTTGTGGTTCCAGCTTGCAATGGTGCGGATTCCTTGTGGCTGTTCAAGAATGTAAGCTGACACGCAGAAGGTCGATGAAGAGGAAGACGGTGGCCTCCGTGGGCTCACAGAAGTTCTCCTGAGTTATGGAGAACGCCACTTCGACGGTGCAAAGAAGGGTGTGTTGTCTGGTGTCCTGCTCATGTCCGGCCAGTTTGAGCGTGTAAGCATAACATCACGCATATCCGAGTTCTATCCTGATCATATGCTAGTCTATGGCTGCACTATGGGAGCACCCAGAAACAGACTTCGAAGCAGTCATCTTGCTATTGCGCTTGAATACCACGGGCTTCTACGCGTCCGTCTCGTGCTGAAACATCTGACATCAGTCCTTGTACGTATGCACTCATAAGTTGCACCAACATGTAACCCACCTGACTTTGTCCCCGCTCTCATCTCCTGCACTCAGCTTGCCAATGCTCATTTGGCGATACGTACGCCAGTTCGTCAAGATGGACGCGAAAGAAGCGCTACAGTATGTCTACTGCGTCTGTCTCTCGGCGGATCAGGGCGGGGGCGTCGGCAGAGAAAACGTAGAGACCGCTTGGGAGCTCGTGAGGCGCATCATCGTTCTCACTCACTCAGGTCCCGCCTGGGAAGAGCTTGTCGGTGGATTCAGACCCGATGGCACGCGATTCGTATGTTCCAATTCTCAATTCACTAACATGGCTCATCTCTCCTGCAGAGCGGTGTCATCGAACAGGGTGTTGCCCTTCTCCATCTGCAAAAACACCGCTTAGTACAACGAACAGATCCTCGTTCGCGTCGCCCGTGACTCCGAGAAAAACGACCGCATTCCTGAGGCGATCAAGCTCTACAGCCTCGCTGGGGATTCGGCACTGTCATTTCATGTCTTAGCCTGGCGCTCGGCAACACCCTGGCGCAGCCAGCAGGTGAAACAGAGAAAGGCAAAATCATCGAACGCACGGCTGTTGAGATTTTGAGACATTACGAGCGCACGAACCGGGGAGTGGGCAAGGATCGAGATGCTGCCGTAAGATTGTTGCACATCAGGGAAGCGCTCGACGCGAAGAATCCTGGACGGTTTGATGTTGTGCTGGAGGTACGATTTCATCCCAGTCTTTTGATCCCACCGAGTGCTGACCATCATTGTAGATTGTGGAGTCCACGGATCTCATTCCTCTCGATGGAGATGTTGCAAAGATTACCCGGAAGGCCGAGGAGTTCAAGGACTTGCATGATGCCTCGCAACGCAATATACAAGTCTATTTGCCGCTGACAATGGAGGCATTAGCGGCGGTTCCCCAATCCATCACTGCTACAGCAGAAACTACGAGGTAAATAGTTTGTACTCAATAACTACATCATGCTTCATGTCCCCACTGTTTTCATTGCAGACATTAACAGCACTCAGGAAAAAATCAAGGTCGCTGATGGTATTTGCTGGTATCCTTAAGTACAGGATGTCCCCTGGTGGATACTCGCATCTCGCGAGATTGGATGTCGAAACCGCTTTGTAAAATATGGTAAATCAGGTCAGGGTAGTAGTTCTGTATGTCGTCGATCTTTGTTTATCATATTGTCATGAAACCCGGAGGAAGGGACTGCTCGCACACGAAGCTGCTCACATCTCATCACACGCTCAACATCAGTCTGGGTGTCGATGAGCTGAGGATCATCGTTCATCTGATGACGATGCGATCACGTCGAGGCCTTTCAGGTCCAAATTCTCGTATATTCCTAAAGCACTGCACTTTTTTTATTTCATTATCTTTCGCATGCACTCGTTCCAATGATGATGTTAAATTGCTCATCAATATCCCACAGCCTCGGGTAGCACACAGATAAGCAGTGAATGATCCCATAACTTTGGGTCCCTACTCAACGGTAATTGCCAAAAAAGTATTGGAAGGGCGCAGACCCCTGGTGTGCTATGATAATGGAACTAAGGTACCAAATCTTCAGCATCATCCTCAAGAACTTCATCATCTTCTTCGTATTCCTGATGATCTTGCTCCTCGACAGCCTCCTGAGAGGAATGCCGATTTTGGCACTGCAAGCAGGCCGATGAGTAAGGAGTACCCAGCAACAAGTTCGCAAAGGACTTACATGGTACACTGCGGTCCAGTATCCACCCCAATACATCGCACTTAGCGCACGGCTGAAAGCTTCATCGCGACTTACCATGGTGGTTGAAGATGCAGGTATGAAAAACGAGGACTCGGGTGCCGTTGAAGCCTCAGATGGCACTGGCGGCGAAGGATCATACGATGGGACGACCGTGTCGAAATCAAGCGGTGCGGAGTCCTCTTCTTCAGCTACGGCAGCCTGACTGGCGGCCTTTGCAGACGCTACTTTTGTTGAATTAGGTGTCTTGGCCTTCTTCTTCGAACTATTATAGGGGATGTTATACCATCTGAACACAATTATATTAAATAAGGTTACGCACAGAGAGGATTTCTTGACAGTGGTCGACTTCCAGTCTTGCGTTTTCCCGTGGAATGCCTTGCAAGGGTGTCAAGAGCGGCAGATGTAAGAGCACTTGCTGGACGTACCTCATATTCTGCTGTGGCAGAGTTCCAGGCGTCGATGAGCGCAGAGCCGTCCCATATTTCCTCATGTGTGAGCTCCCGACTCTCCTCTTCAATTTCGCCATCCGGCACTGGCGTCGTCGTAGTTCATTTGATTGTTGTCTCCTGGTTCATCCCGGTGGGCAGTTTTTCTGGGGTGTTTGGCTTTTTGGTTTGACCTCTTGTGTTTTGTGGATGGAGCGATTGACGTGAATGAGAAGCTACTGCTGAGCTGCTGGCGCCATTGGTTTGTTGGGATTGTTCTAGGTCGCCATACTGGACGAATTGACGGTGCGAGTTCTTGGTGAGTGGTACAAGACGACAAGACCACCTTCTACTATCAATAGCTGCTACTAAGTATGCATCGCACTCGGCAACAATCTACAATAAATGATAAACAATTTTAATTGGCTAACTTCGCTACCATTGATGTTTTACAAGGTGTACGGTATGCATCATTACCCTTATACCAATCATGATACAGATGATGAGACTCCCAAATCTGTACAGTCTCTCCATTCCAAATTCGCCATGCGGGGTCTGCCTTTCCGGGTATACGGACAAATTGAGCCTCAGGCTAATTTCCTGTGAGCAGTGGTGCCTGACACGTACACAACTGGGTGTGGGGAGGAGGCAGGCGCCAATAATGGTTCCCAAATATTGATTCTCAGAATTGACGCGGCTACTAGATGTGCGCATGACCGACAAAACGACTGCGAAGTAGTACAGTCATAGCGGTATAATCACTGCAGATCACTGCGCCCACGGAGACACATTCGTCTGTGACTACCTCGTTAATCGATCAGCCCAGACATCGAAAATGAGTGGGCACACGTGTAAACCCAAGTGTTGAGCAGCCTGCACTGCCTGTTCGGCGAGTAACCGGGCCTGTGGAAGTGAAACATAAGGACCACCAGCGGGGTTTATCGTTAGCGAGGTCATCAAATTTCCTTGGTGGCCGGAGGCGCACCTCTCATAGGAAACCTCCTCTTGAATAAAATCTGTGCCATTACATCCGGTCACCAACAGCTTAGATAAAAGCTACGGGCCTGCACGTTCAAGGAATGCGTAGGCTTTCGAGTTACGAGAAATAAGGCTATGATAAGCAGCTTGCGTGTCCGCGGACGCTGTGGGACGTCAGGCATTTGAGATGGGTGGGAGAGCAATTTGAAGGATGTGCTGAAGAGGCCTGAGGGCACAGGAGGAGATTGCTGGGAAGGGCGGCGCAGGACGTAATGAGGTGAGTAAAGTAACATCGATGGCGGGAGAGTGCGTGGATTCTGGACCGCGCTAATATCCACAGCGAGGTACACAGAGTGCAAGCGGGTGTGCGTGGATGTCATTAGTACTCATTACTGCACTGTGTGGTCCCGCTGTGGTAGTAGAGGATGGATGGCGGGAACGAGAACTAGAGAATTTTGACTACGGGGGTCCAGTATAGAAAGGCGTTTGTCAGAGAAGGCAGAAATGGGGAAGAGTAATTACAGCGGATTCAGAGGAGGGCTATTGTTGTGTTTTATTTCTCGTAATCCTGCAAACCAGTGTTGTAATTAACCCGGGTCATAACTGGTGCGTCCTAATTCGAATTAACCGCGAAATAACTGGGGTTAAATTTAACTAACCTCTTCACCGCTTATAACTGAGTTAAGTTAAGTTATAACTGTTCTAACGGGTTAGTAACAACACTGGTACCCAGTAGTCCATCGGACAGGCTGAGTCCTGACATGTACGGAAAACGAAAGGCGGCTTATGGCAGCTTATGGCACGCGCTCTGTGGCATCCCCCGCGTCGGAAACGACGACTCTTGTTTTTGCTTCTCATTAAATTACTCTCCTCCGGGCCGGTCAGGGCAAGGTGCCTTCTTCCAAACTTTAACGGTTGACCCTAATGCTGAGATTCACAGCTCTATAACTTCTCTGTCATCACCTCCTTGGGCAGGACGCATATGCGAGCACTGACACTAATTATGAGTATGAGTAGGTGCGTTCGTTCCTTTTAGATTATAAGCGCGTTTAATCTGATCACACGACATTTTGTCCACTCCTCGCACATCCAATCATCCATCATCTCCCCAAACCCTCACGCGCACGCTCACAAAAGGCCAACCAACCATTCGCAATTCGCTTCGCCAGCTTTCTCTAACCAGGCGACCTCGTGTGAGCCCGCGACTACCATTTCCTCTTAGTCCCTCAGGAATGCCATTGAGGAGAGTACTGGACATGTGTTAGTGTTTTTCTTTTCTTCCATTTGACTTACTCTTTTTCTCTCCCGCATAGCTACTAGTAGTAATTGCATGCATATTACAACAAGACTGAAAAACAAGGCGTGCCATGTCGGTCCTGTCCACCCGAAATGGAATGGCCCAACATGCCATATTGGCAGGTACTCCTCTCGCCCCCTTTCACTCGCTTTCCATTGCTTTATGGTCATCTCCTCCCTTCATTTTCGCCCTTATTTTTTTGGTCCTCGTTTCTCTTTCCTTCACTCGGAAACTCGGGCCTCTTCCCTGGTTGCAATCACATCTTTCTCCAGTCGTTTTACACTTCAATATTTCTTTTATTATTTTTATTTTTATTTTTCAATCTATCTGATTTTCTCCTTCGACTTCCCAACCTTGTTCGCTGTTTCCTGTTGTGACTGGCCTTCAGTACCTTCTTCTAAACATTAACCACTGTCTCCAAACACTAACTGTTGACATAACGCTGACACTCACACAGCTCTCTGGCAGGACGTAGTGACGGAGCATGCGAGCGCAGATGGTCATTACGAGCAGGGCACATTGGTTCGTTTTATCATTGTCTGAGCACATTTGATCTGATTATCTTGATGTGGGCTCTTTATTCATCTTACCGTGGATCTAATCACCATACTCTTACATCCAACACCCGTACCATCTACCCATCTCATCCATACCTCATCCATCCCAATTCCCCAACACCACCAGAAAAGGTCAATCAAGCATCCGTAAACCACCCTGCAAGTGTCCTCCAACTAGGCGACTTCGTCTGGATCCACGACTACCATCTCCTCTCGGTCCCGCGCATGCTCAGGAATGCGATGCATTCTGGTGCTGTGAGTGGCATGGGCAGGGAGAGTGGTGGGAATATGCAAGTGTTTTTTGAATGATGACGGCAAGAGTACTGATATACTACGCTGCAGGATCATCAGCCTTTTCATCCCTATGCCTTTCACGAGTTCGGAGGTATACCCCGTACGTCTTCCTTCACTCACCCTCTTCACTCTTCATCCTTTTCACCCTCCACTCATCCTTCCCCTTTCGCCTCGGCCTCCCCCCTCCCCAAAACCCCAGCCAAAAACGAAAAAAACACCAACCCCAATCCACAGGCGGCAGATAAATCCTTGACGTAATGCTAGGTGCCAACCTCATCTGGTCCCAAACCTACACCCGCCACTTCACGTTCATTCATGTAGCTTGTGCTCTGCAGGGCGCGAGCGTTGTTCCATGTGGTGCTAGGGATTACGACGTGAGTAGCGGATCATGGATGTGTTGCTTGTCGTTGACATCTGAGATCTGATGGATAGAGCACGCTCACGCTCGTCAAGACACCATTGATGCTTCCTTCTCCTGACTCCCACCGTCCTCGCTGAACTCACATCTGACCTAAACAATATCGCATATGTTGTATCTGGGACCAAGCGTTCCTTGCATTAAGTATCCCTGTTTTAAGTTCTAGATCACCGCCTCTTTGGTGAGCACGATGTCTCTGCAAGCAGTTCGATCATCGTCTGCGAAAAATACCTTAGCTTATGCTCGGGTCTTACCTATACAGAAGGAATTCATCCTTACGAGCATGATTCACCCACTGGTCAAAATTCTGTAACGGTTGGCGTTTCCAGCTTTTAATCTGTATTCACCAGAATAAATAGACAGCTATTCAAACATTCCTAACTCCGATGGCACAACGTACGAAGAATATACTCATATTTATAAACATGCAAGCATCAAGTGAAAGACTCCAAAGTACATGATAGCACGAATGGGATCGAAAAAACAGGATGAGGATTATCTTACAATGTAACAGAGTAGCTTGACAAGGTCAGGAATCAGGATCGAGTGCACTGAAGTCAAAGGTTGCATCTTGGTCTGGGTCTGAGATCAGAGGAAGATACGAAGTCGTATCCCTACTGTCAAACCCGTGATTTGTTCCTGGTGGTGGCGGCGCTGTGTCTGGGTTTTCAACCATGACAGCACTGGACCAACCATCGGCAGTAGTGGGGGATAGAGTTTGGTGGATGATTTTACTGCAACAAGGCTGCATGCAACATTGATCTGAAATCATGGAATCAGCTTCTTGACATATTTAACAGCGTAATCTGACACAGGAAGCTTCAAGGTAATAGCCACTGGGAAGCAGATCAAGGCGGCCGGAGAAACCAAGTCAATGGGGATAGATAATTCAATTTGGTCGCCAATGAAATTGAAAAAATGCATGCTTTGTCCCCAAGGTTTTCACCATGATGTACGCAAGGGAACCCCCTTACGCCACTGCATGATCGCCGTGCCATGCGTCAAGGGTCCTTTCTAGAATGAAAGTACCAGTGCGGTCTGATTGACATGTTCCAGTAGCTCCAATTGTATAGTATTTGATCAATGACTGAACACGTTTGGCAGATCTCCTTTCATGATGATTTAATCCTGACTTAATCCATCCTCACATGAAGCCTTCACTCAAATTTTTTCCATATCTTTTTAGCTTGTGGACAACTCCTATATGTCACTATGACAAGCCCAAGCCCTGCACTGCCGCACATTTGTGGACTGAGCAAAATCAGTAGATTGACTGCACTGCCGAAGATGCAAAGGAAATAATTTATTGATAACGGTCCTTCGGGGCGGTTGTTTATTGCCGAAAACATCACCAATTTGCAGAATCATGAGAACACATCTGGCAAGACAAGAAGGTCTTGTAAGAAGCATCAAAAGCTCCACATGATGCAGAGTTGGGGGGTGAGAATGGCGGTGCTGATACATAGAGGTGAGGTGCACTGTGCAAGATGATGCCACCAAAGACTTGAATACATCTCTGCATGTCCATTGCAGTGGACAAGGTATCTTTGTACTATCCAGTATGACCTTGAAATTGTGATTACATGTGAGCACATTATCTGACACTCAACAGACATGTACTAACCTTTAACCACTTGGTGATAAGCAGAAGGGCAGGGACTGTGCCGCTGAGCACATTAATAAGGCAGACTTGAGCCAGAAGAACAGTTGCCATAGAACTGCGGTGAGCATCAGGAATAATGAGTGGCGTCACTGCAGTTTGACTAGAAATTTAATAAATATTTGTCTATCAGAAAGCTTCATTCTGCTCAGTTAATTGGTTCAGGGGAAGATATCGGGTGACTGAGCGCCCATATCAGATAATCATCTAGATCCCACTTACAAATCCCGCTGAATCCATCACCTTGAGGCTCTGATCTATGATCATCACCACAAAAAAGCCCTGAGTTGTCCACACCAGTTGGGGATATCATGGTGCTCCCAGTTTGGAACTCTGAAATCCAAAACAGCGAGATTCAACGTCCATCAATCTCTTGATTTATGCAGTATATTGATAATTTATGCAGAATATTGATAATTTAATATAGATATACCAATATAGCAGGAGCCTAATGCTGTGAAGTTGACTTATATAAGTACTGTCGTCATCTTGGTTGCCCAGGCATAATCACTGGGTGGCAGTAAGTTACACCTTTGAAACTCTCCCACTTTTCCCCAAACTCTGTACGCTTAGCACAAGTTTATCCTATATGACGACTGTTATTTCAATCAATTCCGGCTAGTGCTCATTTTCCTCTCACTACTTTCTATCCTGATGGAATTTATAATAACTTCAGATTCTGGGTACCGCGACTCCTTTGAATCCTCAGGCAGCACAGGTACATTTGGTCCACCCCCGAGTCAACCCAGAATTGTGATATCTCCATCACAACTGGATTGGAATGGTTCAATCCAGATGGCTTCAAGTGGGTTCTTCCACTATTTGCCGTCAAACTCATTTGCTGACTAACATTGGCAAAGGTCCTCAGATTGCAGAATTGTTTACTCGCTTGGAATCCAAGCTTAACGGGCTGGAGTCCAACTTGGGTTCCAAGCTTGGCCGAGTGGAGTCCAATCTAGAGGGGAGAATAAGTGATCTAAAGGTGAAGCTGGAGGCTCTAGAGTCAAACCTAACTACCCATGGAACGAAATTGCTGAAGCTGAGGAACTTGGTCGATGAACACAAGAAGGAAATGCACTCAGAAGTAGATGGCGTGCTGAAAGAAATGCAGGGGATGGAGAAGCGTCTGATTGATAGGGTTGATGAATCGACTGAGTCCCAGAAGACTGGGCTTGATGAATTGGCTGTGTCCCAGAAGACCATTTTCGATAGAATCCTCGCTTTGTTCAAACAATAACTCATGTTAGCTATAGTCATGGTGGCGCATTCAAAGCTGTTGTACTAGGATTACTGCACATTCATACATGTAGCAAATGTTTTCATCCCACAAACTTAGAGTTACCCTCACCTATCATGTTCAAGTTATATCTACGTTCCAGCAGCTTTTACTTCAATCAGTACTCACTGTGGAATTGATCAGACCTGGAAAGGGTACAAAATGACCATGTAAACGTATCTAAATGGACATAGCAAATGACAGGAATTCCTCAGCGTTTTGAGTCATGAGAGATCCTCATTCCAGACCATTATCTGATGCTAGGTTTGGAAATAGCTGTTGACCTTGAATTCCAGCGCCTGGCTATCCTGGCTGCTGTAACGGCCTTCAAAGGCAGTCAACACTAAATTCAAAACTCAGGTTTGATTAATACTCACTCCCAGCATCCATTCCATTGGCAGGTCCTGTAAACTGTTCCACTCAATCAAGTTTTGGTCACCCACTGCGGCCAATGATCGACACTGCGCTGTTACGTGCTAGCACGGCCATCACTATACGTGGTAGTATACTAGTCTGGATAGATGAATACTATGGACCATGATTCTGAGTGAAATGAGACGCAAGTTCTTTGTGTTTCCCCAAAATATGCAGTTAGCTGTAAGATTCTTATAGTATATCATATAGGTAGCGCCAGGCGATCCGCCAGTCCCCGACTGTGCTTGTCCGATTAATCACATTATTTGTCTCTTTTTCCCTTAGTCGTCTTTGATGGTTGATTATTATATACTACAAGTTTATGTGCCATGCAGTGTCCTAGTAGTCAGCCCTCGAAGTGATGGTGGGGTCTGTTAGACCCAGTTTCGTTGTAGGACGAGACCCATCTCTGATAGCTGCCTCTTTCAGGGCCTCCCCCCTCAAGTTGTAACCGCCACACTTTTGTAGTAGCTTGTGTATTTGTAGCGCATAGTATGGGAATCAAATAATAAGTACACCCAACTATGTGATGACGACTGTAGTGGGCTCTGCAGCGAGTGGCCCGTTATTAGTAATCATAGGAGAAAAAAACAATCATGAAAGAGTGCCCTAAAAAACTTCCAACACACATACTACCACTATGACTGGCATAATTAAATTCATCACTGCTGCATACTGCAACTTTGACAACATTCAATTCATTTGCATCAGAATCATGCAGTTCAGTAACGGTTATTTTCAACTCCTTGACACGAATGACTACTTTCAACCTCAGGCAGTCCTGGACAATCATGTCATCTGGATAAATCAAAAGTATAAAAAGCCGGCAAAATTCCTTGTGCTTTATGATCATCATAAGCACAATGATGGGACCAACAAATATCCTTAATCTTGAGAGTTGGAAAGACCACGTGCTGGAAGACGTGACCAAAGAGCAATTCATGTTGATGATGGCTCATTGCATTACCAAGTAAGCATGTGACAGCCTTATCAACACACTGATTAACACAATAAAGGACTCTGGAGTAAGTGCCATGCGCCGAATGTACCAAAAAAGAAATCGAAGAGAAAGATGCATTTGGGTGAGGGTGAGAAAGTGAAAGGAGCAGGAAAGGGAAGTTCCATGGTACGTACGATCAGCGGCACCACCAGTGCTTCGAGGAAAAAGGACCCAAAGGTATTGATAGCAACGGAAATGTGTGAAAGGGGAAGGAAATCATCTTTCCGAGGATAAATGCGCATTTCCATTGGATAGAAAATGTTGATTGGTGGCCTGTACTGTGATACGTGTGCGTCACTATGAGCGCTAGGGGTATGATTTCTGAGAGTGAGAGTTCGTGGTTTGGATTAGTATTGGTGAGTTGGGGAGACAGGTTGGGGTGTGAGCGTCCCGTTTAGGCTGTGGACGTCCCGGACGCTGTCGATTATCTCTAGATCCGCAGAGGGATGGATGGGAGTCCGAAGACGATTTGTCCTTAAACTTGGGTCATCAACCACTGAAAAAGATGAGCCAGAACATGAGATAAAGAGACCCGAATGTGTTGGCAAAGCCTAACAGTCTTTTCCTATATAGACGCCTCACTCGTGAGATCGCAAGGCAAACAGGCAATGTCCACCAAACCAGAAAAAAACCCCAAATCAACATAACAGCAGTGGTAATCCTCGCCAACACTGTTCTCGTCACCCTCAGAATATCACCTAGAACATCGTGCCAGCGATCAAAGACGGTGCGAATAACAGGGGGATGAACGTTTCATCGAGGCCAGAGTCTGATTTCGAGATTTTGAGTATGCACCAAGCGACGGGGTGAACTGCAATGATAACAGGGAAGGCGAGGAGTGGTGGGGCTGAGGATGACTTGGACATGTAAAAAGCAACGGTGCAGCATGCGTGTTGTTCCTCCCTGCAGAGGGTGCTCATAGCCATGAGGCGCGCGCATATAGCGAAGAGAGTAGAAAAGCCTAGTATGCGGTAGCGTAGCCAGGATGTGGGAACTGTGAAGCCTGTGATGACGGAGGTCACAATAGACGAGATGAGGGAAAACAGCACGATGCAGTCTTCTCATACTGTGAATGAGTTTGATGCGAAACATAGGGTGTGCAGAATGAGGAAAATGGGGAGTGATCTGATGGATTCCAAGGTGATCATGGTGCGGGCGGTAGCTATTATGACGAATGACGATGAGATGGTGGCAGCGAAGAGCACGGTCTGGTGCATGGTAACACCGTCCAAATACTCGTGCAAGACAACGTGCGCCAGGTATCCTAGGGCAGATCCTACAACAGAGGCGCTGAACAACCACCAGATTTTGTCATCCACTTTTCCCACTTGATGTCCGCAATATCTCAAAGTTTGGAGCACAACACCCAGCCGGCGACGACGCTCAAAATGTGTGTGCCATTCTCATAAGGATAGAGCTACGCACGAAGGTCAGTCGCATACAAATAGAGATAAATGCATGTACAGACTGGGTTGCGTGTCGACCACATCGAGAATTGATTCTACGTTGGCGATTCTTGAGACAGCACTGTCAGAACCAGACCGATACTTGCAATACTACTGGCAGCATCCGCATGATTATTTTGTCATAATGTCCCATCAAGTGGTCCGTCCTGACAATCGACTTCAGCACATAATCATCCAAGGCTACGTTGCTTAAACTGACCTCCATGACAATGCAGCCAGATAAGGGTGTGAGCGAATTCTCAGTGCTTTGCCGAGTAAGATTGTTAGCAGTCGTCGAGCGAGGTGAAAGCAAGCGTTCTGAGTCTGAGGTCTCTTGTGACAAGTTCGAGCACGGTTGCGGACGAAACGAGGATAACCAGTCTCCGCGGATGGACCTATATAACAGAAGTACCCCTCATTTAGTATCCTGGCGAAATGCAAAACTTTAGCATCGAACCTGAAGAGCACTGGCATCAGACACTTGAAAGGCATGAGCATTGTAAGATCATGTCTTTGTACGCGAGATGCACGTGTTTGGTTAGGTGCGCCAATGAACATCGAATCTGAAGCGTGAGCTGAGTATCGAAAAAGCAAGTCAGTGTGCCATTGGTCGGTATAGGGTGTGCGGAGTAGAACCTACAACATGATCGTGACAAGCTCATTATCCACGTCGCCCCAACTCATTGTACAGATCCCAAACGCCAATATTCCATAAGCACTCTTAACAAACATCGCATCACAAGACATTCTCCCCGCCAACATCCACGGCCTCGTCGTCCCAGACGCCTTCTAAGCCTCAAGAGGCATACGGCGTGGATCATCCCAGAAGTCGTGAGCTTAAACCCAACAGTCTGTTCAGTCGCGTGGTCGATTTGAAGGAGCGAGTGATAATATAGCAATTTGTGAAACTTACTGTCGTCAGCACAAAAGACAGTATCACTGGTCCAAGAACCAGAACATGTAGAAACCCAGTTCCCAAGCGCGTCCTGTCTCCAGCCCTCCCTTTGCACGAATTCCCAGCTCGGTGCAAGCGAAACCGTGAGATTGCTAACGGGGCCACAGGGACTTGGTGATAGTATGCAGCATGAATGAGCAGAAGAAGAAGAAAAGAGCTGGATGAAGAACGGTAGCACATGAGACAGAAAGACAAAAACTAGATAACTTGCATCAACACCCGCATCCCACCTGCATTGTGCTACACATTCAAGAGGGAAAGATATACAGAGATCGGGGAGCTTGTCGCACTCGTAATGCCGTGTCCAAGTACTTTTGCATCGAGTGGTTTGGAATGCACGCAAGGAGGTAACCAGGGGTGGACGGACGCTAAGACGGTACCACGTTACATGCGAACAGGTAATGGTGCAAGTGAGAAGGAAGCGTGACCAACATCCCATCACCCAACATACAGTGGGAAGCGGTACAAAGACAGAGGTACAGACACCAGTCAAATGAAAAAAGCACGCACCTCACTTCACCACCCACTTCACCTCACTCATCCATTGCCCCCGTCCATGGCACGTGATCGGCTCAGGTGTGTTTTACTCCACATTCCAGTCCTCGAACCAAGCAACGGACTTCAGGACCCATCCATCCCCGACATCAAACCCTGAACCATAACAGGTTTAAAAATCGCCTCCAGAAAATGAAGCTCCGCTGCTGCTGGGTGGACGATGATAGACATTGGGGTGCTGAGATGCAGGAAGTGGAGACGAAAAATAGGCTCCCGGCCCATCTTCATCCTCCTCGTTCGGCACGCATGCTCCTTTGTACGATACCTCCGTTCATGGCAGCTTTGAGCAGTGGTAGGATTTGCGCTTGCATTAAATAGACGCGTCCATATAAAAGGAATTTGCCCCGAAACAAAGAGTAGAAGGCGGTGTGTGATCAGAGGCAGGACTGGAGGAATGCAAGGAGGTGTCCACTGTTAGGACGAGCGAGGTATTGATTGACCGGTGGACGAGGTGGGGAGTAAGGGGCAAGATGTGTCAAACTGAATGAAGAGTTAAATGAAAGAGACTTACAACACAATCATAAGGTTTTAAGGTTCGCTTTCGAGTCGACGCTGCCCTCGCGATTGGAGCGGGCGTATATAGATTCGGATGGCGAGGGGACAGGATACGGAGAACATTATAGCTGCTAGCAAAGCATGTAATAGCAGGATCACCATGCAACCTGCAGACTCATATGAGAATCGCAACAAAAAGGATGGCACTCACACAAGAACGCATAACAAATGCCAATAAGATTAGTATATTTCCACCTGCAAGGGCCTTTTCCACTCAATCATGTAACCAAAACGCGGGTCTCCGTACGAGTCATACTGGACTTGAGAGGGCTTACGCGGAAGTAATAATATAAGAAGCAGGGGACTCCAACTCGAGGTGCTATTAATTAGGAGAGACTGCAAATTTACTAGCACCGTTTCTCTCGTTCAGCGCTTCGATGAGGTTGTAGTTTGTGGCGAATGTCACGGTGTTATCGGTGTAATAAACCCGAATAGTAATACTGGAACCTAATTTTAGAGTATTCAGTTGCCTGTGGTGGACGTTCAAAACTTTTAACTAAGCTGTAACCATGGCTCAGCAGATGCTGTTGGTGAGTCTAGACGCAGTGCGCACGACATTCAAGTTGCACATACTCACCAGAAGAGCAGTCCATCGATCATCAGTCCTACTGCGAACGATGTCATCAAAGCATATGTTGTACCCGTTGACCCCAAGAAATCCTGCAGGAAATGCTATTCTAGGTGTCAACCCAGCAACCTTGCGGTCTCCACTTCCTTAGGCGCAGAAACCTGCCAAGGTTGCACGCCCCATCTCTTCTATAGGACTCCTGCGTTCGACACAACTGCACTTGTGTCACTTGGTGAGGGGTTTAACTCAAAAACTGGGGAGTAGGACGAGATCGTTCGTAAGGCCATTGCCAGTGGTATAAACTTGAAGAGGTGTTAAGGGACTTAGTGATGGTGCTTCTTATGCTGTTATCGATGCATCAACAAATCCTCATGCTGCTGGTAAGATATAGTTTTGATCTACACAATGCCTTATCTTAAGTACTTCTCCAAGGTGTCGCTGCTCACTTGGCACTATACAACTTCTCGTTCAAAACATCACCTCCATCGGCGTTCGACCCATGGGGCAACGGCTGGCGTGCAGAATATTTTTAAAAAACTCCACAAATACCGAGTTTGCCGACTGGGATCATGGTGTCGTCTATGCGAATGCACAGAACCTGTCAAGAACAGTGAGTTCATATGGAAACGGGGTGGTCTCTTGATCCGCAGAGAATATAACCGACTTCAATAGTTAATGGAATTGCCCGTGAATATGATGACACGTACTGTACGTTTATCTTTGAGCTCTGCAAGCGATTGAATTCATGTTACTATGTTGCAAGGCGTTCTGCGAGCGCGCCAAAACAGAGTTTATCGGTATCCCTAACGTGGAGGATCATTGTTCGTAACGAAGGTTAGATATTCTATGCTTTTGAAGTTCTCTTAACATATGTACTGATGCCTCGACAACTTGGGAGTCTGAAAAGGACATCGTACACTTTTTACACTCGATGTATGTTTGATATTGGCATGTTCTCTTGTAGCGCATCTTACTCTCGGTAACTCAAGGGGCTGATCAGCCTGCGAGGTTCCTCTAGATGTAAGCATGCCCTATCCTCTTTGTCTGTAGTATCTTTTACAGTTTGATGGTTGTAAAAGTCACTACAAGGACGCCTGTTCAAAAGACGCACAACCTCTTGCTTTCGTGGGCAAGGGCATCTCTTTCGGCATCGGAGGAATCAGATTGAAACCTTCAGCACTAAGACCATCGCTCTTCAACTGGAAGGTCTTTCGCTCATCATACCTAAATGGATACAGGACATGAAGCTGATGCGCGGCGACATGGGCATAATCCGAACTGAGCTTGAAAGTGGCCACTAACTTTGAACTGCAACTTGAAGTGGGGCGGCTGCAGTCGTATCATCTCTACTCGCGATCGCTCAGCTTCAACTCCCGTACGTTTGTGTCCACTTCAATCTACACTCATTCTCATCTATCTTGGTTGCAGAATCAATCTTGTCACCGTCACTCCAATTTGTGAAAACTTGCCCGGCCCCAAAGCCATCAAGCCAGACGATGTGTAAGTTCCGGAATGCGATATTAGTCATGTATTGGACTGAGCATCTGCCAGAATCTACGCTATAATGGTAAATCCGTTGAGGTTGACAACATGGAGGCTTAGGCTCGGCCTGGAGGAGCTTAGGCTCTCCAGAATTCAAGCATCCCGTATGGGCAAACGATAATGCGGTCCCTCGAAGTGCTTGTAGCGGATCAGTGTGGCAAATCAAGGCACTATCATTGGTCGTTACTTTTCCCTGCTGCCATAATCAGTAAGGTTCGACAACGCTAGTTACGGGGAAAAAAATCACTTTGCATCTGGAACTCAGGCAGATTTGGTGTCGAAAACACCTCTGCGCATTAAGTCTCCGCAGTACCAGCCTCTTGGAAAATACTCGCTAGGTTTGAAGCCTGCCAGGATGCCCAAAGGCAGAAAGCTGAAATAGAGGGCACTTAGGTCGCTGGGTGTCTTCACTGAGCCAGCCTCCTTTTCAACAAGATCAATCCACCATGGGTGCGACTTCTCATTGATGTTTTCCGACAACCCCTCTTCGCCTCCCGGTACCCATTCCAAGGTAAGGCGTCATCGTACGCGTTCGCACTTCTGAGTTTTAGAAATAGTCATGACTGTGTTGTCTATATCTGCCTGCAGGGAGATCAACAAACGTGACCAGTAAAACGAGCAAAGAACTGACGTTCAGGTCAGAAATGACAAATAATCCCAAGCAACAGCATGCGTATTCAGGAGGGAGCTGCAGTGGTAAGAGCCCGCCTTCTCGAGATATGAAAACAAGGAAAAGGGTTTTGTCCATGCGACACTGATCCAATGTCTCGATCTCAGATGGCCTATGTTCAGGTATCTGGGGTTGGATTTGAGGAGTTGCTGAGGAAGACACTGCCGGCGTATCCAGTTCCGGAACTAGAGATGGAGACAAGACCGTCGGCAATGGTGAATTTACTACCGGTACTGCAGCTGACGTGGATAACTGTGACACAGCTATGGCATCGGATGACAACACTTCTCGTAATCTAAGTGACGGAATGGAAAGAATTCGAACGAGCCCACCTTCGGATCCCGCAGCTAGATGTGCAGTGAACGATGAGAAATTGAACTGCAGATGGTCGCTTTTGATGGGGATGAAGGAGGACGCGGCATCCCACCTAAATTCGAGATCAGGACGCAAGCCTCGCAAATATGCCGAGTTCTAACCCGTGCTGCCAGATCACTGTTATCGGAGGGCCTCTCGTCGTGTGTTATGTCATGCGAATCGCCACGTACAAGTACTTCGGGTCCGTATCGATAACTCCACTCCCTATATTTGACGCTGCTCAATCAGTGAACAAGGGTTAAAAACAGAAGGAACTCACTAAACGACTTCCAGAGTATTTCTGTCTCTCCAAGAATGCTCAGGGTTAGGATACTCTAGGAACAATGTGGGCATTTGAAACTGCCGCCATGAGATACCCGTAAGAAATTTCGTGGGTTCAGGAAATATCGAAGCAAATTCTGCGCGAGACTGGGTATCTAGTTAAACTCGATTCGCATTCATCATTTCGAGGTACCTCACGTTTGTCCAGACTCGAGGCGTGCAAGGTGTACAAAGAAGGGTATCGACTGTGGGAACAGCACAGCTGTCAATCGCACACTTGGTCTTTGGAGGTCTAACAAAGTCCAAACCGGTGCTGTGGAGACTGCGGCATCTATTCGTGACGCGTTATGTGCATGAATGGGCAAATCTGATGAGGGTACCAACCGCTTCTAGTTTCCAGGTTGACTGGTGCTCTGAAGGGACCATCGACCTTATTCTTATTCCCCTTGCATTAGAAGTTTTTTTGGGAGTACTTGAAGAGTTCGGATGGGTCAATTTCGGTTTCTTTGGTGACCGAGAGTTTGAAGAAGTTGTTATAGGTTGGCTGGATCTTGAAGCTACTATCATCTTGGAGGGTGGCGCCGGAGGGGTCTTGGACATTCCGGATATTGGTGGGGATACAGAGGTTGGTGCACATTTTTTAAGATTGGTTATTTTGGGCGGGGGAAGCTTCTGATAGCGTGGTTGACTGGCATCACAAGGCCGCTCGGTCTTGGTGCACCGATCGCAGGGCAAGAGACGCGAACAAGATTGCTTTAAGGAGCGACAATGAGTGCAGGAATAGGGAACAGCGGATATATTCTCGCCGGAGGGAATTTCACGAAGCTCAAACATAGCACGAGGGTGAATAGCTTCATGGTAGATCATCGAATCTATGGAAATGATGGGTCGACGAACTGATGGATGTCAGGCCTTGTACGGAATCTGGTACATCATGATCCGCGTCGGGTGTCGACGTCCATCTCCGAGCATGAAGAGAGTCGGAACTTGGGTGATTATATAGTACTTACTTCAAACTTGGTACTCTGCGGAAGTCGATGTGACAACTCTAAATCGATGGGGCGTCTATAACTCCGCGAATCACAAAACGAACGTGTCAGTGTCGTTTGTAACGTTCACGCTCGCAATGGGGATAAATAGGTAAATGACGCGGGCAATGCGGCAGAGTGGAGGATTAGCGTCTCACCGCCGCTACGATGACTAAAGCACGTGGTATGATGTAATGTAGCCCGTTTGGACCCCCAGCTTTTCAAAGCTGGGGGTCCAAACGGGCTACATTACATCATACCACGTGACCACATGCTCTTAACAAACGATCTAAGTCCTCAAGGCCTCACTCGTCTTGTACACCCACAACTGATGACTTGACTGATCATTGCTGGTATATTCATCTTACTTTCTAGGCCAGGTATTTTCCAGCAGTGTGCATAACCGTGCTAAGCAATAAACAGCTGCTCCAGCAATCAATGAAGTACATGCCCCCCACTGTCTGTGATACATCGAGCATGATCGAGCAGCTCATGCACGTATTCCATGCAGGTATCAAAGATTTCGTGAGTTTCCCCAGGGTGCCCTACGTTGATTGCGGTGGTTTTCCTACGTTACACATGACTTTATATGACTTTATATTCCAATATTCCAATATAACGAAAACCTTTTCTATATATGACGATATCTGCGGCTCACCAGTCCTCTGATGTGCGAGGACTGCCTTGAAATTAGGCGACAAGATCGCACCCATTGCTTCTGCTGCCTGTTTCGAATGTTGGTTAGCATCATAATACACTGAAGTGTACAAAAGAAAGCGGGACTATGTGAAACGGGATGATGGAGATGCTCACCTCATGTTGAACTGTCGGATTATCGTCCAGATTCTCCGGCACAGCTTGAAGGACTGGGAGAGTATGCAAGCTCATGCTTGAGAGTGCCGAGTAACCGAGCAGGAAATCCCTTACGATTTTTTTTGGTCGAGCTTCAGAAGATTGTCAGAAGGGGATGTGAATCTCAGAATCGATCGCCTACGTCGTCGTTGTAGTTCATGATGATTCTCTTCAACTCGGAAGGGTCGGAAGTGACAAAGTCTTCCATGTGTCTGAGAGGCGATGAGAATACGCAAACAGAATTAGTTGTGTGATGCACCTCGTGACAAGAAAGGCAGGATTGGTGATAAAAACAGATGTTTCTTTGGAGATAAGTACAAATTCGGCATAGCTGCAGTGAGGCGTTCCACGGAGCCATACCTGCAATCCATTCCGTACCGCCAGTGCTGATTGAGGGATTGATGTACCCTGCGAGACGACCTGCGAGACTGCCTAGGCGTTTGTGATGTGCAGAAAGCAGCAGCAATGTCGTGCTTGGTGTGATTGACGGCAGCTAAGAGACCCTGAAGCCCAAATCACAAATTAGCGTAAATGAGAACGCTAATAACAGCAGTATACACGAACCTTATCCTCCAACTTCCAAATACAATTTCTGGTGGAGTTGCTCAAGCGACAGGACGACATCGATCGGGCTAATGACGTTACCGAGCGATTTTCTCATTTTGCGTCCACGAGCGTCGCGAATCATCGCGTGACAGAGTACCTCAGAAAATGGCATCTGACAAGTAAGATAGAAGCCCATGAGAACAATACGCGCCACACAGAAGAAAAGGATGTCCCAGCCTGTTTCAAGGATACTGGCAGGGTGATACCGAGGAAAATTGGCAGTCTATTCGTGGACGATTAAAGAATTACTCACACATCTTCGTTGCAACCTCAAACTTCCCCTCAAACTTTTTGTGCTGTTCAATGACCAACCCTCGTGTGGGTCGCCTCGAACAAGGCCCTTCATCGTCACCTTCGTGTATTCTTTGAGCGAGAGTCAGAAATTGGCCAGACGCTGTGTTGTGCCTTCGACTAACGCGCACGCAGGTCAAGAGACAGTAGATACGGAAAATTGGAAGGGAACTTACAGTCATGAAAATCCGACTCGACCGAGTCTTCACATGGCAATGAGTTCAACAACAACGAAACAAGTAGTGTTACTCACGGAGGAATAATCTCAACCACGTGATCGTTCTTCTCGTTGAGCTGACCAGCGAGTGAGATGCTCAAGTTGGTAGATTTTGTCGCACAGCAGTGATTTCAGCGGCAGGAACGACGGACAGCCCTGAATAAACTGTGTAAAAGAACGTCAGACAGCCTTGCTTCTGCACAAGGGTTAAAAATACTCATACCCCAAGCTCGATAAGATGAGGGAGGAAGGTGATCATCCTGACAATTGAGGTGTGGTTGGTGGCGAGTTCACACTTGAGAGCTGACCGAGATGAGAACGCCATGAGTAATCATAGATGCACCGTGACAGCAGGAGACCTACATTCGGGATAAACGGCTTCTGGCTTAGTGAAGTCGAAGGCCCGTTGAATGCCATTCGAGAACAAGAACCTAGACAGCCGGTCAGTGCCGATTTGCATGGGATAGTGCTAGGGGCACATACATCTGGGTAAGTGTTGACGATATCTTCGATGGAAGACTTGAGAACGCTGCGCTCTGAAAGAACGTCAAGAGTAACGCTCTTGAGTCGTCCGGTAGCAATGTGTAAGGCAACCAGTTCATCGAGCCTTTCCTTGCAGCGACTGCAGACAATATTGACGGTTAGCAGGGCAAGAGTACGACCTATTTCTGCAGCGGATCCAACGACCAAGACACACTGAGAATCGATGATGTTGGCCATGATAAAAGAGTGAGTTTGCGGTAGTAATTCGCTGGGAAAGGGGGACGAAGGTGCTGACCTTTATACCTACGACCACCTGTTCAATCTAAAGTGAACCGATCATGGCCCGTGACGATGCATGACTCAATGATGCATGCGAACGATATCGCGGTGCGAGACTCATCTTCGGTATTTTCAGCTGTGTAACAAGGAATGATAATTGATACTTAGTTAGGATCCATAATCAAGAAGGAACGACTGTCCTCCAGGTTCCTTCTATATCCAGGTCTGACTACGATGGACTCTGATCGGATCCCCGACTCCCACGGTTACAGATGCGGCAAACGTGCCGGTGAAATGTTGGGGGCAACAGAACGGCAACAGAGAATGGCAACAGAACGGGCAACAGACTCGTGGAAAAGTTGAGGGCAATAGAAAGGCGAAGAGGGACAACTGGGGCAACAGAATCGGGAACTGAGAAGGAGCTTTGAGGGCTGCGGTAGAGCGGCGTACAGACTGGCCGGGCGTTGGGTTGGCAGGGTGCTATAGTAGAAGCGCGGCCTGTGTAGCGTCCGGCTATAAGTCCAGCTCATGATATGATCTAGTCTAACAATTTGAAGTCAATTTGAAGCTGCGCGGTGCTGATCACCACATGATAGGTTTATTTTTCTTCGACAACCGTGACACTGACGTACATATATATTCACTCCATGATACTGTACGGTTTCTGCAGCCATTTTTCGAGACCGGCAGGCTTTCATGGTCCTCTAATACTAGAACACGGCGGGCCCGCATTGATACCATAATATTATGTGCCATGTCCCGGACAAACCAAACCCTCCCTTCATCTTTCACTGCACCCGTGGGGTTCGTTCATACTTCTTTTCATCTCGCTAGTTTCGACTCGATTTTTGCCGGCTGGGAAAGATCGGACAGGAATCATCGTTGCCATCCTTCTCAAGGTAAAGATTCGCTGCCGTTAGTCCGACTTTCAGCATCATAACCTCATTCCTTCCAGCTAGCGGGTATGGACAATCACTTTATCCCAGATTAATAACTCCCTTACGCGAGTAAGACCGCGCAAGGGTCCAAGGAAAACTCTTGAAAGAGCCTTTGTTCACTGCCAACTCTGAAGCTGCAATGCACATGCTGACATCTCGGTATGCGAAACTCTGAGTCAAATCGTTTTCTATCATTAGAGTATCATGTGCATGCAAGTATGCACTGTAAGTCCGCTGCAAACCGAACCAATCGAAACCAAACCTAATCACCCCTTCCTGGGTCCCACCACAGGTAAGCCCAGAGTCCGCCTCGTCCTCTGTTGCATTACCCCCGGTGTCATCACACCCTGCAACATGCCTGCCATCAGCCCATTCTGCCTCGCCTTTGGATTGAGCGGACTCAGTGTGGGCTTTGGCGGGATAATCGGCAGCACTGGGAGGTCACCAGACGCAAGTAGCGAGAGCAGTGTGATGGTGATATCATCCTGAGATAAAGTATTCCCGAGATCCCAAGTCGCGCTTTCTCGTGCTTGCTTTGTAGCGAGCGAAATGATCGAGAAGTTCTTGCCATTTTGTCTCACCGCGGCCGAGCTCAGAGCGTGAGGCGATAGGGTTGGGTGTCCTCGTATTGGTTAACAATAGCACATGATGAAATGAGAGTGGGTCAACTCACGCTTTTGGGGCAATGTGGAGGAAGCCGGCAGAGTTGACTCCGTTGAGACGGCTATGGAGTGAGACGAAAGAGGTGGATTGGGGGAGTAGCATGAGCAACCCATATAGACACTTGAACAAGTAGGGGTAACGCTCAGGCTCGAGGAGTTGAAGGTGTAGGTCTTCCGGAATATCATCAACCTCTGATTCATCTCATTAATAGATAACTCACAAGTGAATACGGGAGATTTGATCAGCTGCACTAATTTGTCGACTTGGATCAGCAGTGGAACGGTGATCTCCAAATCAGCGCCGGCGTAACATTGTTAGCAACGATCAAACACGCCATGTGAGACAAACTTACAAGATAGATAGTAAATTTGATGCATGCTCGTAATCCTGCGCAAGCATGCACAACGAAAACACTGCAATCGCATTATGACACCATGACCTGTAAAGCGTGGTGAACAGCGCCTGACCATCTTGCTGCACGTGTCATCAGTCAAGTCAAGAAATCAAACGAGAATGCGCTCAACCAACCCTTGTCTCAAGGCCCTTCAGCCGTTTTCGGAACTGTTCAGGCAAAGTGATCAGGATCATATTCAGCATCTGCACGTTCGCTTGCAAACTCCAGATCCTGTATAATAGCAGTCAGGTAACATTGCATTAGGGACCACAAAAGACGAGCAACCTCTTCTTTCTCCAAAATTTCTGCAAATGTCTCATATATCCTCTCCGTATTGAGACTGAGACACGACTGGTGGATGATAGGACTGCCGCAGGCCTCAAGAAGCTTCCTATCTGTGCTGAAGAGTTCGAAAAGGTCCATCATGAAATCCTTGAAGTAGCTCTCTTCTGAGGAGGACAATGTTTGCGCGGGGAGCTGCAACGAAAATATGAGTCGCATGATGCAAGGTCAATGCACATCTGAGTACCTCTTCGGACGAATCTGACGCAACGCCGGGAAAGTACCATCATCCATCGCAAGAATCTGACAATCTCATCAGTTTGCGCATACTCCAGACGGATTCCAGCACACCTGCTTCAGTGCTTTCTGGTGCAGCATTATGCGCCACTTCAGTGCAGCAACCCTAATCTGCTCATGCTGGCTCAAAAACTGTATCGTCAACTCATTAACTGTCGCCTGATAATTAAACTGGCCTCCTCCTGCACGGGTGAAGGAGGCGTTGGAGCTGGAGCTGGAGCTGGCGGAGGTGGCGGAGCACCCACTACACTATTTGATGACGTGCGAGATCGAGGCCTGCTCGAAGATTCCATGACAGTAGTTTGCATTGTCCCTGAGCGAGGACGCTGCGTCATGGTGGTTTTATCGGATGAAGACGATGGCCGGTTATCACCCACGGACTCGGGAGAAGAGGCATCTCTGGAGGCAGAGAAAGGCACGAATTGTTGATGGTGCGAGTCGGTTGCGAGTAAAATGAAGGAGCTGCCGGCCCTGCGAGAAGACACGTTCAACCGCAGTTGATGTTGCTGAGCAAGATAATAAGTATTGATTGATTGAAAGAGGATTCGAAGGAGACATACCTGGGACAGAGAGATAGTCGAGTGCCATCCGATGCAGCATTGGATAAGCACGGCAGTTGTTTTGCCACCATGCGAGTGGGGTCCTTGGTTTTCACAGTTGGTAATCGATGAGTTTCAGTAGTACGAGACATGGAACCAAGTGAGTAGTCACCAAAGTCATCCTTTGTTATCGTCAGTGGCAAGTGAATCAGTACTTGATCGCGTAAGATCAACGGTGTCTGTGGGGCTCGATCGAGAAGACCGAGACACAAATGACTGCTTGACCTTCTTCAAGGGGCGGGCCAGAGCCTTAGCACCCTTTGCAACAGCCTTTTTGAGTGACCTGGCCTTCTCGGAGATGGACGACGAGATAGACTTAGATGATGAGTGTGACTGGGTAGACGAAGCATCAGATGCCTTCTTTGTGAGCTTAGTTTTCATGGGGAGACGACTCAGTGGACTTACTGGTCTCGAGTTTTTGCCTTGGCTTTATGGTAGTGACTCGAGCTTCTCTGCAACGAAGTGTCAGCTCAATAAATTGCTAGAATGATTCACGGGGGTACAAAAGACATGACAGAAATCAGTATAGCATTCACTTGTGATCCTCAAGCTCTCAGAGGAAGGAAAAACAGAGAATCAAACACGGTGTTCAATGGCTGTCGCGCGCCTGGTTCCCGATTTGGTATATTATACCCGCCCAAACACCGTCAACCCGCGGTGAATGGCCACGGTATGCTCAAGGGTACGACTATCCTACTCCGTACCCGTACCCTCCAAACCCGTCAGCATAGAACCGCGGTGTTACCCGTACCCGTGCGTTTCCCTAGGGATGAACGATAGTTATATAGCACACGGTAACGACGAGGCAACCCTTGAAGGCATGAGCGAACTTCTTCCCGGGCGAGACATTCGAGACGACGTCCACGGGAACAGAGACCCATGGAACCAGACGGGAAGCAGAGAGACGACTGTCCGCATGGCCGAGAGATTTTAGGGCAGGGGGGAACTTTCGCAGGGCGGCAGCAACTTGGACACCGTACAAGTCTGACAACTCAGCAGCAATGCGAGTGGCTCGGGTATTCAAACTGGCTGGAAGATGACGGGAGCCAGAGTTTTCCACTCGAAGCGACGACGAGATTGCACTGCATACTTTAGAAAAGTGTTCAATTAAGGCTTCAATAGAAAGATCTTTGCGACGAACTTGCGACTTGGTGAACCCCAGGCGGCGGGCAATGTCACGCAAGTCTGCAGCGGGAACCTCGCTTAGATTGTCTCGATAGATGTCCACAGCGTGGAAGAACCAAGGAGGGTCACGCTTGAACTTGAGCAGAAGGCAAGACTCCATAGTAACGGCTGCTCGACATCCCTCATAGCACCTGAAGACACTGCAATGGGCGTAGGATGCCGGTGCGAAATGAGAAGGAGAGAAAGACACGGAAACACCACCGATTCGGATATTGACCGCGACCCCATCAAATGATACGGAGTGTACCTCGATACATGATGCACACTTGGCACACGACAAAACATGATAGTTCAGCGCTGAATACAGCCATGAACAGAACCCCGAAGGTGTCTCAAAAACAGCAGGATGACACTCGGGGTGATACAACGGATCATAATACAAAGGAAAATCAGCGGGAGAATGTAAAACATGGAGAGGAGGGCAATCATTGACATCGAGTACGCGAGTAATCACAGAGGGTGTTTTATGCAAGAACGCTGCCATGGGATGGAGTAAACGAGCACGAACAAGAAAAGCTGCAGATAGTCGAATCAATAACGACCGAAAGGGACCGAGGAGATGGACACACCGTGATAGGTAGCACACCAAAGGCAACGGCACGAACAAAGATAGAAGGGTCCTGAAAAAAGGTAAAATATTTAACGACTGAAAGGCAAGCACAGAGGGAACGCGGACACACCTCGCTAGCTAGCACACAGAGGACAAGGGAACCAAGGGAGATTCAATTGAGCGTCCAGAAAAATGTATCCCCGGTGTGTTCCCACCACACTAGCTAACACAGAGGAGAAGGGCACAAACTATGCAGAGAGCCGGTTCATTAACAACTGAAAGGTACAGAGTACATCGACTCACCGCGCAAGGTAGGACACAGAGGACAACGACACGAACAAAGACAACAGCGTCTAGAAAAAATGAAAGATCAATCGACTGAAAGGCATGCGCAGGGAGGACGCGGACTCACCTCACTAGCCAGGACACACTAATATTGTCATTGATATTGGTGCGGGTACCGGGTGAAACGAGAACATGTGCGTGAGAGAACAACGGAGTCGGGGATTGGAGTACTGGCGCTCACCGCTGCTACTAGATGTCCACTAGAGTTCGCGCATTTTTGGGGTAACGTCTATTACTCCACAACGCACAAACATAAAAATTTAATTCTTCGACAGTTCCATAGCCTGACAGCCCATTATGGGGGATTGCATAATATCATGTACGATTCATCAAGCGTGGTGCAGTGGACCTGGCGGGTACGCTCAGTTCGTCCCGTTAACTTCCAGAGGTGGCTTAGACCTGACGCCGCCTTTCTCATTGTGTAGTATCTCTGTCGTCAGTCCTATTGGAAACAGTAGGGCAACCGGGGTCATAGGTAAGTCTTTTACTCCGTGCTCACAGTCAAATGGTTACTACTTGACACCGTCTTGCAGACACCACTGTGGCAAAGCAGCTCATAGACAAGATTTACGAGAAGAGAAAGGCAGCCGCTCTCGAATCAGAGAAGCAATTATACTCGCTTGCAGTTGATAGTAATGCGTTGAGCGTTCTCAGGCAGATTCGGGAATGCCACCAGCAAATCGACCACCGTCGTATAACACAGATCATTGAACAGCTGGTGGATATGTTCAGCAATTCACCAAATCTCCTTCACATCAGAAACGGAGGACTCGTTGACATAGCTGGTACAGCCATTGCCCTCGGCATGGACGTCGCCTCGTACATAGAAATTCATCGAACCCGTGCTGGCGTGCTTTACGGATCCAGAAAACAGAATACGATATCTCTCCGCCGAATGTCTGTACAACATCGCCAAGGTATCCAAGGGCGAGGTTCTTTCAACCTTACATTCGACGCCCTCAGTAAAGTGCGGTAGCTCCTCGTCAAGTTTTGCATTATAACCGAGCTGAACTTCTCAGCTAGCTGATTCAGAGTTATCGGTCAAGAATGGGGCGGAGCTGCCTGATAGAATTCTGAAGGATATTGTGGCAGAGACAGCTTCGGTGTATATTCCGCAGTATCCAGAGACGGTGAGGATTCGCGACCTGTTCGATTCTCAGGAGCAGAGTATACTTGTTTCTTAACCCGATGTCCGATTCCTAGGAGAAAACATCACTGTAGAAGAAGGCATTCTCCCTCGCGCGCTTCATTCCACTGTTGCAAGGTAGGATATATGTCCCTGGTTCATTCACAAGGAGCTACTTGGCATCGTGGATAGCAGTGCTTGACTCGGTCGAGGAGCTCGAACTTCTAACATACCTCCTAGAGTTCCTAGACGGCCTCCTGTGAGTCGGAAGGTTTGTGGCTCAAGATGCTCGCTGATGCACCTATTCAGGAAGCACTTATCAGACCCCACCGAGGATGTGCGCGTAGCCACAGAACATTCTTGCCGATTTCCTACGTGAAATTAGAGACGTCTGTATGGTTCATCAACGCAAATAAGAACACACTGAGCCTTCTGATCTACGACGCTCAGATGAGAAGCTTCCTGACATCACGATGTCTCACTCTGAACGCGCACGTTTCATCACCAAGAGTGAATTTGGCCACGATCATGATGGAGAGCACAGTTTCAAGGATGAGCACAAATCAGAAGACTATCGCGGCACTGGAGGTAGGGATTGTTTAACACATTCATTGAAACTACTCACTGCTCGTGCAGCCTCAGTTCCTGGGCAGGGTGTGCGGAGAGACTATGCAGCCATAATAGAAATTCTCATGACAACCAACGTGAGTTGTTTCCATCCAAGCTCACTGCATTGTACTTATCTTGCATGCACAGATGACGAAATCCAATAATCTACAGCCCTTCGTTGGTTCGCCGAGTTCTTGACCTTTCTGCCCGATGTCATGACGCCCCGTCTTATTCCTGCCATACTCCCGAATCTAGCACACCATGTCCTGATGATCCAGTCGGCTGCACTCTGAACTAACAATCTACTTTCGAACGTCATCCAAAACATACCCGGGCCAGTGGAGGGTCTATCCGGACAGAACACAGCAGAGAAGTCAATCGCGCCAGCAAGCTCACCAACCCAAATCCCCCAACCTTCACTGCACAGCCACCGTCCAGAGATGCCTCTTCTCCCGAGTCCGTGGGTGATAACCGGCCATCGTCTTCATCCGATAAAACCACCATGACGCAGCGTCCTCGCTCAGGGACAATGCAAACTACTGTCATGGAATCTTCGAGCAGGCCTCGATCTCGCACGTCATCAAATAGTGTAGTGGGTGCTCCGCCACCTCCGCCAGCTCCAGCTCCAGCTCCAACGCCTCCTTCACCCGTGCAGGAGGAGGCCAGTTTAATTATCAGGCGACAGTTAATGAGTTGACGATACAGTTTTTGAGCCAGCATGAGCAGATTAGGGTTGCTGCACTGAAGTGGCGCATAATGCTGCACCAGAAAGCACTGAAGCAGGTGTGCTGGAATCCGTCTGGAGTATGCGCAAACTGATGAGATTGTCAGATTCTTGCGATGGATGATGGTACTTTCCCGGCGTTGCGTCAGATTCGTCCGAAGAGGTACTCAGATGTGCATTGACCTTGCATCATGCGACTCATATTTTCGTTGCAGCTCCCCGCGCAAACATTGTCCTCCTCAGAAGAGAGCTACTTCAAGGATTTCATGATGGACCTTTTCGAACTCTTCAGCACAGATAGGAAGCTTCTTGAGGCCTGCGGCAGTCCTATCATCCACCAGTCGTGTCTCAGTCTCAATACGGAGAGGATATATGAGACATTTGCAGAAATTTTGGAGAAAGAAGAGGTTGCTCGTCTTTTGTGGTCCCTAATGCAATGTTACCTGACTGCTATTATACAGGATCTGGAGTTTGCAAGCGAACGTGCAGATGCTGAATATGATCCTGATCACTTTGCCTGAACAGTTCCGAAAACGGCTGAAGGGCCTTGAGACAAGGGTTGGTTGAGCGCATTCTCGTTTGATTTCTTGACTTGACTGATGACACGTGCAGCAAGATGGTCAGGCGCTGTTCACCACGCTTTACAGGTCATGGTGTCATAATGCGATTGCAGTGTTTTCGTTGTGCATGCTTGCGCAGGATTACGAGCATGCATCAAATTTACTATCTATCTTGTAAGTTTGTCTCACATGGCGTGTTTGATCGTTGCTAACAATGTTACGCCGGCGCTGATTTGGAGATCACCGTTCCACTGCTGATCCAAGTCGACAAATTAGTGCAGCTGATCAAATCTCCCGTATTCACTTGTGAGTTATCTATTAATGAGATGAATCAGAGGTTGATGATATTCCGGAAGACCTACACCTTCAACTCCTCGAGCCTGAGCGTTACCCCTACTTGTTCAAGTGTCTATATGGGTTGCTCATGCTACTCCCCCAATCCACCTCTTTCGTCTCACTCCATAGCCGTCTCAACGGAGTCAACTCTGCCGGCTTCCTCCACATTGCCCCAAAAGCGTGAGTTGACCCACTCTCATTTCATCATGTGCTATTGTTAACCAATACGAGGACACCCAACCCTATCGCCTCACGCTCTGAGCTCGGCCGCGGTGAGACAAAATGGCAAGAACTTCTCGATCATTTCGCTCGCTACAAAGCAAGCACGAGAAAGCGCGACTTGGGATCTCGGGAATACTTTATCTCAGGATGATATCACCATCACACTGCTCTCGCTACTTGCGTCTGGTGACCTCCCAGTGCTGCCGATTATCCCGCCAAAGCCCACACTGAGTCCGCTCAATCCAAAGGCGAGGCAGAATGGGCTGATGGCAGGCATGTTGCAGGGTGTGATGACACCGGGGGTAATGCAACAGAGGACGAGGCGGACTCTGGGCTTACCTGTGGTGGGACCCAGGAAGGGGTGATTAGGTTTGGTTTCGATTGGTTCGGTTTGCAGCGGACTTACAGTGCATACTTGCATGCACATGATACTCTAATGATAGAAAACGATTTGACTCAGAGTTTCGCATACCGAGATGTCAGCATGTGCATTGCAGCTTCAGAGTTGGCAGTGAACAAAGGCTCTTTCAAGAGTTTTCCTTGGACCCTTGCGCGGTCTTACTCGCGTAAGGGAGTTATTAATCTGGGATAAAGTGATTGTCCATACCCGCTAGCTGGAAGGAATGAGGTTATGATGCTGAAAGTCGGACTAACGGCAGCGAATCTTTACCTTGAGAAGGATGGCAACGATGATTCCTGTCCGATCTTTCCCAGCCGGCAAAAATCGAGTCGAAACTAGCGAGATGAAAAGAAGTATGAACGAACCCCACGGGTGCAGTGAAAGATGAAGGGAGGGTTTGGTTTGTCCGGGACATGGCACATAATATTATGGTATCAATGCGGGCCCGCCGTGTTCTAGTATTAGAGGACCATGAAAGCCTGCCGGTCTCGAAAAATGGCTGCAGAAACCGTACAGTATCATGGAGTGAATATATATGTACGTCAGTGTCACGGTTGTCGAAGAAAAATAAACCTATCATGTGGTGATCAGCACCGCGCAGCTTCAAATTGACTTCAAATTGTTAGACTAGATCATATCATGAGCTGGACTTATAGCCGGACGCTACACAGGCCGCGCTTCTACTATAGCACCCTGCCAACCCAACGCCCGGCCAGTCTGTACGCCGCTCTACCGCAGCCCTCAAAGCTCCTTCTCAGTTCCCGATTCTGTTGCCCCAGTTGTCCCTCTTCGCCTTTCTATTGCCCTCAACTTTTCCACGAGTCTGTTGCCCGTTCTGTTGCCATTCTCTGTTGCCGTTCTGTTGCCCCCAACATTTCACCGGCACGTTTGCCGCATCTGTAACCGTGGGAGTCGGGGATCCGATCAGAGTCCATCGTAGTCAGACCTGGATATAGAAGGAACCTGGAGGACAGTCGTTCCTTCTTGATTATGGATCCTAACTAAGTATCAATTATCATTCCTTGTTACACAGCTGAAAATACCGAAGATGAGTCTCGCACCGCGATATCGTTCGCATGCATCATTGAGTCATGCATCGTCACGGGCCATGATCGGTTCACTTTAGATTGAACAGGTGGTCGTAGGTATAAAGGTCAGCACCTTCGTCCCCCTTTCCCAGCGAATTACTACCGCAAACTCACTCTTTTATCATGGCCAACATCATCGATTCTCAGTGTGTCTTGGTCGTTGGATCCGCTGCAGAAATAGGTCGTACTCTTGCCCTGCTAACCGTCAATATTGTCTGCAGTCGCTGCAAGGAAAGGCTCGATGAACTGGTTGCCTTACACATTGCTACCGGACGACTCAAGAGCGTTACTCTTGACGTTCTTTCAGAGCGCAGCGTTCTCAAGTCTTCCATCGAAGATATCGTCAACACTTACCCAGATGTATGTGCCCCTAGCACTATCCCATGCAAATCGGCACTGACCGGCTGTCTAGGTTCTTGTTCTCGAATGGCATTCAACGGGCCTTCGACTTCACTAAGCCAGAAGCCGTTTATCCCGAATGTAGGTCTCCTGCTGTCACGGTGCATCTATGATTACTCATGGCGTTCTCATCTCGGTCAGCTCTCAAGTGTGAACTCGCCACCAACCACACCTCAATTGTCAGGATGATCACCTTCCTCCCTCATCTTATCGAGCTTGGGGTATGAGTATTTTTAACCCTTGTGCAGAAGCAAGGCTGTCTGACGTTCTTTTACACAGTTTATTCAGGGCTGTCCGTCGTTCCTGCCGCTGAAATCACTGCTGTGCGACAAAATCTACCAACTTGAGCATCTCACTCGCTGGTCAGCTCAACGAGAAGAACGATCACGTGGTTGAGATTATTCCTCCGTGAGTAACACTACTTGTTTCGTTGTTGTTGAACTCATTGCCATGTGAAGACTCGGTCGAGTCGGATTTTCATGACTGTAAGTTCCCTTCCAATTTTCCGTATCTACTGTCTCTTGACCTGCGTGCGCGTTAGTCGAAGGCACAACACAGCGTCTGGCCAATTTCTGGCTCTCGCTCAAAGAATACACGAAGGTGACGATGAAGGGCCTTGTTCGAGGCGACCCACACGAGGGATGGTCATTGAACAGCACAAAAAGTTTGAGTGGAAGTTGGAGGCTGCAACGAAGGCAATGACTCAGACATAGAGGACACATTGGAACATAGTTTCCCTCTGCGAACAGACTTGGAATGTGCAGTAATGGCAGTTGAGCTTCTTCCTTTAAAATCATTCTTGTTGCTGAGTCAAACTCAGCTGGACTCCGCCGGACTTGTCAATGGGTTCCAGACTTTGGCCGCAGAGTGTCCAAATCCCTGACTTTCTCCGTTTTGCAGTCTTGCTCGCCGTCTCGATCACGTTTCGCATCAATCATATCCTTACCAACACACAAGCAATCAAATTGCCCCACCCCATTGCTAGTTCTTAACTCTCTTTGGTGTACCAGCGGGCGAAAGGCATAACTAGACGGAAGTGGCGGAGAAGAGGCTGCAACCCAAGCGTGTTGCTGGAAGTTCAGAGAGGGAGCCGTGGAGTGCGCTCGCCTTCAAGCTTGAATCACGGTATGTCATCTGGCTATAATACTTTATGCGAGACATTGATAGTTGTCGTGTATAGACCTTCACCGCGTTGCCCTCAAAGACGTCCTGCACAAACAGGGCACAGGCTTTCCAAACGAACTACTATAATGGGTCAGTGTCCAGATACTATACTGCCCGCGGATGGACAGAGTTGGCACTGCCGCACTGTGTTAAATACCCTTGTGAATCCACGTATTCAAGCCATGATCAATGTTGACCCTAGCAGCTTGGCTAAGCTAGACGTTCCCCACACGCCACAAGCCAAAGTGTTCTTTACTGCCTTTCTTTTCTCTCCACCACTGAACTTTGAGACATGTCTCGTCTCACTCTTTCCGTGCTTTTCGCCATCACTGCCACTTTAAAACGTTTCTTCACTCAACCTGACACAGCTGACCCAACTCCACTTGTAGACAAGACCTATGCCTGCCCGCCAGGAATTGTGAGTTTCAATTCCTCTTCCGTTGCATATCATGTTCACACCGGAGCATTTTTTAAGCTGTACCAAGTCGACTACAACACCGCTGCTATTCGTGACTCTCAGGTTGGCTACAACATCTGTAAATCCACCACCGAGAACCAGAACTCCATGTGCCGAACTGGTGAGCCACATCGACGGTGCGTCTCGTTGACACCACACGCGTCGCTCATAATGATAGTATTAATTCTTAAGATTTTTGCTTGTGAGCATATTTCGCCCCCAACTACACTATCGGCGATACCGAGCAGGAGGAGGTTCCATGTTGCACCAAGCCTGACCACGGCACTCGTCTCATTCGCGACTGACTGAAAACATATGGCACTGGTGTATCTCGCGGCAGTTATGGTGGGTGACCGATGCCCAGCCTATTTCATCCGAATTGAGGGAGAAGATATCGACGTTAGTATTTCAATGATCAGTCCAACACTTGTGCGCTTACTCTTGAATGCAGAAAAACGATGGCAAGAACTGGAAAATCCTTGCACGCGGGAAGAATTTTACACTTGAGCAATATGAAGATGTCCTCGATACTTGGTCCTCTGGACTGTGGTCCTTCTCGATCCTGACGGCCATAAAAGGCAGTGTTTCATACCGTAAACTGGCTGGCATTAATCGTCCACCAACAGACTGCCGATTTTCCTCGGTATCATCCCTACCAATATCCTTGAAACGGGCTGGGACATCCTTTTCTTCTGGGTGGCGTGTATGATTCTCATGGGCATCTGTCTTACTGGTCAGATGCTATTTTCTGAAGTACTCTGCTGCGCGATGATTCGCGATGCCCATGGACGCAAAATGGGCAAATCGCTCGGTAACGTCATTGAGCCGATCGACGTCATCTATGGCCCATCACTTGAGCAACTCCACCAGAAATTGTATTTAGAAGTTGGAGGATAAGGTTCGTGTGTAGTGCTGTTATTAATGTTCTCATTTACACTAATTTGTGATTTGGGCTTCAGGATCTTTTGGCTGCTGTCAAGCACACCAAGCACGGTATCGCTGCCGCTTCTGTACATCACAAACGCCCTGGCAGCCTCACAGGTAGTCTTGCAGGGTACATTAATCCCTCAATCAGCACTGGCGGTACGGAATGGATTGCAGGTATGGCGCCTGTAGAACGCCTCACTGCAGCTATGCCGAATTCATGGTCATCTTCAAAGAAATCTCTGTCCTCCTACCATCACCAATCCTGCCTTTCTTATCACGAGGTGCGTCACACAACTAATTTTGTTTGCATATTCTCATCGCCTCTCAGACACATGGAAGACTTTATCGCTTCCGACCATTCCGAGTTGAAGAGAACCATCATGAGCTACAATGACGACGTAGGCGATCGACTGTGACATTCACATCCCCTTCTGACCATCTTCCGAAGCTCGACCACAAAAGCCCCGAGGGATTGCCTGCTCGGTTACTTAAAGCCGACCGAAGCGCTTGATTACCACGATATCAGCTCTCCCAGTCCTTTGAGCAGTGCTGGAGAATCTGGACGAGGATACGACGGTCCGACATGAGGTGAGCGTCCTCATCGTCCCGTTTCACATAGTCCCGCTTTATTTCGTACACTTCAGTGTATTATGATGCTAACCAACATTCGAAATAGGCAACAGAAGCAATGGGCGCGATCTTGTCACCTAATTTCAAGGCAGTCCTTACAGATAATCATAAATACACCCTGCATGGAATACGTGCATGAGCCGCTCGATCGTGTTGGATGTGCCACAGACAGTGGGGGGCATAAATTTATATTGTATACACCATTGATTGCTGGAGCAGCTATTTATTGCTTAGCACGGTTATGCACGCTGCTGGAAATTGCCTCGCCCAGAAAGTAAGATGAATATATCAGCAGTGATCAATCAAGTCATAAGTTGTGAGTGTACAAGATGAGCGAGGACTTGGATCGTTGGAGACTGTCAAGAGTTTGTATGTGGTCACGTGGTGTGATGTAATGTCTGCACAGGTATGGGTATGGGTTAGAGTAGCTCGTTTGCATTCCACAGCCGCACACTGCTATCATCCAATCCAGATGCGATGCGAGCACCATCCGGTGACAACGAGGCTGACAAAACCCCTTCAGTGTGCCCATTCAAGGGCTCAGCCAATGGTTGTCCCGTCCCTGCAGTCCACAGCCACACAATCTTATCCGCCGAGCCAGACGCAATGCGAGTACCCTCCGGTGAGAAAGAGACTGACAAAGCCGGTTGAGTGTGCCGCCGCAAGGGCTCACCCAATGGCTGTCCCGTCGCCGCATCCCGCAGTCGCACAGCGTTATCCTCCGAACCAGACGCGATGCGAGTACCATCCGGTGAGAACGCGACTGACTGGACCGACTCGGTATGCCCGCTGATCACGATTTGGACAGCCGTCCAGTTCAAATGATGTCCTGATGCCAGAACAAGGTTGTTCGGAAACCTTGCAGTAAAATTGGTAGCTACGGTGGAGTTTATGGGTGAGAACGGCAGCGCTGATAAATACAGATGCGGCGTGCTGTGCAAAATGATGCCGCCAAATACTTGAATGAATCTTTGCACATCCATTGTAGTCAACCGCACATCTTTATATCCAGAATGGCCTTGTAGTTGATTGTAAGATGTTCATCCGATGCTGCCTGGTAGGCATGTGCTCACCTTCAGCCACCCAGTAATAAGTGGAAGCACGGTTATTGCGCCCCTGATTGCGTTGAGAAGGCCAAGTGCCTCAACCCAGAAGAGCAGTCGCTCATTGCCGAAGAATGAATTTATTACGGTGACGAGCTCCGAGTCGAAGTTCGATGGTGATACGAGCGTAACCCAAAATCGACAGGAATAGGAGAGATGTAGGGGAATGGATGTTTTGACTCGTTGAGGCAACCCTGTGTCTTGGGAATTAGGGAGGTACGACGACTTCAAATTACATATATTGAAGCGAAGGCCATGTTCCATCACTCGTAGTGACTCAAATGCAAGGTCGCGTTGTTGCGCCTTCGTTCTCTCGACGAAGAAGTCTCCGCTGGATGCCTCGTCCGTCAGGAATTGAAATGTGGCATGAAGGGGTTGGATGGGGGTACGTGAGTCGGTGGTGCCGCTGAGGAGGGTGCCCATGCGTTTTATCACCACATCTACATCGTAATGATCGTGGTACTCCGGGAAATGGTCCGTATAGCATTCAGTGCAACTAAAGGGAGGCGTTCGGCTGTGGCAAGTATTTGACCCATCACGGAACAAAACTTCGCTACTGCTTACTTGTAGTGGGCCGTTGTATACTTATCCTTTGGCATGATTTCTGTTAAGATGAGCCGATGCATATAATGCGACAAGTTTCTCCGCTCCTCGGGATGGCGGTTCACGACAGAATTGAAACAATCCATTGGGGATAAGCCGGGGTAGGGTTCCTTTATATATCCGCACGCAAGACGCGCCCACTCAAAGGGTCCATCGACTTTGACAGCAAGCATTTCAAGATGGTTGTCCCGAAATTCTGATAGCTCTTTCAGCTCCTCAGATGCGAAGGCGTAAATGTCGCGCTTCACAACTTCTGGTGGAATATGATATCAAATTCCTGCTCGATATCGGGAAGCGGGCGAGAGGTGACAAGAATCCGAAAGTTGGATGAAAGTTCCGTGATTTTGTGAAGTCCTTTGTCCTGAAGTCTACCGGCAAATATGCGGAGGTTACACCGCGTCTCCACTCCGCCACTCTCATCCAGTGCTTCAATCACGATCAAGATAGGCTTTACACTTGACCCAGAGTTCTTTAACGGTTCCATGAGAAGTTTGCGTCACTGCTGGCTAATGTCTGTCGTTGAGCGAGTTTGCATCCTTGACTGCATCCGCTAACGCTCATTTCATCCCTGGATCACGATCAGCAAGGTCGTGTGCGATGGCGGAGAAAATCTTTTCATGACGACGGTCTGTTTCTGTGTTGATTGGAACAAAAACATGAACCAAGGTCTCCGTTTCGTTGAACCAGTTGGCAATGGTGTGTGCAATGGCTGATTTGCCCTTGCCTGCAGGGCCGGATAGCCACATTACACGCGGAATGGAATCTTCACTGCTGTCGATCCACTCGGTGCGAGTGCCTGACAGACATTTCTTCTCGGTATCTAGTCCTCCACCCCCTGCACAAACCATGCTGCTGAGATCAAGTGTTTCGCCTTTAAGGTATGGGTACATCTAAAACCAGAGGCATGTATGAAGCCTTACCTGCAAACTGGACAAATATGGCTACATCCCGACCAGTTTGATCCCGAAATCGTTGCATAAGGCCATCCAAGGTATCGTTGTACCGCGTGATGATATCATTCGTTTCCACGACAATGTTCTTACCGACTCTCTTCCCTATAATCATAGTGGGTATAAGATTCATGTGCGAATGCAATAATTCGACGACTCACAGAAGCTCTTCGTCTCTGAGTATTCCCTGATGAACGGCTACACTCGGGAGTCTGCTGAGCAATCTTTCCAATGACATCGCGCATCGATTCAACCTTGGAAAGATTATCGTCTTGGGTAATGAAGCCATAGATTTCATCTAATTTCTGGAGAATGCGATGCACCGATTGGTCGCGCTCCGCTTGAGCAAGAACGATCTGCACGGAACCATAAAACCTGAGCGGGAGGCGGATCTCCGGGCAGCATAGAGCGTACTCTGGATGCAGCAGAAAGCACGCCCAACGCCATCTTTGCACATCGATGCACCTATAACTTGATTAGTTCGATACCGATTAAGGAGAGTGGCCCATACATTTGCGATCTTCTCAATGGTAGTGTCGAAAATTTTGAGGGGTTGGAGGTATGTGAACTGTAAATCATCTGCGGCAGTGAAACCTGGGGCATTGTTGACGGCGGATGTCTCAGATAGCGCAGGTCCCCCAAGTGTTTTCATATGTTCTGAAGCCTCGTGGGCACCCTGAAGTGCAGCATGAACCGAATTGGAACCAGGGGTTTCCTCCACGCCAGGGGGGATGTCGGGAACCTGCGTGACCAACAACATTTAGAGACAAAAACTAAATAATTTGATGCAAGTACCTTCGAAACAGGTTCTCCGGATATGCCTTGGTTGACGGAGCCACTGGGATTTTCAGCTGTGGTGGGATGCTTGTCGTCGGTGAAAGGATGCGGATGTGACATGTCCTGGATGCCTCTGATGAAAAAAAACTGAAGGACTGGGATTACGATTTCGAACACCTACCTCGATATTGTGATTCGATGAAGCACCTTGAAGGTCGACATTCTGGATCGCAGAGATGTGGTTGCGGGAACACTTGAAGCGTTGCTGCACAATGTCAGCCCATATTCAGAACTTAGACACCAATGACTCAGTAATCTACTCACGGAAATTTTCTTGGTGATGCCCTTCGTAAATTTCCGCAGGCCCTGCCAGACTCGACTCTGGACGAAGAAAGCGCCAGAGGCAGCGATGAATTTCATGAGCGCTCATTCACAGTGAGTGAGCCCATGAGATCACATACCGAACTTTCACAAACGGTTGCTTCGCAGGGTTCTGGAGGAGGATCTGGCCTATGGTCTTCACTCACTACGAGTGGTCAATTAGTGTGAGCAAAGTGAAGGTGCAAGAAGTATGGGAGAAGGGAGAGGACCTCTGGCACGAGTTAAATACCCTTGACCGTGAGCTTTGAAGCATGCTAGTGGCCAACACGTTGACTTGATTCTTGAACTCCCATTATAATTATCGACCATGGGATTGCCGAAGGGTAAAGGCGTAGGGCAAGAGATCTGACAGAAGTAAAATTCCATGGTGCGGTCCCCAACAGAACCGGCAACAGACTCGTGGAAACAGTGTTCTGCCAGTCACAGCTGACCGTGGTGTTCGTTCACTGAACGCAAATGGTGTGAAAGTCGATGACCGTTGGTGCCGCCGTGCCGGTGAAGTTCACTTGAACGTGAACGGGTCAGGTGCCATGGGTCCTTGTTCCTTATATAGAAACTGAGCGCTCGGCGCCCAGTACTTATTCAATATTGTATTGATGTACTGGATTGCACAATAACGTCCATAAGCAGTCCTCTGCCGAGTACAGCTAGCACTCCTAATAATACACGCGGATTCCTCGTGCCACAACCTATATGACTTCCTGTGGTTCTTGGTGCAAAATGCAGCCCCGCTCTGTTTTCTCGTTCGTGCTGATTCACAACTGTCGTCTCGTGGCTGCAATCCTCACGAAATGGCGGAATCGGCTTTCTACTCAAGTACGTTCAAATGCGGAGTACGTGCTCAACACAACAGCTGCTAGAGCAACTGCAGTTTCCACCATTGATTGAAAACTTGATCTGGAAGTGGCGAGTTCGACGGGTATAACACACCTTCATCAAGGCCTTCCAACTGAGCAGCCCATGTCCATTTTAGCTTCATGAGGTGTGACTACCGGTGCTGTCTGACCCTCCCCCTACGTTTTCTTGATCACTGGTCTTTCGTAGTCACTCTGATTAATTTCTCTACTTCGCTCGAACTAATCTCGTCTTCCGCGCTAGACTTTGTAGACCACACCATTGGTCTCAATGCAGTCTCCGGGCCTTGCGTGCGCATAGTCGCCAAAATCTACTGACCCCTGCATTTGCTCAGACTGCGATCCATCTCTGGCACAACGACGACGACTATGGGTGTAATTGGACTCGCACTGTCGACACTACCGAGCGGCTCGCGGTTCACGAAGCTACGAGAGCAACATCAAGGCTTTTTTTTGCTCTTAGCAAGCACTAGCGTAGGCACACATAACATGTCCGGCAGAAGCATTACTGAACCTTCCTTTTTCCAAAGATTTGAGCGAGTATCCTGCACACTCGCACGAATGTAGGGTGTTCATTTCAGGGTTTAATGGTTCAGCCGGTAAGAAGATGCCATGATCCCACTGTCACGCCAACTTAGTATCTCAAGGGACATTTTCCAGTCCTTTTTGCATGTGCTGTTGTGACCCCAAGCGAGGCAATACTTTGTATCAATGACGCTCGTGCCCGGCGCTAATTTTCAGTATTAAGATGTTCCTAGGCCCTGGACTCACCTCCGCCTTCACCACTCTCCATCAGTTCAGAGATTCCCTATATAGGATCTCGTGATCGAGAGAATGATGCAAGTACCATGTTTTTTCGTACTATTTTATTGACAATAAGTCACTGGCAGGTGACGAGGCGACCAGCCTCACCCTCCAACTTGGACATTCTGCGACACATCGTCCGAATGTTGGTGTCGGGATGGCGGGCGATGCGGGATGGGGCGGGATGGCAGGAGAAGCGACCCCACTATTATAATACCTCCCTATTACCAGCAATTCACAGCATATCATACCCACCTACATTCCATAGCATTAGATCTGTATCGGTACCATTTTCCAGGCCAGATCAAACAATTTTAATTTATGATAAGCCTCAAGCGCTTAGCGCTTAAGGCTTATCTGATCACACCAGTTTTAGTAACTAGTAGGAATAGGGGCCACTGAGGCTCATCTTCAATGAATCAAGAAGGCAGCGCAAACATTAATTAGGGGCTCGATGTCTGTCACAACTCTCCAGACCGCGCCATCAGATGTTTCAAAATTTGGAAAAAAGAAAGCACTACTAGAAGAGGCTTTTACTGTCCAGACAAAATCGCATGTCACTTCCTTACCGATAGAAATTCTGGTACAAATCTTCAACACGGTACCATTCGAGCAGTGCCACGCAGACATGATAGCCATCAGTCAAGTATGCTGCCGGTGGCGCGCCATCGCCCTCGCTTGCCCCACTTTCTGGACCTATCTTACCCCTTTGGTGCTTGGCTATGAATGGACTAGAGAAATACTTGTCAGATCTAAGGCAGCTCCCTTGACACTTGACATACGTGGGTGACACCTATTCTGCAGTCGAGGTTGTTCATTTGGCGATCAGACATCTATCCCACACACGCACACTCATTGTTTGCGGAGCACCCCAGTCTATCCTTGACTACGCTTCCGGTCCAGCTCCTCTTCTTGAATCTATTGTTCTCATCAACCGGAACAACACATCCGCATATGAACCCGCAATTTCGTACCATACGCTCGTCAAGTTCGAAACCCCAGCGTTACGTCAGCTCGTCCTTGACAACGTGATGTTTGATGGCGCAAACACACCCATCAAAAACTTCACATACTTGGACATGAGAAGTTTTCATAATTCCAGACTGATCCATGCTCTGCATGAATCATCGTCCCTGCAAACCCTCGGACTGGACCTCAGCCTTGCTGGCTTTGTCGCCACGGCATGTCCCGTTATATCCTTGCCCTCTCTCAGTTGTCTCAAGCTGTGGGGGCTTGCATCGGACTGTTCTGAACTACTTCAGAATATAAGAGCCCCCCATGTGAAGGCACTTGCACTCGTGTGCACCTCGCAGATAGTCACTGGCACTGACCTTCCCATCCTCTTCACTGCTGTCTCTGGACTGCATGCACAGGCTGTGCCGGAGATAAAAGCACGTCTGCGACAACATCCACACCGACTGTTCATCAGCATGACACGAGGACCGAGACCAGATTACCACTTTCCTTCCCTGATTGTACGACTGGCTGAAACGGCATCATCCCAAGACAACAGCGCATTTCATGAATCAGGCATCCACCACTGTTGGAACCAAAATTGGCACCTGGACTTCCGCTACATGGCAACAGTGATTCGGGAACGTATTTGGCCCAGTGAAGCAGAGTCCATCTGCAAGGTACTTTGTCTGGGTGGCGTGATAGACGCGACAGTGCAAGAGATATCTGGTCAAGGAGAATCACCTTTCTGCAGACAGCTCGTTGGGCGGATGCCTGCATTACGTTCCCTAAGCGTACTCGGTCACTCAACCCTATCGGTGATCATCAAATCGGTTCAGCCCAGAGGAAACGTTCAAATGAAAGAGCTGTCGGAGTTGTGTTTCGAAGGGCTGGACTTCAAGCAAAAATCGTCTGCTCGCACCCGGTATCAAGGAGATGTCACGGAATTAATGAAGATATTTGAGACGAGGAGCAGAATGGGCTTAACTCTTCCATCTTTGAGGTTGGTAGGGTGTACCAGTTCGTGCGGGTAGTTTAGAGCATCTGAAGAATGCTGCTATTCGTGTGGGTATCAATTACATAGACACAAATGAACACTGAAATTATCTTGCCTCCTGGTGAAACTAATACAAATTGTGAACAAAAACCGCCCAGGTCTCAAGTCAGCGAAGAATTGAACTAGCGTGAGCTCGGTAAATGTACAAAGATACATACTACACTAATACACCACATGGCTATAGTCATTGTATATGCATTGGAAGAGCGAAGATATCGAAACTCAAATACCTAGTGAATGTCAGCGAAGCCACTCTAAGGTAGAATTGTGCAACGGCATACAAATTCGAAATCACCACTGAGTAAAAGGAATCAAATGACAGTACTTAGATGTCAACACCGAGCTAAGTGCGACCGTGAGCACCACCATGGCTACTATCTGCTGTCCCATCCTGGCGAAGTATGTCAATGCGCTCCAAGCGCCATCAAGGAGGCATCATCAATCTGCCATGGGACCAACACGAATGATAGCAGAGGTACACTTTGCATCAATGCACATCCGGGAGCGAATTGATGCCAGATGAGTCATTTTCATGGGGAACGGAAGCCTGTTGGCCAGACGGATGTCCGGTGTCATCTACTTTCTTGTATTCCGGTAGTTTAGCAACAGCAAGTCCTTGTAGGGCCAGATCAACAACAAGGCACTAAAAAGTAAGAACATTACATTACAGTGACTTTACGCCCGAATGCGACTTCAACGACTGGTGACCCGAGGCTGTGTCTTGGCGCGAGGAAGGAAAGATACTGGTGTAGGAACTGCGCTACTCCGTTCAAGGTGGAGACGGAGAACTTATTTCGAACTGGACACGCACTTAGTTATGTATTGTGAGTTTAATAAAATCGAGACTGACATGATAAAACCGAGGTGCGGCCTGCTCCGAGAGGGTGCGGTAGGGGCAATGTAGTGGGGACCTGGAGTCCCATTGTCGAGTCGACTGCAAAAGAAACAACAAGAAGAAGAACATAAATCTAAGGGATCACGAGGTTGATCCTTCCGTCCAGGTCGAATTGTGTTCGTGCGAAGGGAGAAGCGAAGAAGCTTGCTGAGGCAAAGGAAAGAGGGTTTCTGCGGATCTATTGTAGGTGGAGGTCTCTGCGCCATAGCTATGGTGGTTATCGATCGCTTGCAATACCCGGCATAAAAATAACGAGTTCCATCGGGCTGCAATTATAGCGATGGATGAATGGCGTAATGAGGAAAAGATAAGATGTGCACATATCATAGATCATTGGGCTGGTTTATAAGGGAATGCGTACACCGACCTTAGCAAGGATGTCGGGTGGAGTGTCGCAGACGCAGATCTTGCATTCATCTTTGAGGTTTATCGTGTACGCTAGTTGGCGGGAGTCGGGTGAGAGGACAAGGGTACAAGAATTCTGAACATAGAAGGAAGCGAGGAGAGCATGGTCAAATGAAAGTGCTAAGCTGGTGACGGTCGGCATACCCTTCAAAGGGAGTACCAACAGTCTCCAGCGTCGATGCGTCAAACTCGTAGATTCATGGTGGCATTGTCATCTTCGGTGCTGAACGCGGTTCATATGATGGCTTTGTTGTTGTTTGTCCAGAATGCTGGCGACATCCAATTTCTTAATTCAAGTTAATTGGACATCCCAGACCTCAAGGGATGTGACGGTCCCCATGTTTGACTTCACTGCAAGTTTCTTCGAGTCTGGAGAATTGAACTGCGCCCACGTATAAATCAGTGCTCCCGATGGGACCAGCTACGAGTTTGCCAGTGTCCAAGTTTCATATCCACGCTGTTTCATCGATCACCCCGCTCACTAGCAGCTTGCTATCTGAAGATATATCGATACAGGAGATCCAATTTGAGTGTCTTTTCACAATCCCCGTCTCAAACTCGCAGGCTTTCAGCTCCCCGCGACCACAATGTCCAGCACCACCAGTGACAACCTATCGACCACCTGTCAATGCATATCAGAAGGTGGAGCAGGCAAACTTCATTCTTTCGCTGCTCATACTGCTCAACAACGCCTGGGTTCGTCAGCAAGATTATAGCAAGATTGGTGCACTGAACATTGAGTTACGTCCCCAGGTCATTCACGCTCCAGTCGTGAACCGAACCATCCTGTATGGGTGTAAGCTATCTCTGCCTGATGTTAACCATCACGTCAGGGTTATTCACCATTTCCATCTTGGCGAACTGTTGCTGGAATTCATGGCACATACTCCGAACAAGCTCTAGACTGATATCACGTTTATTCTTCGCGTCAGCCTTTGTCGCAACAAATATTTGGTCAACTAGTGTTGATGGTTACTTCATATCCTCGGATGTTGCAGGAAAGTCTGATGACGAACCTTCTTCGAACTCGGCAAGAGCCCATTGGTACTTTTCATCCTTCTCTTGGCACAGGGCTTCAAGCGCATTCTTGTTTGCGCCAATAAGTAACATTCAGTTTCTGGCCGGCACAAAAATGACATACAAATGTCTTCTTGAACAGTGCTTCCTCGGCCCTAATCTCACGTTCCTCTGGTGCAAGGTTATTCGCATCTTCATTTATGACTTCAAGAGCCTGCCTTGCTTCCTGGTAGTTTCTTGATCTCAGGGTCGACTGTGCCCCTGTAAATATGCTCCACAAACAAGAAGGTGCGATGACGAACCACTTACTCGTGCTGTTGATAATATTTCGGGCTGGCGAAGGTCCTTCGTCATGTTTGCGGCCGCTCGCTTTCCATACCGGGATCATGAAACCGTGTTCATCACTCGTCCCGCAATGAACTTTGCCCCACTACCATCTCGGGAAATGCAGCATTTACATCGATCTTAGAAGCGTCCAAGCCGATAGCCTGACACCACAAGACTAATTAGTGCATAGATTCTAAAATAAGACTGGTTCAACTACGATAGATAGCCAGGAGCAAGCCCCCCACACTCGAATAGGGCTATGTCCGACATAGAGTCTTCGGTCCCAAAGGACAATAAATTTGAATTTTATATATATAAAAAGACTGGTTTACTGACGGTGCGGTGCAAGTTGACCTCTCGCGTGAAGAGCTACAGAAGGCCGTCAGGGCACTCAATCTTCTTGATCGCATAATCATCGAAACCAAGTGCAGCAAAATGTTAGATCACTCAGTAGAGGTAACATAAACGTACCTCTGCCTCATTCATGGGAGGAGGGCTCAGGCCCACTTTGGGTCTGAACCAGATGTTGATATGCGCGCCCTTTCGGAAACCGGCTTGAAATTGCTCAAGTAGTTATTGAGGGCAGCATAATCTTCCTCGCATTGCGTGACAAGGACCTGCAAGTCAATCAGCCACCTAATCTAAAAGCGATGAGCAGGATGTAGTACAAATTTTGAGCTGATTCTGATTGAAGCATGCCTCTATGGCATCGGTATAGCGTCGATCCAGCACGGTGCAATATATCATGGGGGGCTCAAACACCTCCATCTTGAAAAAGCCACGCGGCTGCATCGGCCATGTCTCTATCCCAGGCCCACAACTTCTCGGGTTTACAATGATGCTTGTCTTCCAGATTTTTCAGCCTGCGACGAACGCGATATGCACATCCCGTGTCTCACTGGCCCAATGCACCACTGATGTTCGCCTGTTGGCGGACGAATCAACATTCTTCCATTGTCGCTCCTGCAAGTCCTCTATGCGCATCGTCGTCTGGCTGTGTTCCCTGTTGACTTTCCTCTAGAATGTGACGGTTAGCACGGATGTCATTGCCTACTCATGCAGTTCACGAACCATCTCAACATTGATGCCTTCTACATCTTCTAGTTTGGGCGGGCTGTCAAGTTCTTTCTGTCATTTCTCATTGTGCCCTTAGATTTCCCTGACCTTCACGTGCTCCTTCTTGGCCAATTCGAGACCCTCAAGTCTGTTTGTAACGTCATCGGCGTCACGTTCCTGAGCAGCTAATGATTAGCAAAGAAACGAAAACGAACCGTCAAACGAACAAGCTTGTCGTTCTCGCCCAATTTATTCTTCATCTGCTGGAACTTCTGGTGAGAGGCGGTCTTCTTTTTCTCACATGCTTTCTGATATTCCTTGTGCTGAGCCACGAGCTGTCTTGAAGTCTGTGAGTAAATTGGTGATAAGACACAAGAAAGAGCATACTCTAGCTTGGCGTGTGCGGGCGCATTCCTATCCTTCAGTTTCCGCACCCGGGAGTGCAACTCCCGTTGGCGGTCTTTTGCCTTCTGGTAGCGGGTGTCCTTAGCTTCATGGTATTCGTTAACAGCAATCAATATTTTTACTAAGACAGTGACCTAAAACAGTGACAGCATATTATGAACTACATCACTCACATCCTTCTCGATACACTTGCGCTCTTGATAGCGCTGAACGTCTCGCTCAAGTTGGGAATTACACTCTTGCATCGTCTTCAACCGCTCCTGCTCATCATTGGATTTCTGCGGGGTACCTATAAATCAAACGCGATTTAAAGCAGAGAACTCAGAAACATCTTGGAGGTTCTTAAGCTCATTGCCGGTGGTAATCAGTGTGTCATGCCAACTGGACAGATTAACAACCCCCGCGGGACGTTGCGTCTCTTTGAGCAACTGCTGCGGAGTCATTCGCGCAAACTCAGAGACCTTGTCCTGAGGCAAGAACGAACTGGTGCATACATGCAGTCAGAACCAGCGATTAGCACAGAAAGGGCAAAGTACCATAAGTTTCCAATGTAAATATTGAATTTCGCCATGCGGTTGGTAAGTTCTTTCCTAGTACAAGATTGTCCATTGAGAGTTAGAGTCGAGCCTTTGGACTTGGCGCTTAAGTTGCGTCGAATCACAAGAGTCTTTTGACCCTTTGTACCCTTAAGTTCAATGTAGCCACTCTCTTTGTCATGCTTGACGAAAGTAGAAGTCACATTTGCGCGACCAAGGATCTGATGGGGAGACATGAGGCACAAACACAGAAATAACAAAAAAGACCCATGCTCAGAGGTCAATTTAGTCCGAGACAAGTCGCACAAGAGATACTGCTTCTTCCAGTGCCATTGGGGATGAGTATCATATTGAGGTATGGACCGAGTCAGAATTCCACCCAGTCGTACGTAAGGAAGTTGTGTAACTGAATGCACACGGTTGAACCAGGGATGAAGCTAAGAGACGATAGTGAGAAATGTTGATAAATGCGAAAGATATTCTGGCGTTTCACCCGTCGTCATCGCAAGGAAGAGTTGCTACTTGCCCCCTTTTCGGGGTAGTCGGGGTGGAGGGGACAATGTCGCCCTCTGCATTGACGCGAACATACTTGTGGCTCCTTGGAGTGCCGTCCATGTTATCGGGATTACCGTCAGCATCTATATCACCATAAGCGTCGACATCGGCATTGTCACCAGCCTGAGTCTGATCCGGTTCTTCATCCGCAGGTTCAGGCTCGACATGCTTTGTCTTTACTTTCTCCTTTTTGACCAGCTCATCCTTGACGCCCTTCAGAAGAGCAGAGTTCTCCTTGAGAGAGTCAGTACTATCGCCTTCCACCAGTTCTGCTCTTGCTCGACAAGGCATGTTTGTCGCACCGAAGGAACGCATACCATTCTAGGATACTTCGCGCGCCCAAATGTTGTAACAAGCGGGACCCATTTGTTTGTGCAGCTCAACAAGTAAACAAAGGCGGTAAGGGGAACAAAATGAAATCCGGTCTATCGATATGAAAGTAGCTGTAAAACAGTTATAACCGGTGAAGCTTTGAAGAGGTTAGTTAAATTTAACCCCAGTTATTTCGCGGTTAATTCGAATTAGGACGCACCAGTTATAACCCGGGTTAATTACAACACTGGTTTGCAGGATTACGAGAAATAAAACACAACAATAGCCCTCCTCTGAATCCGCTGTAATTACTCTTCCCCATTTCTGCCTTCTCTGACAAACGCCTTTCTATACTGGACCCCCGTAGTCAAAATTCTCCAGTTCTCGTTCCCGCCATCCATCCTCTACTACCACAGCGGGACCACACAGTGCAGTAATGAGTACTAATGACATCCACGCACACCCGCTTGCACTCTGTGTACCTCGCTGTGGATATTAGCGCGGTCCAGAATCCACGCACTCTCCCGCCATCGATGTTACTTTACTCACCTCATTACGTCCTGCGCCGCCCTTCCCAGCAATCTCCTCCTGTGCCCTCAGGCCTCTTCAGCACATCCTTCAAATTGCTCTCCCACCCATCTCAAATGCCTGACGTCCCACAGCGTCCGCGGACACGCAAGCTGCTTATCATAGCCTTATTTCTCGTAACTCGAAAGCCTACGCATTCCTTGAACGTGCAGGCCCGTAGCTTTTATCTAAGCTGTTGGTGACCGGATGTAATGGCACAGATTTTATTCAAGAGGAGGTTTCCTATGAGAGGTGCGCCTCGGCCACCAAGGAAATTTGATGACCTCGCTAACGATAAACCCCGCTGGTGGTCCTTATGTTTCACTTCCACAGGCCCGGTTACTCGCCGAACAGGCAGTGCAGGCTGCTCAACACTTGGGTTTACACGTGTGCCCACTCATTTTCGATGTCTGGGCTGATCGATTAACGAGGTAGTCACAGACGAATGTGTCTCCGTGGGCGCAGTGATCTGCAGTGATTATACCGCTATGACTGTACTACTTCGCAGTCGTTTTGTCGGTCATGCGCACATCTAGTAGCCGCGTCAATTCTGAGAATCAATATTTGGGAACCATTATTGGCGCCTGCCTCCTCCCCACACCCAGTTGTGTACGTGTCAGGCACCACTGCTCACAGGAAATTAGCCTGAGGCTCAATTTGTCCGTATACCCGGAAAGGCAGACCCCGCATGGCGAATTTGGAATGGAGAGACTGTACAGATTTGGGAGTCTCATCATCTGTATCATGATTGGTATAAGGGTAATGATGCATACCGTACACCTTGTAAAACATCAATGGTAGCCGAAGTTAGCCAATTAAAATTGTTTATCATTTATTGTAGATTGTTGCCGAGTGCGATGCATACTTAGTAGCAGCTATTGATAGTAGAAGGTGGTCTTGTCGTCTTGTACCACTCACCAAGAACTCGCACCGTCAATTCGTCCAGTATGGCGACCTAGAACAATCCCAACAAACCAATGGCGCCAGCAGCTCAGCAGTAGCTTCTCATTCACGTCAATCGCTCCATCCACAAAACACAAGAGGTCAAACCAAAAAGCCAAAACACCCCAGAAAAACTGCCCACCGGGATGAACCAGGAGACAACAATCAAATGAACTACGACGACGCCAGTGCCGGATGGCGAAATTGAAGAGGAGAGTCGGGAGCTCACACATGAGGAAATATGGGACGGCTCTGCGCTCATCGACGCCTGGAACTCTGCCACAGCAGAATATGAGGTACGTCCAGCAAGTGCTCTTACATCTGCCGCTCTTGACACCCTTGCAAGGCATTCCACGGGAAAACGCAAGACTGGAAGTCGACCACTGTCAAGAAATCCTCTCTGTGCGTAACCTTATTTAATATAATTGTGTTCAGATGGTATAACATCCCCTATAATAGTTTCGAAGAAGAAGGCCAAGACACCTAATTCAACAAAAGTAGCGTCTGCAAAGGCCGCCAGTCAGGCTTGCCGTAGCTGAAAGAAGAGGACTCCGCACCGCTTGATTTCGACACGGTCGTCCCATCGTATGATCCTTCGCCGCCAGTGCCATCTGAGGCTTCAACGGCACCCGAGTCCTCGTTTTTCATACCTGCATCTTCAACCACCATGGTAAGTCGCGATGAAGCTTTCAGCCGTGCGCTAAGTGCGATGTATTGGGGTGGATACTGGACCGCAGTGTACCATGTAAGTCCTTTGCGAACTTGTTGCTGGGTACTCCTTACTCATCGGCCTGCTTGCAGTGCCAAAATCGGCATTCCTCTCAGGAGGCTGTCGAGGAGCAAGATCATCAGGAATACGAAGAAGATGATGAAGTTCTTGAGGATGATGCTGAAGATTTGGTACCTTAGTTCCATTATCATAGCACACCAGGGGTCTGCGCCCTTCCAATACTTTTTGGCAATTACCGTTGAGTAGGGACCCAAAGTTATGGGATCATTCACTGCTTATCTGTGTGCTACCCGAGGCTGTGGGATATTGATGAGCAATTTAACATCATCATTGGAACGAGTGCATGCGAAAGATAATGAAATAAAAAAAGTGCAGTGCTTTAGGAATATACGAGAATTTGGACCTGAAAGGCCTCGACGTGATCGCATCGTCATCAGATGAACGATGATCCTCAGCTTCATCGACACCCAGACTGATGTTGAGCGTGTGATGAGATGTGAGCAGCTTCGTGTGCGAGCAGTCCCTTCCTCCGGGTTTCATGACAATATGATAAACAAAGATCGACGACATACAGAACTACTACCCTGACCTGATTTACCCATATTTTACAAAGCGGTTTCGACATCCAATCTCGCGAGATGCGAGTATCCACCAGGGGACATCCTGTACTTAAGGATACCAGCAAATACCATCAGCGACCTTGATTTTTTCCTGAGTGCTGTTAATGTCTGCAATGAAAACAGTGGGGACATGAAGCATGATGTAGTTATTGAGTACAAACTATTTACCTCGTAGTTTCTGCTGTAGCAGTGATGGATTGGGGAACCGCCGCTAATGCCTCCATTGTCAGCGGCAAATAGACTTGTATATTGCGTTGCGAGGCATCATGCAAGTCCTTGAACTCCTCGGCCTTCCGGGTAATCTTTGCAACATCTCCATCGAGAGGAATGAGATCCGTGGACTCCACAATCTACAATGATGGTCAGCACTCGGTGGGATCAAAAGACTGGGATGAAATCGTACCTCCAGCACAACATCAAACCGTCCAGGATTCTTCGCGTCGAGCGCTTCCCTGATGTGCAACAATCTTACGGCAGCATCTCGATCCTTGCCCACTCCCCGGTTCGTGCGCTCGTAATGTCTCAAAATCTCAACAGCCGTGCGTTCGATGATTTTGCCTTTCTCTGTTTCACCTGCTGGCTGCGCCAGGGTGTTGCCGAGCGCCAGGCTAAGACATGAAATGACAGTGCCGAATCCCCAGCGAGGCTGTAGAGCTTGATCGCCTCAGGAATGCGGTCGTTTTTCTCGGAGTCACGGGCGACGCGAACGAGGATCTGTTCGTTGTACTAAGCGGTGTTTTTGCAGATGGAGAAGGGCAACACCCTGTTCGATGACACGCTCTGCAGGAGAGATGAGCCATGTTAGTGAATTGAGAATTGGAACATACGAATCGCGTGCCATCGGGTCTGAATCCACCGACAAGCTCTTCCCAGGCGGGACCTGAGTGAGTGAGAACGATGATGCGCCTCACGAGCTCCCAAGCGGTCTCTACGTTTTCTCTGCCGACGCCCCCCCGCCCTGATCCGCCGAGAGACAGACGCAGTAGACATACTGTAGCGCTTCTTTCGCGTCCATCTTGACGAACTGGCGTACGTATCGCCAAATGAGCATTGGCAAGCTGAGTGCAGGAGATGAGAGCGGGGACAAAGTCAGGTGGGTTTACATGTTGGTGCAACTTATGAGTGCATACGTACAAGGACTGATGTCAGATGTTTCAGCACGAGACGGACGCGTAGAAGCCCGTGGTATTCAAGCGCAATAGCAAGATGAACTGCTTCGAAGTCTGTTTCTGGGTGCTCCCATAGTGCAGCCCATAGACTAGGCATATGATCAGGATAGAACTCGGATATGCGTGATGTTATGCTTACACGCTCAAAACTGGCCGGACCATGAGCAGGACACCAGACAACACACCCTTCTTTGCACCGTCGAAAGTGGCGTTCTCCATAACTCAGGAGAACTTCTGTGAGCCCACGGAGGCCACCGTCTTCCTCTTCATCGACCTTCTGCGTGTCAGCTTACATTCTTGAACAGCCACAAGGAATCCGCACCATTGCAAGCTGGAACCACAACCAATCCTCGGTATCATCGTCACCTGTGGTACTGTTCGCCGCGAAGGCTCGAGTTTGCCCATGAGTTTATAGAGTACAAGCTTGAGCGGATATGCAGATGCAGAATGCAACATATGCGCATTGTATACTGGAGAGATACTTGATATGTAAGACGTCGTTTCTCTCACCGCCTTTCTGGCGACTCGACCTATGAGCGGAAATGGCTCATGAAGCTGTCTTCGCGATGTTCAATGGCTTGCTGCGACTTCAAGGCTTCATCAAGGGCCTCTTGTGCGTGAACGGTGCGTACAAGGTAGTACAACTTGGCCCACAAAGGCTGACCAGCGACAAGCTATGTGGCTCAACTGTCAGATGGAGTGAAAGCTCGGCATGAATTGTGCTGACCTCTATCCGATCTTCCCACTGTCCGTTTTGTAATATCTCATCAGAAGGAAGGCGCGTATTTTGTTTGCTACACTAGGGTCTCCTCCAAGGCGGGCTTCCATAGGTCTCGACTGGATCGTGCGTTCAATGATATCCCAAAACTGATCCTCAAAGTGCTTCTCAAGAGCCGTTGACAATATGTGTCCGCAGAGCTGCAGCTTCCCGGAATCGCTGTCACCCAGGTACACCCGCGCGTATTGCGCTCGAAAAGCGGGGCGTTTAAGATGTGAGCGCCTGCGTGCTCCACAGGATGTAGAGCAGGGGGTTCGCCAGTAATCTTTGCAAGTACGTGGAAGTTTTGAAGCATTTGTTGTGAGGGCTGTAGTTGCACAAAAGTGAGACACTTGACATTCGACCACAGTGAGAAATACGTGCCTCTGAGTTCAAGCTGGCAGCGGCTTGCATGAGGAGATGGATGATAGGACAAGATATTCCGCGCAACCTTGCAGCGTTCAATTCGCTGATTGCACGGTCATATGCCATCATCTCGCTCTGCCATCTGGAGAGTCAAACCGGGGTCCTGTGCTTGCCTGTTTCATATTGTCATAGGTGAACACTACATATTCGGAGTTTAGCTGACCGCCAGCGCTGCCTTTCCATGGAAGCTCTTTTTCATTCAGCAGAGCTTTGCTATCACTGGTAGCACGACCCTCTCAGCTCTTCAGACACGCGTCTCTTTTGGCCTCCCAGCCTTTGTGGCTGCGCTCCTCAAGCAGACGATAAAAAGGCTCCTGAGTTTCCCTCCAACCTTCTTCTATCGTTGAAATAAGATTCTGTTCATGAGCGTGGACGAAGATAGCCTGCGACATCTGCGTCTTGGAGGGGCTGGAGGGGAGAAAAAGTCGTCGAGGTATTCAAGTGTGCAATGGAGTTGGCAAGGGCAGGGGCATCAACATGAACCTGTGCCAAAAGGTAGTTTCTGCCAGAGTGTTAGAACAGTATTGCTCAATATGTTTATTTGCTCACGCTCGGTTGGCATCGCTGCACGCTCCAGGTTGTCGTGGCATGAGCCGACGTGACTGTGCTTCTATCTGATCTAGTGAAAGGTTGACGGAAGGAAGATCAGGCCGTGAAAGATGCGAATTCAGGGCTCTTGACGAGTTCAGTAATGAAGAAAGGCCATCGTTGGTGTTGTCAATAGTGTTGTTGGCAGAATGAAATATTTCTGCCAGTGGCAATTGCCGGCAGTAGGTCGAGGGTGGTTGGCAGAAGTCGGCAGAACTACAATAGCCTGGTGTTTGTTCCTACTAACAAACAATAAAATTTTAACATATGTTTGAATGTATCCCGGTGTGCAAGTTTGCGATTACCATGGCCGAAAAGGCCAAGACGTCCAAGGGCCGTCCTGTCCGAAAACTCGTGTCTGACAACTTTGTCGTTGGGGAGAAAGTCCAAAACAACTCGAACTGCTGCTTTTCACAACTCTCGCACTTTTCTTACATCCAATATGCCGAAAACTCGCCATTTCACAAGTCGCAAATGGCCGTTCATTCAAGTTCATGGTCGAGGCCGCCTTAAGGCTCAGAGAGTGCATCAGGGTGGAATGTTGATGCACTTTTGACATCAGAAGGTATAGCCTCGATGTAGTGGTCAATATTATTTTTGCCATAGTAGAATGCCAGTTGAAAAGAGCCAAAAGTGCTCACAATACATTTTGCCGACTTCTGCCATTCTGCCAATTGCCGTTCTGCCATTTTGCCAATTGCCACGAGGCCAATTCATTTCTGCCCCCTACACTACTTGTAACAGTACATGTACAGTATTCTCGTATGCACACATCGCAGTACTAGTACTTGTAAATGTAAATAAACTCTCACGGGGGTCATAAAGTGGGATCGTACAGCCACAATTATGGAGTGATAATATTGACCTTGTAGGTACAAGGTAACAGCTACTACTAGAACGCTGAAGCTGAAATGCAGTGTTTCGAATTATATTAATGGTAAGAATCTGGCGTAGGAGTCGAGACGGAATTTGAACGTTTGAACCCAGACGCTGCGCCTTGTACTGCAAAATTTACAGGTTTTCACTTGTACAAGGATCTCTCTCTATTTCTACTTCAACATATCTGAAGACTGTACACGTACTACAGCATGCACAGCGAACTCGTGGCCTCCTGCAACCGGACAAGTGCCCACTCGTCCTTGAACTGTATCCCACTATCCAGCAAGTTTTCCATAGATTGAAACATCCATTTGTCCCATCTCAATGACAATGTTAGGGCTCGGGGAATTAGGGATCCCGCTCTGGTTGACCGGCTAATTAGCACGACCCTCTGCGAAGACCTAATTGACCGGTGTAAATGACAGCAAATTCACTCAAATTGACCCATAGCTCTTTGACGCTGATTTGCGCTAATTGCAGGTAAATTTGGTCTAATTGACCGTAATCTACAACAAAGCCGCCAATCACCATTCCTCCCACTCGTCGTCATCCATCGGTGTCGAGGATGAAGTTGTGGCAGCCATCACCTTTGGTGTCGACAGACCTCCGCAAGCAGCCGTGGGCTGTAGAGCGTGGTCC